GATGAATTTCAGAAGTGTTAAATTGGACGTAGGCGGCTTGTCGACACAATATTTCAAGATCAGCGATCCGTTGACGGACACCACCGAAAAGTATCGGCCTTGGTGTCACCATCAACGCAGCAAAAAGCTGCGACAACGGATTATAAAAATAAAGGGGATAAAGCTAAAATACACGCGAGAAAAACATTGAAAATTATATAATGTACAGTACAAGATTCAAGCATATGTAATCCTGTTATATGTATAGCTACGGTGACCATTTATCTTTTATTTTAAAGGACCGTCCTTTTTTTTCAAACTAGCGCACGCTGCACTGTAAAAAATATGTAAAATTATATAAATAATAAATGGAAAAGCTATACATTTTCATCATTTATTGTGTAATTTTTTACACTTATTATTTATATAATTTTACATATTTTTATGTAATATTACATATTTTTTTACAGTGTGTCCTTTATACTTATTCATTTTCTCGAGGCTTAATTTTGTCCTTTATTTTTACTTAGTGTTTCAAATATACTACATGAAAACTCGGAAACAAATCCACAAATGTAGTTTCCTGCAAAAGCGACATTAATCATTTATAATGAATTTCAAATAAAAAAAGTACATAATAGATCACAGTTTGTTTTGCCTACCAATCTCCAGATGAGTGAATCTTGATCTTGAATGTAGAACTTTGGTCGCAAACTGATTAAGAAAAAAATTTAAAAATTTTAAAGTTTATCCTTGATTTTCACTTTGAAAAATGATCACCGTAAATGTATATAGCAGAGATAATTTTTCTGCCGGTACATAATACATATAAAAATTTGAAGTAATTTTTTTCCATATGTTTCTAAGGAATTTTGTGTAAAAATCGTCTTTTCTCCATCTCGATCTTTGATGTTGACCGACGACGTATGTATCGAGTTGCAACACACGCGCGAGTGGCCGCGAGCCAGTGCTCAAGGTGCTAACAAGCCTATGAAACGACGCTCCCGTTTGCCGATATCCACCTTGTGGAATTTGCTAATTGAGAGGTTCGTGTGAGCTACACAGTGTGTTACGAAACGCGGAGTGCGTGCGCGCAACGACGAAAGTTCGAAGGGAGAAGCTATTCGTGTAACGGGAAAATTTAATGTCGCGCAAGAGAAGAGATCATCACGCATATATATGGGTTTCCGCCGTTTATAACAGTAGATGATTGCGTCGTGTGAGATTGGACATGGGAAATTTTCTCTTCCTCCGGGATACGCGAGTCTTGTGAGAAAAATTGCGTACACGTCCGCTTAGAACGCGTAGTATTCTAATTATGCGGCGCAGAGGGAAATCCCTGATTTTCCCCTACGCAGTCGAGAACATTAATTATTTGTCGACTCAATAATTTGTCGAATAGTCCAAAGTTTATTCGAAACTTGCTCTATACGTTTGATATTTATAGAGCGCTACGTAATACTTGATGAATTTAAAAAAGTTGCCACTCGTCATGTATAATTATTATGTATACGTTTAGCATAATGTGCTAATAAGCCGATTAAAATTTCTAATCCCGATATGTCGGTACAAAGTTGAGAACGTAGAAAAAGGAACTATCAGGAAATAAGTAAATATATATCATATATACATCGCAAGTCAACTTGTGAATTTTCCGCGAAGTGATGAAACGTTTTTCCACAAATGTTTTTCCGCGGATATATCGCAGATATTCTGTCGGAAGAACACATCGGGCACAAGAAAGAGAGAAGTTTCCGTGATGTCAGAAGTACACTGATGTCGGAAACCCGCATATAACCGCCTGCTGTGCTCGTTCTTAGTCCTCTTTGTTCGCTGTGAAGAGTATTCTGGAACCAATAAGCGCTTTCTCTCAACACTATGACTAATTCATAAAGAAAAGGCTCCAAATTCTAAATTTAACTGTTAAAAAAATATTTAAAGTGCTGATTAAAAAAATATACATGTATATAACTTGACGAAAATTTTTTTCAAAGTAGACATTTTCAGAAATGTTTTTCTAGAAAGAGATCGACTTGAAGTTTGTTGATATGATATAAGAATTATATCAAAAATTTTACGATAATTCTGAAGTATGCGATTCCGCGTGTATATGGAACAGATAAGTCGCTGTAAACACACTCGTGCAATTAGACTTTGTAAAGTATTGTATCATTGGAATGTATATCATGATCTTACGTGAATCAGATATGGAAGCTTAATTCCTATTAGTCGCGTATAATTATCATAATGGGATAATCGACGAGAGTAACCTTGTAACAATATGTGGCAGTTTTTGCTAGTTACTTGTAGCATTATTTATGCTTATGATTATCGTGTGGATGCTTTGCTTGTAGACTGCTCAGAACAGCGTGATCTGAAAGACAAAAATTAACACGAGTTAGAAGCGAGCAGTTTGTTTATGTGTAAAAAAAAGATATCTTTTTTGCACATCAATCCCAGTAGCAACATTAGTTGCAGATTTGTTCGATAATGATTGAAGATTTTTATTAATAGCAACGATGATTTACGTTAAAGTTATTTCTGTGCCTTGCCTGAAAGAAATTTCATTGATTTTTTTTTATTATAATCACATTTTTTATTTAAGTGAATGTAAAAAAGGAATAAATATATATGCCTAACGGGAAAGAACGATAAACATTGAAGAAATGGAACGTTCGTATTTGTTCGAACGAGGAAATGAGATTGTATTCAACGCGCGTCGGCGACACTCCGGTTTCTCGCGAAGTTTCGTAAATCTTCAACCGGTTTACGGGGGAGGAGCGCCTATACAGCACATTCTCATATCCGTGATGAGAAAAAGGACATTATTTTTTTTTTGTCACCGGTATAATATAATTTTGAAGACAGTAACACGCGCCGCACCGGGAAGATTCGACACGACATTATTCGTCGTAAAAGTTTTTGTCTCTCTTAATAACGTAAGACGCGGAAGCAGTAGGCGGTAATAATAAATAAGGGGTTCAGAGGGGAAAAAAGAGATGACAGTTTCCACCGACCGTAGGCGGTGAATTAATTAATTACGCGCGTCAGTCGCGTAATATCGTGATGAGAGAAACGGACGTATTGCAAAAGACGTGTAGACATCGATTTCTTATGCGCAAAAGCACGATTGATGTGTTTCGTTAATGGAATTGATGTTACGGAAAAAAAGGTGTGCAATGCAATCTGCATTGTGATGAATATATACTCGGTGATGTTTTATGATCCTTGTCGCGCGTGTATCGTGGCAAAGGATTAAGGACGCTGTTTTGTTGTAAATCTTAATCGAGTCTGTTTCGTGTGCTGCTATGCAAAAACACTCATACTTGCTGTATTCCGTACACGCTTCTCTGTATTCTTATTTTCTTATATATGTTTCTCAAATCGTCTAATTTCTTAACTATATATAATAGCAATAATCTCGTAGGAGATTGCATTGCAATAAAACTGTGATGTTTTATTCACGTGATCGATAAGATACAATATTGACTCGGAAATCACATGATGTCGCGTGTACCAACATTAGTGCTAAGTATAGATATCCCCCTCTATTATACTCTCTTTCATAGAGTGATTTTAAATATTTCGTCAATGGCGGTATTCCTCAGTCGCACGCTGTTTGTTCGCGATGCCATTTGACTCTTGCGAAACGTTTGAAACACTTGGACTGTCGCGTTTGTCACAATTCTCTCTTTGTGCATTAAATTGATTTTTTATTATCAATTAAAGTGATATTCGCGCCGACAAAAAGTTCGATCGGTGATTCTCGTTCTTAAATCGATGCTGAATATTTTAATACGATTACTAGCTTCTGAAAAATTTCGCGTAAAAGCAAACATTGCTTCATCTTGTTTACAAATGAATTTTATTTTGTGTGATGGTGAGTAAAAAGTATCTGTGAAATCGTAATTCTTCTACAAGAAGTTTATTTTTTTAAGTGAATTGTATCTTGTGGGATGAATTAATGCACATTATATCAATATACATGTATATTGACAAGTATTTTATTTTAAACATCCACTTTTTCAGCGTGTGTAAAAATTTCGATATATGTATAACCAAACGAAATTTTTCACGAATAAAATTTTCACGACTTGCACTATCCGATATGTTATAAAAATTCGAAATCTATCTTTAATTTTTGTTATTATTCTGTTTATTTATTATTCAAACTTTTATTAATTTTGTTCCATTGTATTTTATATGCGATCTTTTAATTTTTGAAATTCTTCCAATGCTATACATGCATTGTTTTTTTGCATTATTAAGTTGTCTGTGTGTGCATTTTCCTTGATACGCGATAAAGAGTGCATAAATTGCGTTACTAGCCAGGAGTCAATTTGACAATAATGAAGTCTCAGAAATATTAATCGATACTCGCAAATCGATCGCGGCTTGAAGCTATATAATATAAAACGGCATTTAAACAATTCCGGGAAGAATGGACACGTCTCTCGATAAATGCGATATAAAATATCGCTTATCATCGTGACTGTGTCCGTTCGATTTACAAACAGAGAGAGAGAGAAAGACAGAAAGAGAGTAAAAGAATGAGAGAAATAATTATCAAAGGCTTTCGATAATTAGTCTCAAATACCACGTGCATATGTCATTGAGAATGAAGATTTAATGGACCCAAAATAAATGTTAATTTTGTTTTAATAGCGTTTTAATTTTGTTTCTAGTTTCAAATTTAAATTATTTTATAATTTTGTTCTGATATTTTGTTTATTTCTTTCCTTCTTTTTATTTCTTTGCGATAGTATATTTTGAGACATTTAAATCAAATTAATATTATCGCGAGAAAATCGCTTTCGTTGCATTTTATGTATATATTTTTAAATTAATCGCTTGTGTTTTGGTCGCGATTAAAAAGATTCTTGCGCAAAATTGATTTCAAGTTGCATCTTGCTCGCTCCGGGGTTGTGTGGTCACGATGCACGATAAGAAAAATGCTTGAGAAATACTGTTTATCAGGAAACAGAAAGAATAATGCTTCCTGTGTCTGTTTTATCTTCAAGGTTTTCGAGAATGGAATGCAGAGGGCTGACGCAAAAGGATTAAGCTATACGATCGACGCCATGACACGCCCTTGCATCGTCGGCTGAATTTCACATATCTGTGGTGAGTTACCGAACACACTGTCCAAATTCTTGTTAACCCAATTTCGAGTGACCTTCCGGAGTATTAGAAATTTCCGAGATATTTTTCGCTGCGTCTCTGATAAATCGGGACCTCGGACGCGCATCTTATTTCCATCTTCTGGGCGAATCATTATACGTCAAAATATGTGAAACGCTTTTGTAACATATATATCGTCACTGTTATTATTCTTTCTATGAAAATAGCTCTTGCGATGTGTTGCCTTGAATCTTATCTTCAAAATATATTTCGTAGTTAATGGAAAACGAATTAGAGAGAGAGAGGAATGCGATAAATCCTCTAATGCTCTGTCATTACGATATAGGATCTCTGACGCGATGTCTGAAAATGCGGAATCGAATCTTATCGGAACAGAGGCGTACTCACTCCACATCGCCGACTGTCACCAACTTCTCGATTTTTATATACATATACGTATTTTTTTTATACGTGTAGGTTTCCGCACACCCGCATTGACTCGACTCACGTGAGCGAGATGCCACGCGGAATGACAATTGTGACACATCTGCTACGAATTTACTGCCTGCTGGGGTTTTGTTATCGCTCGCGTATATGTAATCAGGCGAATAAAATGAGCAACTTTGCGCTGTGTTTAGATTTTCACGCGCTATTCTTGGCTTAAGATAAACACAATGGTAGACATTGTCGCGGTCGTTCGCGTGGAAACGATTTCGTGCCTTTATCGAGTCATGCGCGCGAAAATAGCGCCGTTATAAGACGTTATAAGACGAATACATTACGCAGCGAATTCGCATAATCGGCACTCATGCCAGCCTTTTATAGCGACAGCTCCAGCTCTCGATGCTGAATCGGTCGCGACCGTATCGTACATTGGCGACTGTCTTCCGATCGAATGCCATTAAATTGATAATAAATGAATAAAAAAAAACAGATTAAATTAAATTATGTAAAATTTTCAAAAAAATTGCAGCAATTAAAAGATTGAGGTATATCATTTATATACGCGTAAAATGCATGTATAATTCAAATTTAAGAAAAGCAAATTTATTTATTTAAATTTTTTTATATTAAAGAGAAATATGGCCCAGGTATAGTATATTTATTTAATAAATTTATATATTAGAAATATAAATGAGAGAGTTAAAAAAAGATTTAAAAAGAAAGAGATATTAATAACACGCGTCTCAATTATAATATTGTGTTTTATCATGCAAAGAGGAAATATGGCGACGTGAAAGAGAAGAGAATGATAGCTTTTATTTCCCAATTTTCTTGTAACGTCTTACATTTACGAGAACCTAAAATTTTTATTGCAAGATATATCGCTCCTGCTATTCGACACCGGTATTAAAATAGACGTAAAAAATACATTTGGCGCAAAAATCTCCATATATTGAGGAATTGGAAGGATATCGAGGAACAAAATTGTGCATGTTAAAGGATCGGATTGCAATGGCAACATCATATATGTACGAGATGATTTCTTCGGCTCAACTGATATATCATTCTCTTCATAAAATTGCGGGGGGTCTCGCAACGTTCGTGGTGTCGCAAGCAAGCGCCAGATTATACGTTCTTTGCACGATAACACGCGATTTCGGAAGGAGAAGTCGATATGATAATAACGATTTCTCAAGCTGTTGGCTTGTTTTGCGTCTCTTCGAGCGACACTTCCCACCAAGAGAGTTTCGTTAAACGGAAATAAACGACCGTACGCACACGCGTGCAGATTGTGCAGATTGATGTCTCCGAGATGTTCTCTCTCTCTCGCCATCTAAATCTTGAATCGCTGCCAAATCTCCCGGCGATCGAGCGTAAGGTCGGAATGATGGACCGCCTCTGTCGGCTTTCCCCTTTCCGTTATCCGCCGTGAAAAATAACGAGAGACGAAAGTCTTTTATATTTTATATCGGGTATATAAAGAGAGAGATTATGTCTACGGACTTTTCCCATATTTCTTCATCGCGAAGGGAGAATAATAAATGCACTAAATTCAGATTTTACTATTATAGTATATATATATATAGACTGATCTGCTTACGAAGTATACCTCTCAATTGTAATTTTTAGATAGATTAAAGTGACGTAATATATAATTTATGACCTAATCGTCGACTATATTTTACGATGTTAAATATTGGCTGCCTTAAAGAGGCGGCATATAAAATCTGTACATGGGATTTCCATCCATTTTAATCCTCTTTCGCGTTACAAATATCAGGAAATGTGTGAGATGTGTGATATTGAAAAGATATCTCGAGGGTATTAAAATTCCCAAATGGGTACTTTAAAAGCGAACACACGATCTGGATTGAGAGATAAGCCCCGGGAGATGCGCGCGATAAAGATTATTGACTTAATCGCAGCAGATAATTGAAAAAAAAAAGATTGCGATAATATCAATCGAAAAACACAAGTTGACGTCAATCGAAGGAGATGGTGGAGGAAAGACGCTTTATTTTCGCGAAACATATCTTTAGGCTTTCTGTTTGTGCATCCCATGTGGCAAATAAAAGCATGTTTTCGTCGCTGAAAAGTTATATTCGCAACTCGCCGATTTTTCAAGCTAGCCCATTTTATTATCCGCAGGGAAGGCATCTTTTATGCGAAAAGAGATAAGTAACTAACAATAAGAGAACATACGCGTTGCACTATATTTAGGGAACGCATTATATTAACCCCAGCCTCTGTTCGCAAATCGCATTTCTCCTTTATTATTTAAATTGGGCATATTTGTTCGGCCGAGTTATTTGTATTTGAGTGACAATATATGTGTTTGCGGAGACGCGATCTCTCTTCGCGTAAAATACAAAAGACATTTTTTGTTGTCATGCGCGTCCGTCCCTCGCTCTTTTGAATTCGAGTCTCGGTGTGATCATATATACTTGGTTGGCGAATAATTGGCCACGTAGTGTGCGTGTTCTGTGCACCACATAGATATTTTTACAACACGTGTGCGTACAGGGAAATCCGTCTAAAAATATATGTCGATGGGAACTCCTTAGCTTTCGTATACATCGGGGTCGCGCCATTCCCTCGCAACCGTCGTTCAAATTGACCCATTTTGTGAACGTAATTCTGCATTCAACAATTCTCTAGCGTCATCCAGAAGACAATTTGCGTCATAATTGAGGAGTTTGCGGTACAACGATCTAACTTAATTTTCTGAAAACTTGAGAATAAAAATCAGTCAACTAATCTCCCGCAAACACTTCATTTTTTCCAACACACACACACACACACTGTAAAAACTTAAATAATAAATATTATTGTAAATCTTAAATAAGTAATTGTAAAACTGAAATAAATATTATTGTAAATCTTAAATAAATATTATTCTCTGACATAAAAAAATACAACTATTAATCTTAATTCTCTCGTTAAAATTAATTGATGCGATTCTGTTTTAATAACGAGACAGATATTAATTATTGGGAAGGATTTGTTCTGACAAGAACGCGTTGCTCTCTGTTACAGAAGGTCCCGTGGTACATTTATTATTTATGAATGGATGGAGCTGCGACGGGGATCGTTGAAGAAGGATCGGTTGCGGATCTGGGAGGTTTGGAAAGATGGTGGAACAACCCGGGGATCGCGGCCTGGAGCTTCGTGCTCTTCGGCTGCTTCCTCCTCAACGCGATTCTTCTGCTCGCTTTTCTCGTACGACCCGGACTACGCACCATTTCTAACAGGTCAGTGTACGTTCTAGTAGGGTGCCAAACTGAAAATAACTGAATCATTTTTTTGCTTCAAAGAGGAAAGTCATCAGCTCTTTCATTTTCGCGCCACTAATCCCTGGAATTTTTTGTCTAACATTTTGTCCCTTATATAATTGTTTCTCCCCTTCTTTAAATATTTCTTCTTTATTCAATATCAGAAAAAGTGGATGATAAATCGCTCTGAATCACTCTGTATACTACTTATTTATTATTCGAGTAGAGCACTAAATTGAAAATAACTGAATCATTTTGTTGCTTTCAAGAAGAATATCATTAGCTTTCATTTTCGCGTCACTGATCCCTTGAAATTTTTGTCTAATATTTTATCCTTTATATATAATTGTTTCTCCCTTTCTTTAAATATTCAATATCAGAAAAAAATGGGTGATAAATTACTCTGAATCACTCTGCGTATTACTTATTTATTATTTGACTAGGGCGCCAAACTGAAAATAGCTAAATTATTTTTTTTTTGCTTCAAAGAGAAATATCAGCTTTTATTTTCGCATCACTAATCCCTTGAAATGTTTGTCTAATATTTTATCCTTTATAATTGTTTCTCTCTTTCTTTAAATATTCAATATCAGAAACAAAGTAGGTGATAAATCATTCTGAATCATTCTGTGTATTACTTATTTATTATTTAAGTAGGGCACTAAATTGAAAATAACTGAATCATTTTGTTGCTTTAAAGAAGAATATCATTAGCTTTCATTTTCACGTCACTGATCCCTTAAAATTTTATCTAACAATTTGTATGTTATATAATTGTTTCTCCCCTCCTTTAAATATTTCTTCTTTATTGAATATCAGACAAAAGTGGGTGGAATCACTTTGAATCATTCTGCTTATTTATCCAGAATGGGATACGTATTAGAGATAATTAAATTGCGCCATTGACGTACATACATAGTTGTAAAATTACCATCGCGTTATCATCGATAAGCTGTTGTCATTCACGCAAGCGACGTCAATCCTTATACACAACGGTTTTTGAAATTCATTAACACGCGATCCATTGACGTACGCCGGGACGGAAATACTTCTTTTCGCCGACAGTGTAAAAGTCGCATAAATAAAATACACGAGAGATACGAGACATCTCGCAGCGTCGCGCCAAAAACCGGAAATAAAACACACGCGCGAGATGATTGGTGCAATAATATATTTAGCCGTCGTCATATTTCGCGTAATATTCGCCACGACAATAAATAATATGTCGTATTTGTTTCACGCGTGTTGCATTCATGCCAAGGTTAATAACCCCATGAACGCATTGATAATGACAGCCTTTGCATTTTTTTTCCGGAGTAGCAATAACCGACTTTAAGTGTTAAAGTTTAGTCGGCTATAAATAAATTGAATGTTATAATGATAACGTAACGTATTGCAATCGCATTGCAAAAATAAATTTCGTCACAAGAATGACATATCTGTATGTGACAATATATACGCAGATATTTCAGAAATTCCGAATTATCGAATTTTTAATTTTGGAATTATCGGTCATTAAATGAAAACTGAAAATTTATATCGTAAATCTTCAAGTTATAAAAATTCGCAACGTAAAAAAGTTGCTCGAATCCAAGTTCCTACATCAGTTGTAGGAATTTTATTTTCGTTCGCGCTCACGCGCCTTACGTATGTATTCTTCTTCGGTGAAGTGTACAGTTGTATTTTACATCATGCTCGTAAATAAAATCACGTTTGAAGTGTCGTTTCTACAGACTGCATCTCGCATTTCTCGCGAGACACTGCCAGTCTAAATATTCCCGTTTACGATTTTCGTCGTGTCGCAGGGGACGACGCATGATATAATTGCGGAAAGAAGAGGTAGGTACATTTCTTTCGCGTAATTTTCATTGGAAATTTTACCGTCAAATGATTCATAAAGCTTATTATTGTATGTACGTATTTGTGCACAATTGAAAAAATCAACCGCGCACGTATAAAAATAAACGTAAAGAGATGAATGACGTATTTGGAATGACTATATATATACATATACTTGTGTATATATATGCAGATGTGTGGCGCGACATATTTATCGTATAAATATATTTATAATTGAATGTGTATAATTATAAATACTTGTTGAATAATATTTGTTGAAATTTAATCGGACCGACTAACTTGGACACCAAAATCCAAACATGTTACCGTTCAAATTAGTAAGATTATTAATAGAGTTCTGTACCACACGAGGATTGGATCTATCATTGTTATTACGTAGATTTCCACCTGCTGAGCCAGGATATCAATCATACGCACCTAATACCAAATTTTGGCAACTATCGCAACGATTCAGTTTAATAATAAACTTTTCGTATTGCTTCATTGCTATTAACAGAGTATGGACTCTAAAATTAACAGTTTGCATTACAGTTGTTAAAAAGGAAATTTATTTATTATATTATCGCATCGTATCCAGGTATCGCAAAATAACTCAATGTTTTGCAACTATAATTAGATCAAAGCGTAGTTTTTGTCATTCAGTTGGATGGTTGAACGAATCCGTCCGTCAATTTGTTGACAGCACAAATAAGTGAAATGAAACACTATGGGTTCTTTTTAAATGCCATTGCTCTTAAAATGATAAATATATAAGTATTATTTTAAGTCGGAAGAAATCGCAAATATAATTTCTGCGAAGAATAAAGTGTTGAATAATTTGATAATTTATGTACGCTTGTATTCTTATATATTAATGTGAAACTCGTAAATAAAATCATGACAAAGAAATGCAATGATATGACGTGAATGTAAATTGTTCAAGCAATCTTTTTCTTTTAATTGTACTCAGAACTTTATATCTTTTTTATCTCACGTCGCTTTTTGTCAACGCGTTTTATATTAAATCGTTGCTGCGACATATTAAATTGTACCGACTCAATATTGACACGTGTAAAATGAGATAAATATAATAATAACATTTCTCCTTTCTCTTTCCCATCCTTTATATTTCTCTGCTTTTCATCTTATTCATTTTATGTAATTATATATTTTAAGAAAAATTTCCTGTATGTATTATCCGTGATTTTATATAACAAACTTATTATTCATTGAATTTAATTTAAAGGGCGCACATTCCTCATCATGATCTCATTTGATGTAATTATATATTTTAAGACCTGTATGTATTATCCGTGATTGCACATAACAAACTTATTATTCATTGAATTTAATTTAAAGGACGCACATTCCTCATCATCATCTAAGACAATCGCACAGGCATCGAACATGATTAATGTTTGACTGAAGGAAAACGGCCTTGCTTTGTCTCGATTCCAGATTCGTGATGAACCTAACTATCTCGAATTTGCTGACGTGTGCCATGCTGAACCCGCTGCTGATGATGGACGGGCCGGTGGCAGGCAGCACGTTGACCACGTCTACGTCGAGGCCGGACGACGTCGGGTCGCCGTTCGGCGCGACGTCCACCGCGGCCAACAATATTTGCGCGATATCGGAAGGGGCGACCGCGCTCGTCACTACGTCGTCGGTGCTCTCAGTCCTGCTGATCGCCATCGATCAGTATTTCGCGGTGGTGGACCCGCTGCGTTATCGGGCCCGGGTCGATAAACTCAAATCGGCCGTGCTGATCGTTTCCGTCTGGCTGGTCTCGGCTGGGTTCGGCCTGGTTGCCGCTCTGAATCCGAATCCCCGTAGCTTATGGTTGTCCTGCACGACGACGGTGTTGGACAACTCGTCCTTCCGCGACCAGGTCGCGCTGAACATTTCCGCGGAGGTCGATTCCGCGTTCTTCGGTAACGGGACCAGCGAGACGGAGATCGACGGCACGATGCCGACCCTGTTAAAGACGATTGAGTCGATCAAGATCGACCGTAGCCTCCTCGAGAACTCCACCGTGATCTTCCGCACCCTGACCAACGATTCCGTGACTTACGGTCTCATCTACGCGATCGTACACAGCGTGTTCGCGTATCTGTTCCCGTTTGCTGGAGTCTGCTGGATTTACATCAGCATCTACTCGGCAGCGCATCGAAACTCCGAGAGAACTCGCCGAACTGGATCGCGACCGATTCTGTCATCTGCCAGTTTCTGCGAGGATTCGTACGCGAGACCGCAAAATCAGTCCGATCTCCCGTGTCCGGAGGAATTCCGCAGAATACCCAAAATCTCGAGTCTCTCGTCCATCGACGAAACCAGCGAGACTACGCACTCGGCCAATCAAATCGCATCGCGTCGAAGATCCTTCTCATCGTCCTCGGACACCGCGCAACCAGGATCAAACGACGAGAAAACGTCATCGGGAGTCGTCTTCACGGTGGGTTTGCAACCGGTGGAAGTCTCGTCTTCGCGGGATCAAGATAATAACCTGACAGAGGCGGCGGACCTGAATACGGACTACCTCGAGGACGTTTCGTCTTACGAGGACTTCAGAAATGGTAATATCGAAGCGAATCGCAGGAAATCGTCGCACGATCTAACGGACGAGATCGGAGAACCGTCGGGATGGATTGCCGAAGACTCCAGCGGATCCGACTCCGAGGATGATCGACATTACGGCTACTTCGACTCCTTGGAAGTTCCCGGTACAACTTGCAAGATAGCGGACCGAAGATCTTCCGACGCGGAAGCTTCCAAACAGGACTCTCGAGAGGGAACGACTCGTCGCCTTGACGAGGCAGAGAATTCTATCAAGAGCGCCGAATGGGAGCAGATTCAAGAGATCTCAAATTTCAGTAGTATTTCGGAGAACAAGAGATCCAGACGACCCAGTCGTCGTTTGTCGAAAGCCGGGATTTTGGAGGTCAACGGGGAGTCGCACGCGCTCGAGCGTAGAAACGCGGATCAGAACAACCTGGAACCCTCGTCCTGTCTTCTGACGCCGATCGTGACGATCACGCCGGCGCCCGGTAAACCGGGCACTCTGCACCGGGTCTCCAGTGTCCGCAGCAGTAGCGGTTACATCAACTGTTTCAAGCACAGGATCAGCAACGGCTCCTTGTTCAAGTATCGCGAGGAAACTCGGGCGGCGAGAATCAGCGCGCTGGTGATCGTCATGGGTCTGATCTGCTGGTCCCCTTACGTGCTGCTGAGTGTCATGAAGAATCTACCGCAGTACTCGGACTACGAGGTACCGCACGAATACGACGTGCTCGCTCTCAGCTTCCTGATTCTAGCCGCTTACGCGAGCCCGTTGCTCTTCGGCTATCGGTCGAAACGGGTGAAGCGAGAGTTGCGCAAGTTCTTCTGCTTCCATCGCGAGCTATCGTACAAGAACAATCGCAGCCTGATGGCGAAGAAGGTGCTGAAGCGCCGGCACAGCAACACTCTCAGCCATCTGGAAATGGATCACCGGTACAACATTTTTAACTGCGTCTACGGCAAGAACAAGTGGCCGAAGGAGAAGGTGCAATTTGTCCAGGTGCCGGATACCGCCCTCGCGGTCGAGACCTGCAGGAGTAGCTTCTCCAGCGGCGCCAGCACGCAGATCTCCAGCACGTCCACGGAGGAGTGTTGAATCGCGATGGACTTCGCGAAGCTCTGTGTCGAAATCGCGAGAGAATTAGTTCCTTCGAAGTTCACTACTATTATGTGCGAAAGGAGATACGAACGACGCGAGAGGCAGCGGAAATTATTCTTGCGTTTATGCATGTGGTGCAAGTTTGTCGGCCGCCTCCGAGCGATTGAGGACAATAACGAAATAAATGACGTGGCCGGATGAGAGTGCAGCTACATGCGTGTGTTTTGATATTCGCTTGTGTATGCGAATCGGCATACATCTTTCGAATTCATCATAGCTCTTAGGCGTTCCAGAGATAGATCGCTCTTTATTTTAGAATTTGTTAATAGAGCGTAAATGACGTTCGCGTGTTGCGTTGCGTATATACATGTACATATATTTTCTTACATCCTGAATTCATGTAAATTATCATTATTTGTTTTGTCGACGACACGCTTTCTCGTTTATACGTAACGAAATTCGATCTTGAAACAGTTTGTTTTGAAAATCGACCGTGAATTTGGAAACTCCTGGTCGTAAAGTAACTAAATAATACGCATCGACACCGCGCTTTGCACTGCAATCAAAATAAACGATTCGTTGCATCGTTTCGAGCCCTGGCAAAGCGGCTGTTCGACGAAGAGGATTCGCACTAGTATTAAGAGCATTATTGTCGTCGGGTATTAGCCAGCTCGAGAAGTATTAGAGTTCGCCGAACCCGAGAAGGAGGCTTTAGTCTTTACGCTTATTCACGCACTGTGTCCGCGTACTTCCTTCCTCCTGCGTTCACAGGTAGATCAATTGGTGCAACACGTGCACTCTTGAGCGATTTTATTTATTCGTACGAATTCGTCGTACGACTCCATGTAGATATTGTACACAGCATTTCATGACAAAGTCCCTCTCGTCGAGGCGTCTTCGTGCCCCTAATTATTATTTTTGTACATTACATATATAAATATATATTACTCATTTATATTTATATTAAATAATTTGTACATAGAGAGATGAAAGGATGGCGAATCTCACCACTGCTAGTTCGTATCTTGTAGAATTATTCGTATCCTGTGTGTGTAGAATTTTATCAGTGTGTCCAAGTGGTCCGTAGTAATTAATGTATGATATACATTATTATTGCCGTTTTGTATTATCCGTCATGGTGAACTCAATACAGGCTGTCTATAACATGTGATAACACCGAAACCAATCGCCACTTAATATTAATTAATTTATGTGACTTTCTAAATAAAATATATTTTTTGCGAGAGGCAATCGATGCTGAGTTGATGTGCGGATGTATTTCGCGCGATACCTGGATCTATCCGTTTTCCTAATTAGATATGTGAAATGCGTATGTTATAATTACTTTAATTCTTCTTATATACAGATTTTTTTCTAAAATTTATTTATTACAAATATTTACTTTAAGAGCGCAAAACGCACCACGAAGATTATCCTCGAAGTTTACCAAGCTTTTTATACAATTCCTTATCAAGAATCTTACGTAATAATTCGTATTTACAAAGCGTTTTGCAACACGTTACATTCAAACAGCGGAATTCTTAATTGTCGCAGCTGTTGCTTGGTAAAAAATTGCGCACAATTTCACAAGTCTCACAATCAGTTCGACGCGAGGAACTTTAACCCATCAACGATCGACGGAGACACAAAAAACGCAAAAGAAATATCACACTTTGATATTCTTTTATCGTCAACAAAAAGAAAGCTGTAAGTATATTTATAGCCATTTCTCCTGGCATTTTTCTTGAAATTGATTTCTTATTAAGAGTTAATGGGTTATTGCCGCCCCCGTCCTATTGTACTTTAGCTTGATTCGAAGCATTATTTACAGCTACTTTTTGGAGCAACCGGCTCATAATCGAGAATTTTCGTAGAGCGGCGGTCGCGCCGGAAACCGTGGTAACTCCAATGTTGACAATTGGCCGTCGTCGTTAGTGAATGTGCTATTGTCGTACGCCGACGAAGCGGTCTTCACTTCCCTGTCCACTTGGCTCTCCACCTCCGCAGATCCGTCCATTAGGAACATAGTGAAGAAGAACATAATGGAACCTATGAACAAAATAACGTGAGATTATCCTTTGACCGCAAACCCTTCTTCCGTAACTAAAAAGATCCACGAAAGAGAGAGAGAGAGAGGTTTCATTAATTCTTCCTCTGTTAAAAATATACGATAATAATTATAATTACAATTGTGACATAAGCAAAATATGGTAATGATGATAATATTATATATGTGTATTGATAAAGGTTTATTTTGCGAAAGTCTCAACCCTTTTACGAAGATAAATGATGTAAGAGCTTAATAATGTAAACGATCACGAAGAGGAAGGATTATACGGGATAATGAAAATTAATTTTTCATTATATTAATACTTACTGACGCCGTAGGCTCCAGCATAATAAATGTACAACGATTCTCGGAAACCAATGACCATTCTGGTGGGCTCGACTAATATCGGTAAGTTTCCGCCGATGTTATTCATGACAAATAAAAAGACGCCGACGGTGGTCGATCGCAGATTTAGAGGAACGATTTCCACCACGATGGCAAATAATATTCCAAACCACATTTCGGCTGCGAGCAAAACAGAGACGAGATCGTTGAGTTTCGAGATAATCTCATATGTGATTTAATATAAAATATATATCATTATGTATAATTATAATTAATATTGAATTTTTATATTATATAGATTTCTATTAGAATATAGATTTATAGTTTAATATCTAACAAAGCGTCTCTCTCACCGAAGAAGTAAGAAATTCCCAGTGTAATCATAGCCCAAAGAGGGTTAAAATACACCGAACCGAATGCGAACGGCGTCGCAATTATCTGACTAATTGCCAAACAAGCTACGCGCGACCGAATTCCCATTTTCGCCACAAACTTGTCGCTAATTATCCCGCCGGCCACGACACCGATACTGCCGATGACGATCGTGACAGCGAAAAGCCACCAACCCAGATCGTAATCCGGGAAATAATCCCGGTAGTATAGGTCACAATTGTAAGCGAAGCACAAGCCACCTGAAAAAATAAAACTCAATTTAATTAAATTTGCGTAAAGGGGCACGTGAAATTAAAAAAATAAAGATTGTGATATAGATAGCAAATGCGAATCACTCAATTGAAGAGGGAAACAAATTTGCTAATTAAATGTTTGTCAAAATAAAAATTGCTTCCCTCTTTATTTTAATTTTGAAATAATTTGTTTTTACATCTAAACAAATAATTATAATATATATTATTATATATATTATAATATCTTTATATATATAAATTATATATTATATATATACAATATCATAATATATATCATAATTTATATTATAATGTATATTATAAAATATATTATTAAAATCTGTATTCGAGAATCGCGCTGATTCGAAGAGGGGAACTCTGAGAGAAATAGCTAAATAATGCAATTTTGTGAGAAGCTAAAATTAATGATAAAAATACTAATCGGGAAAAAGATGAGAGAAAAGAGTGTGTGCCACATCGAGGCGAATTCGCCGGATTAGTGCAAACTCGTAGACGCTAATGTACCCTCGATATGTATCTCAATCCTTTTGCGTCAAGGTATTGCCCTTTACCGCAATGTCTGATGCTGGCTGCGAGGCATAAGAGAATAATTCGCGGTTGCAGTAGCGCTTTCCAAATCGATACTTGCTTCCCATCGTTGGCCTCCTCGCCGATCGTCTTTCTCTCCGGCTCGGTGAGTGTCAGACCGGTGAGGACGGCGATGATTAAGCCGATCACACCGGCGCCGTAATAACAGGCTCGCCATCCCTGCCGATTAACGATTTTCGTTCCGATTATTCTTACTTAATTATACGTCTCGCAATCAGTTAAAGCAGTATTTCATTTGTAAGCATCATTAACGTAATTGTTAACCACACGTTCTCGTATTCTCATGTCTGCGGTATTTAATCCTAAATTATACTTAATTTTTACGCATCTGTCATTCTTATGGAAATGTACATTTCATCGGGGATCAATTATTTTTCTTCCGCGTGGAAATTATTTCGAAATGTGTATCGAGCAATTATCTGGCGGAACATATGTTGACTTTGGGAATCGCACAACAAAAGGAAGAAAGAAAAGGGACACAAAAGAGACAATTGGAATTGACTCACCAGATCCCAGACGTTTAGTTCGGGCACGTAGCGACCGACCGGAAAGGCGATACCGTAACCACCGTAAATGCCCCAATTAAACATGGACATGACAAGGCCACGTTGGTCTTCCTCAAACCAATCGGACAGAAGACCAGTCGCCATCGGATTGCATCCTGCCTCCCTGCAATATTCGGACTTTGTTAGAACTGAGACAGCACCATGTCCAAAATTGGCGCATGAAAAGATGTCTTGGGCCGGTAATCATAGTCAGATCTTATATTTAAGATCGTCTCAAGTTCATCTTCAGATGCTGTACGGATCATTTCATAGGCTACGGAGTATCTGAAGATAAACTTAAGATGGAAATATAAGATCCGACTATGAATACCGACCTTTATGCGACTTCTTAAAGATGCGGGAATACTCGGCGAGCCTCTATCATCAATCGGAAGCGGAAGTGTCGTTGTTAGAACTTACCCCGCCGCCAGGACCATTCGTAGAATAAGAAGCTGCCAGTATTCCTTCACCGCTCCGCTCAGAAAGATTGCAACGCTGAAGACCAAAGTGCAAACCGTCAGCAGCCTCACTCTGGAAAAATTCGGTATATAATATAATAGATATAATAATATATAGAAATATATAGAAAATAATATATAATATATAGAATAATATATAGAAAATAATATATAATAATATATAAATATATATATAAATATACAGAATATAATAGATGTAATATTCACGAGACATGTAAATTGGCTGATTTTGTTAATTATACCGGTTATATCTATCAGCCGCAATGCCCAGGATAATACCGACGATCGTATAGACCGCGATGAAGCTAGGTCCCGCTAGGATTTGATAGTCCAGGCCGAGGCCGTTGTAATTCCACTCGCAGTAATGAGATCCGTTCAATTCCAGGGACTCGCAGCTAGAGGAAGAACAAAGAACGCGTTACGGCGAGCGAAAGTGCGCAACGTGATGACGAATGGGATAAATCGTTGCTACGGGAAAGCTTTCGACTCGCCTTGATTGATCGATGGCCTATAGGAATTACCGTGTAAATGGAAGTTAGAGACGGAGGACACAGATGGGGGATTTTTTCTCTTCTTTTTCTATATTGCGAATCTCGCGAACTCGTGAAATCGCGTTCGTGACATTTAACGCGGCGCTTCCGGAATCCGTCGACAATGAGTCAATTGGCTTTGATGCAAAGTCCCACGTGTCCTCTCGCGACGTTTATCTCGTTTCATTATCGACGCGTGACTTGACGGTATCAAGCTGGTGAATCAATCACAATTATCCACAAGGAAGTTTATTTGTCAGAGGAGGAAATACTGACCGCTAATTACGCGTACAGTTACGTGCGACTTTCGTTCGTATAGAAGATTTCTAGGGCACACAGGTGGCATTAATTGGACTTACTAGGTGGAATTCTTCGCAGTTTCGCATTGCACCGGGAGGTCGACCAGCCACAGTGTTGTCGAATTAAATTGGCAGGAAATATCTCCGTAATGCAGATCCTCGGCGATATCTTTGCTCGTTACACCTTCCCGAAAGAATTCACATTTTAGTGGAACCAGAGATGGATTGTAAACCGCAAAATATGACAGAAAAATAATAAATATTCTAATAAAAAATCAAACATGATTGTGAGATCGACCAATGATAAAGATAAATTAAATAATTAACATGTTTGAAGAATGAATTGGAGAATGAAGGAGAGATTGATTGTAAAATATAATAGACAGAAAAATAGGAAAAATATTCTAATAAAAAATAAAACATGATTGTGAAACCGGCCAATGATTAAGATAAATAATTAAGATGTTTGAAGAATGAATTGAATGAGAAATGGATTGTAAACCGCAAAATATAACAGACAGAAAAATAGAAAAAAAATTCTAATAAAAAATAAAATATGATTGTGAGATCGACAAATGATTAAGATAAATGAAATAATTAAGATGTTTGAAGAACGAAGAGTATAACACACACAATGGAGGACTTACCTATTACAAAATGACCTAATTCTGCTAGAACATAGCCGATGGACAATACAGCCAACGCATAAGGCTTGTAAAGAAAGGCCAATGTTTGCATTATCGAACGAAACATTGTTGCTTGATCTGGAAAACGTACGACTTGAAACAGAATCTATTCTTGCTTGCGTAGCAAGAGGATTATATAATTAGCATGTGATGGGAATTACAGTTGTCGCATTTGTTGGCGGATATATCAACCATCGCGCAGAATAAACCTGCGAACCTTGTATTATTTTATTCGGATGGACTGCGATAATGCGCACGCAATAAATCGCGATAAATTTAATTACGAGATACATCTGACGATGAGCAGTAGTGGTATTTTTAAATACGCACGTAAAACTTCCTGTGATTTTTTTATCAATTAATTTTATTAAGTTAATAGCTTCTAAAATAATTTTCTTACAGTGTCAGTTTCAAATCTAATTATTTTTAAAATAAAACAAAAAGATTATGACTAATATAGATTTCCGCGGATACATATTCATCGTTTCAGCGGAGGCTCGTTCATGAATATGAAAAATGACGATTGTGTGAACGAGTGCGTTCATCACCCGAAATGAGATGCAGAGATCGCGAATCGTGATTGGAAATCGCGGCAGAAAAATTTATTGTTACGAAACTGCTTCTTTTATTTATTATTGATCGAGTAATATTTGAATTTCAATACATTGTAACATTTTTTTTTAGCACAAGATACATTGAAATACAATGGAAAACCGTCTAATTAATTACAGATGTATATACATTTTATATAGAAATCTGTCTTTTAAGAAAATTTGTCAGTATAAAATTCATTGCAAATTATAATTGCAAGAAATAAGAGCGTAATATACATATATGTATAATATAATAAATTTTATCCTTTGCAGATATCGTGCAATTTTGTCATCACAGATTTGTTTTTACACTATCGCGATAAAAACGGAAAAGGTTACTAGGTTTAGGTTAAAGAATCGATACGACTAGAAAGATAAATGATAGGAAAGTTGAGAAATAATTGAATACATTACTTCTGTGTATGACGCCGTTACCATTATAGTTATTATTTTTTTGTAAAAATAAGACATTACAAATTTTGTCTGTAATGGAAAGGATACATTTTCTCACGAACAAGTGGAAGAATTTAAAGAATTATTTTTATCATTCTTTTTTTCGAATTTACGCAGCATGATTTCAAGAAATGTCAAGGAACACTCGTAAAAAATATTAAATATTTTAAAAAAATTAAAAACTAATTTGGGCACACAAAATGTAATGTCGTTTATTTTAAATTTTACATGCTTTTTGTAATACCATTAAAACAATAACGGGAAACGACTTGTTATTATTCGAGTAATAACGGTAACAAATTACTTTTTAAAGTTGACGAGTGACGGTAACAAGTTATTTTTAAAATTAACTAGACGGTTCAGCAAAAGAATAAGGTAACGGTAATGAGTTACTAAAGTATATAACTTTTCCAACTTTGACAGCATATTTTTTCCACGTGCCGCGACTGACACATGATAATTCGCGCAACAGAATGCGAGATTGTGCGCTCGTTTTCATGATTTTATGCGATATCACGTTTCATTGCATGCACGAGTATCATCTTCGGATGGAAGAAGACGCATGATTATCATTATGATAACGAACGGATAGAAAAGCTCGTGTTCTTGCGCACACGCGCGAGAGAAGTTTCAGTTAAGACGCGAGTCTTACTTCGAATCTTTCCTACATATATATACATACATATATGCCGGATTACCTTGAACCAAAATCATTGAGATGGAACGAAAATTGTCATTTGAATCATTCAGTTTGTTGGAATAGCGATTCGCCACTTTAATTCACGAACAAAAAAAGATGTCCTCTAAAATCAATCTCATTTCAGAACTAATCACATAACTGTTAATTGAAATCTCGTATGGTATATAATTTTTGTAACTTAGTGTATTACTTTTATAATTCTATTTTCTAGTTTATGTGATATGTGTTTATATTAAAATTTGATTAATTGAATTTATAAAATATATACATGCGCGTAAAAATAATAAAAGGTAAAGATGAAGCTGACGGAGCTAAAGAGTTATATAGAGAATTAATCTGTGAAGGTCGTCACGCTTTATTTGACAAAGCAGCGGATATGAAAAGAAGATAATGATAATGAGAGATCGATGAAGGAATCGCGAATCTCGAATAAGTGCCAAACATTTCAATGTCCGCTGAAAATCAGCACGATTGAAGAAATATGCAATTTTTTCTAGTTTCATGATAATTAAATAACGAATGTCGAGGTATAAACTTGACAGTGATATGTAAAGCCGTAATGGTCATAAAATATTCATTCATGGCAGTAAATTAAATGTTCGATTTTAAAGTGCATGCTATCAACGTCGAATTGCAGCCGATGCATAGAAGCGATGCAAATCTGTAATTCAATCCGCTGTAATTACACGCGCGAATGGTGCACTGATACAATAAGAGATATGCAGGCGAAGCATAATTATTTGCTATGGTTAATAGTTGATGTCAGGCATAAGTATATGCAGCTGGCGACTTATATTTACGCTAATCGATTTGCTCGATTATTGTGCGGTTGAAGAGAGCGTAAGATTCGTATATACAAGTCATTACACAATAATGCGCGAATTGCCACAGGGTACCCTGGGCGAACCGGAAATTCTCAGGCGAGTAGAAGCGGGATTATGTGATTTATGTGTATATATAATGTAAAAATCCTTGGTCACGGTCGCGCACGATAGATGAATAAACGCATAAATACGATTGCAACGAATGGATGCGCTAACGCAAAATTATACGCTGTATCTTTTCGCGGCATCTTCTTATATTCGCCGCATTCGATTTGCAGAATACGAATCAAGCTGACGGTATAATATAAAAATATCATCGTAAGCGAGGATTCTGCATCGTATGTGGCGGACAAAATGATATTTTCAAAGGATAAGAGTAAAAAAGTCGATGATAAATTGATGATAATTTTGTACCTTTGTATAATGCAACGTTATAGATTGGACATTTTTCTGAATATCATTTATCGATTTATGCGGATATTGCTTTCATATATGTATAATTATTTTCTTCTTTTTCTTTTAATTATGAGTCGCGTTTGTATGAATAATTTATTCGACATTCTTGGCATAGCTATTTTTTTACAAGTATTTTTAAATTTTTTCAACTTCGATAAGCAGCACTACATGTAATACAATCAATTTTTATTGTGAGAAATTATACGGGTAACTCGCGAAAATTTTCAATAATAATTTTAACGCGATAATATAATAATTAATTGTCAAGTGTAAAATATATTTTTCCTGGAAACTTTGATTATATATTTTTTTAATTAAAATGTTTTCGAGGTCTTTGAATGGATCAGAATTGTCCCAATAGCATGGATCTTTGAAGAATCCTCCGCTCGTAATTTTGCAAAGACTCTCATTAATTACGTTTTCTATACAAATTATAAAATAGTAAAAGTAATATAAAAGTATAAATATATGTGAAAAATTTGAGCGATCGAAACTTATTAATTTATATTTTTGATTAGGAACTTAGCTATTTTGATGTGAATTGAGAGGCATTAAAAAATGCATATTTGAGATAAACTTTAATTGCGTTTCTTTAAGGCTACTTTAGAGATTATACAGTAAAATTGCAAAACGGAGAAAAATGTCGTGTTGTTACAACATCAAAGCTGTAATTTACAGGATAAAATATAGCTCTCATTTATATCTTGCGTAAAAGTGTCATTTGTTCATGTTACATCAACGTCGATTAAAAGAGAATTAATAATGATCGGAAAAATCGCAATGTCAATGTAATGACAAACGAAACGAAAAACTGTTTATTTTTAATAAGCGATTGTATGAGTACATATACTTAGAAATATGAAGATTATAGATAGAATCTAACAATTAGTGGTACAGCAATTCTGTTTTACAGTTATAAGTGAAGAAATCACAATTTTTTCCGAGAAGTAATACAAGATCTCGATTTCCATATAATCTGACCTACTGCTGTTTGAGAAAATTTACGATTAAAAATTTGTTCGTACAATATGATCTATTTATATAGATTCATATTTCAAGGTATTATATATACACTCTGTGCGTTCACGCATTACCAATGATTAGCATAAAAACAAAAAAAGAAGAGTATATCAAGGAGAAACAGTGCATGCATCCTGATATCGAACAACAGGCAAAAATAAAACATGTAAAAATACGATAAGTATAGCGAATCGAACTGGATAATTAGAAAATGAATGCGTATTTATATATATATATCTACTCATAGAATATAGCGATTAGAATATAAATATGTATTCATATGTATACTCGTATTCAAATTAGATATCCGTGAGGATATCTTAATTACCTCCGTTTACTGACAATCGACAAATTAATGTTATCCTTTATATCAAAGTACGTAATCCGTTCGCGAATCTTCAAGCTCTTATACAACGATTTTTCGTGAGTATATATTTTTACAGTAACACGGCTTTACTCTCGGCTCTCCCTTTCGATATATTATTTATACATCGCCCCCCTCCCCCTTTCTGTCCCTTCCCCCCTTGATCGATCGATTAAAAGCCATCTGCCATCTCGCTTTTCCCGAGGGGAGCTTTCCGTATTTTCCAGCCGATTGGATTTAATGATTTTTTCCAGCGTTCTAGAGAGATTCCGCAGGGCGACGAACACAGTTACGCTTATACAGGGTGTTCCACGAAGCGTGCATCATTATATGGAAACGCTCTTATAAGCGTTAGAGCCTGACCTTTCTTCGGTGAAAGTTTGATCGAGTAATGAAAAATATATATTTGTTGTTACAGCGACGTGAAAGCTTTATGTATACATTTAAACGACGTTTTAATCTCTCTAATATCAAATTCAAATTTTCGCTTTTTTTTTAGGATCAATTTTATTGCGCAAAATAAATATATCGTTTTTATTTTTTTTTTAATATATAAATAGAAGCAGATACAAATGATTCTGTCAATGTACAGTGACCGCAATAGCTGGCGAGATAACAGAACTGCTAATGAAAGTAAACAGATGACATAGTTATGTTATGTTTGATGAATATCAACTAATAAGCTTTTTATAGCGCATCCGATCATCTCACGACTAATAAGTATGTATTACGTAAATCCATTAAGTTATCCGTGAGTAACTCCGCGAATTTACTTCTGCACATTAGTTAATTCGTAATTGCACATGCATGATTAATGCAAGCATATCGTAAGTGCAGGCGAATGAATACACGTGTCATAGATATATAATACTGTGAATGGATGTGAATTTACGTAATGTGTAAATACACTTATTAGCCGTGTGATTATTCGATCGAATAGTTTATTAATTGTTAGAGCGTTCGCCAACAATTTATCGCATCTCGCAAATATTTATCGGGAACATTTTTTTACTCCGTTTATCGTTTATCGGAGAACTCACCCTGCATTGTAAAAAAAATTTGTTAACTTGACTAAATCTCTCAACTAAACATTATTTTGTTAATCGAACATATAAAAATATTTAAATATTTTTTATTAATAATGCGAATAATTATTTAGTCAGCTCTTTTAATTTTTAAAGCCACAATCTCCACTTGATTCCTCTCGACCAATAGAGCCAAACGCGATGTTATTGCGACAATTATGAAGGAAAGAACATTTTTGGAAAGGAATTTGAATCCTATGGTTGGGATCTCAAAAATTCCCCCTGTTCCTTCTCTTAACATCCCCTGTAAAGAAATAGGCGAGAAAAATATTGGTCCGAAAGTCCCGATTCAGCCGACTTTCGGACCAATATTTTTCTCGCCTATTTCTTTACAGGGGATGTTAAGAGAAGGAACAGGGGGAATTTTTGAGATCCCAACCATAGGATTCAAATTCCTTTCCAAAAATGTTCTTTCCTTCATAATTGTCGCAATAACATCGCGTTTGGCTCTATTGGTCGAGAGGAATCAAGTGGAGATTTTTTATTAATATTAATTTTTATTATTATTAATGAAATTATTTTTATTAATATTATAAATATTATTTTTTATATTAACAATTTTTTTTCAGGGTGTGTCTGCTTAATTGCGAAATGAAAAAGTTAGCGGAATACGAAGGGGATGATTAAAAAATAATCGCTAATGATTTCGCGCGAAAAGAGAGGGAAACCGCGTGACGATTTATCGCGACGTCAAGTTCGCGTCATCGACGATCGAAGCGGATACGCGAGAGATTTTAATTAGAGCTTTGTGCGCTGACAACAAGTTGAAGGCTGAACGAACATTATGGGCGTAGATCGTGCGTCGGCATCCCGGATTGGATGCGGATCTAACGGGCCTCTGTATCGCGAGTTACGAAGCCCGCAAATAGCGCGGAACAGCGCGACGCAATAATGTTAATCGCGCGCGAGCTCATTAATTAATTAATTGACGGAACTGCGCCGATCGAGGGCGTCGAAGAACAAAGAGTCGATTGTGATTCGTACGATCGAAAAAACGCATTTCAATTGCATTGAAATTCGAACTTATATATAATTAAATTGTTCAATATATATATATATATATATATATATATAAGATACTCCTTTGCACTCATCTCGGATTCCAGCCCGTGTTTACGCGCGTGTCCTATTTATTATTGAATTTCGGTATTATGTGCACGCGTATGCGGATTTAGATTTTTGCAGGTGTCGACTCTTTTATTAAAGCCGAGTTTTACAAATGGAATAACGAGACAGCGGAACGCGATTCTTAACACGGGGCGTATTGTGTATTGCATACCGTTGTATTACGTATGCTTGGCATTTTCTGCATATTGTCTTTCCTTATTTGCATGTTCATTCGATACTTTCACTATACGTGCCCTTTTTCGCATTCACAGTCTCGTGTTTGTGCAAAATCCTTGTCTCGCCGAACGATTATGCGGAATTATGTACGCTTTATAATTGATCTTTTCTCCGGCTAATTAGAGCTTTTCTTTTTGCGTAAAAATATATATATATGACATTTTTAATATTTAATATAGAGCAAGTTTTGATAAGTTGGAGCACAACTAATTAAAGAATATAAAGCAGGGAAGAAAAGGACAATAGGGAGAGGGATATTTTATATATCATGCAACAAATACAAAAATGATCCATACAAATTTCGGGCTAAAGTCAAAATAGACTAGAATACAAAAATATAATATTTTTTTCTATCGTGAAAAATCTCGTCAAAATGTGCACAAACAACTGACCCTTTTATTGTCTGTAAAACAATTGAGTGAACAATTCGTCTTTTTTAGGTTTTGCAAAGATCTCATCTAGATTCAACAAAGAACTGCGAAAGGGTACTCACATATCCTTCGCCAAAGGTCCGCGAGATCCTCGAAAGTACCGGAAAGGAACCGGGAAGAATCCGAATCAAGAAGAGACTGGATCGGTCGCGCCAGAATCCGACGATAAAAGAGAGGACCAGAGAGGTGGAGAAGAGGAAATAATGAGAGAACACGTGAGAAAGAGAACGGATCGATCCCTCCGCGTGCGGAGGGTGGAGCGTCAAATGAGGCGCGAGTCGGTAACCAGGCTTCATTTATAAGAAAGTGTCCAAGGATCTTCCTTCTGGCAGAGCCGAGGGAGGGATACGAGACAGGAGTACGGACTCTGCGATGGTGTGCAGGTAAAAAAACTATGTACTTCTCTCTACCATATGTGGTGGGAGATCGTATCCGGATGATCTCGCGAACTTCGATTTTCAAGGTCGCGGCGTGACTTGACCGCTTGCACCTCATTATATCATCGCGCTTAAAATGTCGGAGGAATAAAGAGAGAAAGGAGACGCTTACGAATACTTCACACCACGTGAAACGTAACAAAGAAGTCATGAAGCAAAGGGGAGCAAGAAGGAGCATCTGAATCTGATTCTTGGAATCAGGAAAAGAATTATAAGCATTTATTCTCTTTTTGAATAAATACTAAAAATGAAATTGAACAAAATAATAAAAAAATAAATTTTTTAAAATAACGAAAGAACAAAAATTAAAAAACAGAAAAATTAATTATGCCCCTTTGAAATCAGGAAAAGAATTAAGCATTTGTTATCCTTTTGAATATAAACTTCAAAATTTATTTGCATGTTTAAAAAAATAAAAATAAAACAAAATAACAAAAAATAAATTTTTAAAAATTAAGAAATAAAAAAAATTAATTATGCCTCCTTCTGGAAAAAATCCTACGGACGCCCATGAAAGAAGTCCTTCGAAATCGCGTTGAAGATCTAGCGGAAGACGCGAGATATCACGGGCTTTAACTCGAATAATTACCATATAACCGTATTTAGAAACATTTGCGAGGATAAATGGACACATTACAGCCGAAAGGTAATTATTAATGCCTTATGTGGAATCTCGGCAACATTGAAAACTTATCGATCCTTTTCTCTCGCCGCTGTAATTTTGCATGAAACGTGTGAAAAAGTGTTTAATAGTACCCGGCTAATTGTTTCCCGTGAAGTGTTAATCACTGTCGAATGGTAGAGCACAATGAGTAATCTGGAGGTGATCAACCTCGTGGCTCGAAGTGCAGCTCGCACCTACGTACATGAAGAGGTGACACATGCGATTGTATGTAACATTGACATACTTCTGCCTCTTCGTGTGTGTTATGGTTCTTAAGTGGCACAAAATACAATAATAAAGTTCGACGTCTCTCCTTGAGAGCACAGGAGCAGGACATGTATTATACTATTGTATCGCGATCGCTAATCGGAGAACGTCATCTTCGGGGGAGGCTAAATGGAGAACTAATCGCATACCATGATTATTCATCGTGCCGCTCCTTTGAGACATGTCTTTGCACAAATGCGCGAGAGATGGATCTTGTTTTTGTAAAAGATAAATTACATTTCTTGATATAGTACATTAAAATTTTTTTTAATTATTTTAAATCGTTTTTTTTTTTGCGAAATTTTTTGCTCTTAATTATCTCCTGTCGAATCTCTTAATTTCGAGATTGTTAAAAGTGCATCCAGCCAGATATAGCAGGATAAAATTATTTCGTCAAACGAAATAGAACGGAAGCTTAAAATTATATGAATTTAAAAGGTTTGCTTTCGCGACAATAATTGAATTAAATTTTATTTGATTGTATATTCTTTTTCGTCAAATATCTTGAAAAAAATAGTACGTTTTCTCCTGTTTCTCTCTCTCTCTCTCTTGTTCACTGATTTAATTAATTTTACACCCTGCCGATATTGCATTTAAACGCTTCGATTCTCCTTTAGTATCTAGTGTATGTGTCAAGCACACATGACAAGTGCAACAATCGACGTTACCGTTAACGACAGATCTCGCGACATAATTGAAAGATGCGTGCTCGCAATGCGTATACATCAATGGAAGGCCATTTGATTCGCGAGCAAAACCTTCGTCCCCGCAGAAGTGCGGGTCATTAGTGGCTCGGAGATACTGATTATGGATCTAATATTGTTCGCGGCCGACCCCGACCTAATTTTTAACGAGAGAGACTGGAAATTTTGATGCCAATTAATTCCAACTCGCTTTGTTTCACAAATGGACTTATCGTCTAACGCTCGCTCGCTGTTTATATTTATTATCATAACACGAATGTTTTTTTTTTTTTTCATTTTAATAAGCTTATTTTTAGCTCTCTTTGTGTCTTTAACAATTTGCAGACATGGTTATAAATCGATGGATGATATTTTTTAAGAAAAAGTGGGACAGCAAAAATGTGATATATGTAATCGTATTTTATGAGAGAAGATGAGGGATAAATTCCTGAAAATTTTTGGAATTTGTTTCAACATGTTTCCAAATCAATTTACGAGCAAAGTGGAGATCGACGAGTAAAAAAATAATTCTAACTATCAGAAGTCTATGTATTTTTTAGTTTGAAACTGATTCGACATGTTGAAATAAATCTTTGATTTCGTTGTTTTCGTATAAATTCTCATTAAAATGTAAACGACAAAATTTAAAAAAATAAAGGAAAAATTGAGTTCTGAAAAAATAAATGAATGTAAAATAAAGGACGCCATTAGAGGATGAAAAATCGCAAAACTCTCTCTGATCTCGTGCAACGATGATCGAATGATGCGCTCGGCCTCGATTAATCGACCGGTAATTAAGATTCGCGCGCGACAGCATTTTTTGCGTGCTATTAAGTGAGATCCAAGGGAAACTCGCACTCGGGGAGAGAGATTTGCGAGGGAATTAAAGGAGCGCGCCTTTAGTACGCACTCTCGTTGTTATCGACCATCAGGAGAAGAGGCCGAGCCGAGCTGGCTCGAGCAAAACCGAGCGACACCGAATTGCGGACGTTGGAGTTGAACCGCTCCAGAGTCGAGTCGTCCCTTCGTCGGCCCAGGACCTAGATCCCGTCCTGGGAATAACGCGCGGAGATCTCGGGATCACGGACGATTTATTCTCATCGCGATCGCGATCTCGAGTGAGCGAGCGAGCGAGCGATCACGATATATATCGAGTTTTCGCTCGCGTCTTTCAAAGACGGACAGGGCGCGAAAAACTAGGGCGAAAGTACCCAATTATTACGGACTATATAGCGTCGTGTTTACATTTTCCTAAGAGAAATATCAGGGTACCCCGAAGTTGACGGAGAAACCGGGGAGTCTTAATTAGGTCCGCTGTGTGAAACGAGATAATCATCTCGCTCGACGATCGATCCTATGTCAGTGCCCTATTCTTCGCATTTCGTGACTCGATCGTGCTCTTTATATATACATATATTTTTTTGTGACTCATCGTGTCAATGTTCCGCGCGTTAATAACGGCGATCAGGCCGATTCTGATCTCGTCTCTTTTAATAATCTCGCGGATGAATTAGAGATCCGTCGTTGAGAGACGGTCTTAATTCGATTTTAATCTCAGGTGCAGTGAAGACCCGCGATTTTTATACCGAGCGCGATCGTTGATATCTTTTCGCGTGCTTAATTATTCAATATTAATTAAATTCAAAGTGCGACAAGCCCTCAAGCGGGATGCGATTATTCGTGACGACGACTCCCACGAGTCGCTACTAGGACTTTGCGAGAGTGCGTGCAAATTTTATGAGTCGCGTGTCGTCGACTCCTCGTACTTGATTTAAGCCTCCAAGAGGCAATGTGCGAAATTCGCATCGCGAATGTCGACGGTGACGAAGAGTCGTTCGTCGTTATCGCTCATGTGAAAGCAACATGCATCCTTTTGGCAGCTTTTCGGCAACAGAAACCATGGCAAATGTCGATCGGCCGCACAGCAGCGTGAACGCGAAGACGTAAGTTCCGTTTTTCTCTGTTGACGATTTTTTTTACAGCCGGCCAGCTACGGTTCTTCTTTCGCCCACAAGACTTAAAATCGTCTTTCTGACGTCCTCCGTCTAAATATACGATTCGGGCATATGTATACAATAAACTGCTTCATCATTCGTTGTTTTCGGTTCACTCTCCCGCGTTATATATTACTGTCGTGTATAAAATGTCAGCGTGAAAAAATAAATCCCGCGCGCGCGGTTCTATTCTCTTCGATCAGGTGGTTCGAGTATCGAAACAATCGTATTTCGAACGTCGATAGAAATCAAATTCATTTTTTGACGAAATACGATACCTATTTTTTAAGTTTGAAAACTACCTCAGGTTCAATGTGAATTTTTTGGAAATTCTATCTCTCAGGATGAGATGAATTAAAATTGATGAATTTGAAAAGAAAGTTTCGTCGCGTACTTTTTTTCTATATTGACTCCAGCGAGTCTTGAAACGGAGCTTTATCGGAGAAGCCGAGGGGTTCGCAAGATTTTTTTAAATTCTCAATCATTGTACCTTGTTACTCGAGTCCGGCGGCGCAAACCTACGTAATTATCGGCAGCTTTAACGTTACGTGGGCCGACACGAGAATAATAGTCAAGGTCATGAGCGCGGACAGTGCTGAAAAACGAAATATCGATTGCGCACCGTGTCGCATCGGCCGCATTTTCCCCTGTGACGCACGTCGTCGCAACGCCGCGAGATGCATCCAGCATCCACGCAGCGGATACCGCATACGGAATGCAACTATGTAGCGCTCTACTCTCAGGATCTGCCAGAAATGTAGAACGTAGAACCAGAAAATGAGAGAGAGAGAGAAAAGAGAGAAAGAGAGAGAGAGAGAGAGAGCTATGATGAATAATTAAAACCCTTTTTCTCCATAGGGGGATTCAAATTGGACTCTTTCCATCCTTTGTCTTGTGTAATGTGAATTTTTTTCGCATTTTTTTCTTGGGGCTGGAACATTAATGTAATCATTTTCGGGTGTAATTATTTTCTCATTAGATCGTATTAGCATTGTACAGGTGTAAGGTCTGTTTGGTAATTTTATCTTTATTCTTCTTTTCGTCGCCGTCGCAATATTGCGAGATGCATCCAGCATCGGATATGCACACACGGAATGCAACTATGTAGCACTCTAGTCTTTGGATCTTCCAGAAATGTAGAACATAGAATTATACAGAGTGAGGGAGAGACAGAGGGGAGAAAGAGCTATGTGATGAATAATTAAATTTTCCGTTTCCCCCATAGGGATTACAAATTGGATTCTTTATCCTTTACCTTATTCATCCGTCCTTTATTCTAGAGGACAGTCCTTTAATTCAAGTAACTGTCTTTTAGATTTAGGCATTTCTCCAAAACTCAATTTCGTCCTTTATTATTTATTTTGCGTTTTAATGTCGTAGTAATTTAATTTAATTTAAATATCGTAATATTAACATGAGAATTTCAGAAAACAACGGAATCTATTTAAGAAACCAAGAGTTTGTTTCAACATCGAATTAGTTTCAAACTATAAGAATACGTAGACTTCTGATATCGCAAATTGATTTGGAAATATATTGAAACAAAAATAAAATTTTCAGGTTTGTTCTTTATTTTCTTTCAGAAAAAATAATCACTGTATACTGAAAATTATTAACTTGACTAAATCGTTCAAGTAAATAATATATTTTGTTGAACTGAACATTTAAAAATATTTAAGTGAAATATAAAATATTAAATCTAAACAAAACGTGTATTCGATTTAAATACTAATATAAATGTTCAATTAACAAATTAGTAATTTAATTGAAAGGTTTAATCAAATTAACAATTTTTTTTCAGTGTACTTATCCAACGTCGATTTCATTTTTTCACATTTCCTGGAGCTGAAAACAATAATGTAATCATTTTCAGATTATTTCCTCATTAGATTGTATTAGCACTATATACAGATTTGCTCGTAGATTTTATCTCTGTTATCCCTTCCTCCTTTCCAGTCTATCGGAGACTCTCCCCCGGAGATTTCCCCGAGATCATTAGCTAGATATATGCAAAATATAGGTTTACACGTGGAAACTAGTTCACCTTCAATTGACTAACTACACTCATATATGTTCCAACTTTTTCAATAAATTTCCGCACATCAATTTTCCATCATCAAATCGCACGCGTCGACGTTACAAAAGATTAAAAACGAGATTCACGATCGAGAGATGCAAAAAGTCAACCGTGAATCGCTCGATTCAATGTGCTGCTTTTCAGCCCAGAAAACATGCTCTGTGAAAATTCTTTTCACTAATCGAACTACTATAGGTTTCCAATGAATGTTCACTCGAATGTTTTGTTCTTTCAAAAGAGACTTTTTTTACAAGTGCGCTGCTCTCGAGTGGACACGCCTCATAGATAGTTCTTCTGGTTCTTTATCGCGGAGCAAACACAAGCCGAAAAATTTTAATAAATTCGAAAAGTGAGATTTTAATGAACGACGAGCACAAATAATAATTGTTATGTCTTTATAAATATTTTATCCGTTAAAACACTCGTTATTTTATAATTAATAAATAAAAGATCTGTCTTGTGATCTTGTTTGTCGTGAAAAAAAAAATATTTTTTTTTGCTAATTATTAGTTTGATCTAGAGTTAGAGATATAATGCTGCAAATTAGAATATAAATGTGATTTTCGATCGTTCTTCGTTTTCGATCAGATCATCAGATAATAAGGATTGCGCGTGTTCCCTAGAAGTGTGAACTGCGAAGCAGGTGTTTGTTGAATTACAATCTCGGATTACATAAGCAGATAATAATCATTGTATTCTCGGGGAACATATCGCCATTAATTTCCTGTGTATCTTTTTTTCTCTCTCCTCGATCTAATTAAAATCGCGAATTGCGCAATCAGCCGACCCGTTTTACACACCCCTCGAATTTGCATTTGTTTGCATTTCCGGTTTCAACCTCCGATTACCGATCACCGTCAATTGGACGAAACCGTTCGACGAAGTGACATCCAAGGCCTTACATCCGTGTGCTTATTTATTTATAGTTGTATACTAACGGCTCGCTCGCTCAGCAAGTTCTCGTTCAAGGCTACGCGGGTGACTGCTAGGATTTTTATCTACCGTTTTTTTCTTAAGTCTCGTAATTGGCCCGAGAATCGTCAATTCACAATTATGCAAGACGTATCGCTATACGTCTTGCATAATTGTGAATTGACGATTCAAGCAAGCGATCTTGTAATAATTTCCTTACTCAATACGATCTTTCATACGGACAAATTCGAGTGCGCTTGTTAAAATGTATCGAGAGTTTCTCGCACGTACTATTTATTTTTTTTCGAGGCTCTAGATTTAAATTAGTCTGCAGAAGACAAGATATATATTTAAAATTGATCAAGCTTGCATGTATTTTAATTGCGAAATTTTTAAGCGTTGAATTTCATTTGACATAATTCGCCTGATACATACGAGATACTTTAGTAAAATTGAATTCGAGTGCGCTTGTCAAAATATATCGAGAATTCTTCACACTATTTATTTATATTTTTTTCGAGGATCTAGATTTAAATTAGTTTACAGAAGATATATATTTAAAATTGACCAAGCTTGCAAGTATTTTAATTACGAAATTTTCAAGCATTGAATTTAATTTGACATAATTCACCTGATAGATATGAGATACTTTAGTAAAACTGAATTCAAGTGCACTTGCCAAAATATATCGAGAGTTCTTCACACTATTTATTTATATTTTTTCGAGGCTCTAGATTTAAATTACTCTACAGAAGACAAGATATGTATTTAAAATTGATCAAGCTTAAGTATTTCAATTCCAACATTTTTTCACCTGATAGATATGAGATACTTTAGTAAAACTGAATTTATATGTAAAAACAATGTCATAGGTGACCGACTCGCGGATGAGAAGACGGATCATGACGGCGATTAGTCGATCGTAAGTGATGATCGTGAGATCGAGCGAGCGGCCTGAGGAGGTACCACACGAATAATCGCGAAGCGACAACGGGGCGGGGTGGACACGATGGGATCCCTGCCGAATCTTCATGAGCTGTCCAAGGAGAAGCTGGAGAGCCCGGTGTACAAACCGGCGCCGATCGGCGGTCTTGGTCCGGTGCGATTGCCGGCGCAGCCTCCGCCGTTGGCGCACACGCATAAGCGCGCGAGAAGCAGCGGACATCATCATTCTACTCTCTGCGACAACGATGCTATGCTGGAGGTACCCGCGCAATTCATCGGCAGACTCGATTTCAATTTTATACCTTTATTGGATATGTAGATCGATATATATGGGTCTTTCCACGTCAACTCGGTCACCCTCTTGCCCAAAATTGTATTGAAATAAGTCCAACTTGGGATGAGATATCAAAAAGTTTAAAACTTCTAGTTTTCGATTTTCTAAAATTTCTCAGAATTTTGACAAGTTAGAGTTACTTGGAGGGTGGCCAATTTGACGTAAAATGACTTATATAGAGTGTTTCTTAAACATATGTCAAAAATTCAAAAGTCATTTTATAAAAATTTATACCTCTGATGGTTTTTCAAAATCGCTTCTAAGGAATCACCCCTTGAATTTTTGACATATGTTTAAGAAACACCCTGTATACATCGGAAAGATTAAATAAAAAAAAACTCTGAACGTGAGCGCATACTGAAATCCTATAAGTCTAGATCCGCATATAGATTCAGCTGAAGAATCGAAAAAAAACGCGTGACTATGCATAGCTAATGATTATCCGCGCTATTATAAATTGCTACCGTATCGCGGCGCGTTTTTACGGAGTCACGTTCCCAGGAGATGCTCTCTAATCGTCTCTCCCATTAATATTGCAGCACATGGCAGCATATTCGCCGATCTCCTGCCGGTCCACACGCACATCGGCATTGTCGTGGCGACGTCGAGACTCGATGAACTCTTCGGCGGGTGCGTCATCGGTGCGCCGGCTGATCGCGGCGGTCCGGGCGGCCCCAGCTGGACCCCGGCCACCACGTAAGGCCGTGTTACGACACATCGCGGCTCTACTGCTCGGCCACGCGAGCTGCTCGGCCGCCACGCTGCCCATCTTCCCGTTGCAGGCTGGTTTAGGCGCGTTCGAGCCGCATCTGGGTCCGGTGCTCCTGGCGCAGCTCTACATGATGGCAACCGCCACCAGCTGTTTCGCGCCCATCGTCGTGCAGCGACTCGGCACGAATCTCGCCATCACCGCGAGCCACGTGGTCACCGCAATCTTCGTCGGCGTGCACTTGTACCCCAAATGGTACACGATGGTCCCTTCTTAATTATCCCGGTCGCAATTGCAGATTATCTATTTCATTGATTTTCTTCGAATGCTTTCATTTCGTCCAATTGTAATCGCGAACTTATTTATTTGCGCCGGATATCGAGCTTGTAATTCGATAAGACATAACACAAATTAAATTAAATCATGATGCAAATTGTTGAATTTATACAATATGCACGCACGTTCTCTCTTCTGTATTTTAGGTACATACTCGCACCCAGCTACGCGATGCTAGGATGCTGCGCCAGCTCGAGCTTTTTAGCGAGGACGTCACACGTCAACGTATCCGCGACCAGCCTGGCGATGGTTTGCGTCGACCCTGAAGATCCGGATGAGACGCGGCGCGAATGTCTGTTAAGAAGGCTCAACCGGGGAATCAAACTGGCCGAAGACATCGGTCTCGCAATCGGTATTTTCAATATTTCCTTCAATTTTATTATCAATCAACTTCCGCTCTTTCAAGAGCGCATATGTATGATATTAGCAAACATTTTCAAATTAATTCAGAAAATATTTACTTATTTTCTTTTTATACGATTCCAGGTTGCCTCATCGCCACGATCCTCGTTAGGGTAACAAATCTGATGCCGTCTGGCGTAATGAACAGCGACATAGGGGATGTCTGCGGAGCCGAGTACTGTTCGGAGGAAATGTACCTTTACAACGAAACGTTTTACGAGCCGACGATTACGCCGGGAATGTCGAGGGTCCTCGTCAGCATCTGGCTCGGTCTGGCAGTGCTCGGTCTAGGCATATCCTGCGCGTTTCTCGACTCCAGGCTGCAGGAGCCTCAGGCAAACCAGGATCGCACCAGCGTCAAGGATATCCTCAAGTCCGTAAAATGCGCCTTTCAGGATCCGAAGCTTCAGCTCGCGGCACCGCTCACGCTCTTCATCGGATTGGAACAAGGTTTCATCTACGCCGATTTTATGGAGGTAAACAAAGCGGTTCGCGGTATTCGATTAAAAATCTTACATTTGCTTCATTTAATGTTAATTGTAATATCACAATTAATTGCTCCTAAATTTAATTTGATAATCAAAGAATTAATAATTAAAATTGAAGCAAATGTCAATCTATTTTTCCATTTTTTCCCTTTTTAAATTGATAAAATTCCACAGATTTGTCTCTCTTATTTCGTGACCTATTATTTGGAGAAATATTTTATGAAATATACGAATAACTTTATAAATTTTTGTAATATCTGGTGACTATATAAAGCATTGTCTTTTGCATAGGCGTATGTGGTGTGCACCTCGGGTGACGCCGGCACAGTCGCCTTAAATTTCCTGAGCTTGGCTCTGCTGCAAGCTCTCGCCGCCGTGACACTCTCGATGCTGTTGAGGCAGATTAAAAGGTACTATGTTGTGGGTAAGTGATTTCTCAAATGTATTACATTCAATAACAAGCGCAGAGTCGGATTGAAATAAATATATAATAACATATAAACGCAAAATGAATGACTGGTACCTTAGAGTTAAAAACAAATCAATATGTAAGATACGTAAATGGATAAGATAAATGTTACGAGTTTAATATAGTAGAGAGAGAGAGAGAGAGAAAATAAAGGAAAAATCAAGTTATAATTCATAAATAATTAGATGTAAAGAAATATATAATTTTTTTGATCCGACCCGGTTAATTTAAAAATCTGTCAATCGCGGATTAGAGACAGGGGAGACCTTATTGTGATTTCAGTCGTGGGTTTCGCTTTCCACGCTTGTCTCCTGCTGGTCCTGGTCACTTGGAGACCGACAGGAGACGACCCGGCTCTCTTCCATGTCATATCAGCTGCCTGGGGAGTTTGTAATTCCATTTGGGAGACCTTGATATACAGTAAGTGTCTTGAATTTTGATCTTTATTATACAAACGTCAAACTATTTTGTGCTATGTTCGCAAGTTGGATCGATGGCTCTTAGAAACTTCGGACCCAAGTTCCGATTAAGCCAAATCAAAGTTTCGGAAGTGATTTCCAAGCTTCGTTTCTCTGTCGCGGCTGTATCTTGTCAAGACTCGGCGCCGTTCGCCAGTTGTGCATACATGACGAATCGTGCATGCGTATTCGAGTGATATTGAGCAAGCAAACGGAGTATAAAAGAAAACGAATTCATCTTTGTATACGCGAGAAGCGAAAGAAAAGCGTGAAGGAAGAGAGAGAGAAAAAGAGAATATCAAAAATAGCACAGTTTAATATAAAACACTCTCGGGCGTTAAAACATAATAGATTAAATATTTGGCCATGCAAGATTATATCGGTAACCCGAAAGAATAAACAAAGAGTAAACGCAAAAACACTTGTCATGCGAAAACGAGAACATTTTGAAGACGCGAGAAGGTAGAAAGAGACTCTTAATTGAATCTTTGACATTTCAGCGCTGGTGATGGGCCTCTATCCGAACGCGTGGCAAGGACCGCTGTCGACGTCGCTCTTCTGGCGTTGGCTCGGACTGACCCTGGCGCTCAGCCTCCATGGAGCGGTGTGCACCCGTTATCGCGTGCTGGGCCTCGCCGCGACCCTGGTCCTGGCGGTGGTGCCGTACCTCTGGCTGGAGGGTCGTCTAGCCCGGCGGGGTAAAACCCTGGCGCCCTTATGACCAGGCGACTCGACGGCCAGCGAGCGAGGGTCCACCAGCGTCGAGACAGCGACGGCGACCGACGTCAGACACCGGGGGGACTGAGAGCGAGCCGTTCCGTCCGGCCGCGCGGCGAGATCGTGGACGGGGATCGTGACAGGTAGACGCGGTAGCCACAGAAGCAGCAGCCTGATGACGCAGCTGCAGGAGCAGCAGACGCAGCAGGGCCGGGACAGTGGGTCGACCAAGGTCAAGACGCGACGCAGGGCGAACAGCGTCGCGTTCGCCTGCCGCACTGATTACGGCCTGCCTGACGACAGCGACGACGACAGTCCGCCGAAGAATCCGTTGTTCCTCGTCGCACCGGAAGCGGAACGTCGTAGAAGCGCTACCGACGGTACCGAGGGAGCGAAGGAGCGCGCCAAGATCTTCACTCTTTCGTGAGGAAGACGTCTTTCGCCTGCGATAGTGCTTAAGACTTCGCCTCCGAAGAAGCCTCGTCGGTCCATGTAATAGCTATACTCTAAGCGTTGTGATGTTCTAACGCGCTGTGCTGGATAACGTGTCGAGAAAGAGGTCTTTCCGAGGAGCTTTCGGACCGTATATAATCGTCCTTCGACCGGTCTCAAAGGATTCTCAATAAAGAAAATGAAAGAGAATTCTCTTCGTGATACGAGAGAAATTTCTTCCAACTTGTGTGTTTACGGTCGAAGGGATGAGATTAATCGTGGAAACACGTAATTCACACATACATACGCGATCGATACACTGATATCCAGCGCATCTCGTGTGAGCACAGAGTATTGCAGCTATTGCAGTGCCCTATTTAATACTCGATTCGGAAGAGAGAAAGAGAGAGAGAGAGAGGTGATTCTCTCTCTTTCTCTTTCCCTTGCGAATTTGGAGCGAGGACGGCAACGATCGATAGGCGCTTTAAAGCTCTCTCCAGGCGCGTTTAAGCCGCGATTAATGAGGATATCTCTTCCAAAGCTGGATGGAACGGTTGTGTATACGGACACTAATACATACACGTGTGTGTGTGTATATACACATATACATACATACATACACGCTTTTTCCCCGCTACGGTGCGATCGATGCACACGACTGAATAGCGGGAAAACGACATGCATACATACATATACGTATGTACATAAATCTACATATATCGTATTCTAATATCGAGCGTACCGTTTTGTATCACTCGAACGAATCGCCGTTTGACGTAACGAAACGTCGAGATGTACCTGATGTCTTTCAAGCCAAGCTACATAAAGTATAAACGGAATCGCTTCGCGCGAGACACCCGATATATATGTATATACACATATATATATATATATATATATGTGTGTGTGTGTGTGTACATATATATACATATATATACCTCCCTATTTATCGTAGATGCTCGTATACAAGCCTTACGGGCGTATCGATTTTTTTGAGCGAACGACTCTTGTCATTTTATATACCGATCATACTCGAAATAATGCGCAAATAAGTGACGCAGCTGACTCGGCAACAAAGTCGAATGCGAATCGACATCTACAGTGAATCCAAGCGCTGTTAAGGATTTAAATATATACATACATATATATATATATATATATATATATATATATATATGTATATATATATATGTATTACAATTCAGATAAGATTTTTTATGATAATAATTCGTCGACGAAAGAGTCGCGTGGGGGAGAAATTCCCTTCCTCGAAGAAATATATAGCGAGGGGGCGACCTTCGATATACATAATTCTCTGCAGATAAGGAAAACGAAGGGGTGTGCATCGTGTAATTTTTGCGACTCCATATCGCGAAATAATCGCTATGTTTGAAATCCGTTTAGGAATATTTCCTCCCGATTATGCGTAGTGATGATGATGACGGTCGTCTCCCGGTTGCGGACGTTAGTTAACGTTTGTTTTGTTACGGATCTTAGGCTAAGCAAGCGAAACTGTAATCGCATAAAGTTTAAGGAAGATTAATAAATGTTATCTCGTTTAATGTTACACGTGTAGGCGGATCGAGCGATAAATTAGGACGAGATTGAGGCAACATATCAGCATCGACGTACAGCATCGTCTAACGGAAACGGAGCCTGGTTTCCATCTGCCTACTCTCAACAGGGACATGCATATATTGTTTGTACAACAAGCCGTACCGTAGAGCGCGCGATGAAAACGCGTTGACGAGGATAACTTTTTGCACGTCACCGTAAAAAAAATTAAAGCCTCTTCATATAAAAAAAACCGTGAATTTTCTTTTTGTACCTTTTTTTTTAATTTCTTAATTCGATTTTTATCATTTAATTAAACTTATACAAACAATAATTGTGTTGAGAGAGAGCCGAGGATGTTACATTACTTATCATATATATATAATTGAATCGATTGCAAAATATTATTTAATTATACGAAACTACTTCCGGAACAAAAATTACTTCCGCCGGTGTCTTATCCCATTTAACGGTACAGTTTGTTATGCGCCTCATACGTGTTTTCCAATGTTCGAATTAATTACGCTTGATCGAGAATACGAATCGCAGGACGATGAGATAATGAAAAAAAGTGTATCGCGAAATCTCGTAAAAGGAAGGAAAATCTGCTAGGACACGAAAACGCTCGCAGGATTTGTACTCACTCAGCAATAAACTTGCTCACACACTTTCGGTTCGAGGATCTCGAAATAAAAAGAAAAAAAAGAATGCGAAAAACGTTCAATGTCCTAGTGAAAGCGCGGAATGAGGAATATATATCGTCAGCGGCATTGGGGAAAGGCATATATTATCTGTATATTTCATGAAATAATAAATATTATCTTATTTTATATATCTCTCGACCGACGCTTTAATTCACTTTCATGTGCAATGCGCAAAATTGCCATTTCGAAAAAAAAGGGACGACTCTTTTGCCTATTTATAAACATTTCCGAAGAGAAAAACTAACATTCTCGAGTGTTTTCTCTACAAAATCGTAGAGAGAAGGGACACGCACTCTCTTTTTTCTTATTTCCTTCGTTTTATATTTAGTATTTGGAATTACTTTCATCATAGAGATCGTTGATTCATTCGTTTTTGTACTTCATAAAATAATAATACTAAGAACTAGTTGCGTGGATCTCGAGACTTGTGGTGGATTTTTCCGATCTTCCTCAAACGCTCGTTAACGAAGATTAACTGAACGACATATGAATTTTCGAGGATTCGTTGAAACCTAGAAAGCAATTAATAATCGTCGCTAATGAGCGTCCATTAAATATAAAGAGAGAATTGCACGTAAAAATGGTTGTCAAGGAATGAAAGGAAGAAAGACAAGATCGGTGAAATCGGCTACACGCACACAATTCTTAGCTTAGTAAAATTACTTCAAAAATTCGAAAAATTAGATTAAAAGGGATAATGAAGAATTGCATCGCCACACTTTAACGCTTTGGCAGTACACAACTCTTCGCCATTTCTGATAAACGCATTCATCATCATCATTATCATCAGCATCGCGCTTTACTCTCTTCGAACTTTTACTAAGTGACATAAATGCAAGTAACAGGACTCATATTTTATACATCTATATATATATAGATATATATATGTACGTATGTATATACATATATATATATACACACATACACATACCTCAACATTGTCTATCTAAATTATTGTCAGTATCTTATGTCTTACATCACACGTAGAAGTTCGCGTTTGCGAGAGCACGATAGGGTACGAGTTAGCCGGCCCTAAAGAAGGCTTTTTAGAGCTCAACGGATTTTATCAAGATATATCCATCTAAAACTATACACTCACACACAGACACACGCACACACACATCCAATATACCACATAAACACATGGAGACACTTAGCTATTAGCCCGTGTGTAACTTGTAACAATGCCCCTTTTTTATTTTTTTTCATCAATCTTGTTCCTCTTTGTTTTTTCTAATATTTGCGTGTAACACATGATTTGCAGAAATTTCTTTTTATACTCGCTTTGTAACTCTTCTTTTTGCTCTTCTTTTTCTCTCGTACTGAAAACGCAGTACATCTCTACGAAATATCCTATGCAACATACTTCGTTTGAATTACTATAATCATGTATGTACTAATCAAATGTAGGCTACATATACAACACTCTGAACATAAACGCTTTCATTTACAACACAGATAGCAAAAAGAACAAAATGAGAGATCACAATTCATATGCGTACAGATCGCTTGGCAAACAAAATGAGTATCATGACAATTCATCTGAGTGCGAAGAAAAAACTAATAAAATAGTACTCATCAACTTCGAATCATCTATTGCGAGCTTGAAATACTGGCCTAAGAATATCAGAATGCGCTATGCAACCTTTTTGGAAACGTTTGTACAATCTTACAGGCTAAAGTATCGTAACTATTGTTGATATTACTTCATTTCCGGAGTCGCGAGTTACAGTATAAATCAAAGAATAATACTAAATTTTAAATATCGGATTTCACAATTTTTTTTCATTGACTAATCTCACAATAATTTTTTTTAGAATTTAAATTTCCTTGTAATAAAAAGAATTAGTTAATACTTAAAATTTTTATTCAAATCACGGTATAATTTATTATTTCTAAATTATAAATCAATCTTTTTCCTTTGAAAAAAAATGAAGATGGCGAAGTGGGGTCATACATACTTCATCGATATTACTGCGATTACTTGCAATATTCTTCAACAACGCCGTATGCTTTTTTTTTACGTTTTATCTAGTAACGCGAGAAGCAATTTTAGGCTGAAGCGAAATGGGACTAACATTTTGTGTACGTATGTGTGACTTATCTACAATTATTAACGTATCACAAAAGAAATACCGTGTTGCTCATAGATCTCCCTAGCTTTCGTTATCACCATATCAGCCCAAGATTACTTTCGTAACTCGACACGTATTTACTAAACGCGTGTGCAAAAAAACGATTCTCTCTCTCTCTCTCTCTTCTCTTTTTTCTGCTTCGTATTACCAAAACATTTGGAAATCCGCATGTCTCTTGCTAAGATACCTCTAAATCTCATTAAATTTTCACCCTGTTATTTTGTCGCATTTCTAAGAACCATTTCTTTTCGTAATACGTTGTCTTTTTCACAATCGGTCTTTCAACGTTCCGAGTATACCGAGTATTAAAAGGCTCGCCGATAACGTTAATGGATGTGCAATGCAGCCTGTATCTGTTCCCTCCTGGTAACTATATGCATCGCAATTGATCTAAATACGTTTAGCGTGAGCAACAATTATCAAGATGGTAACAAATCACAGGAGTTACTATTCGGATACTCGTGAGCGGTGTCTTCTCTTTCCTTCTTTCTTTTTTCATTATTTTTTACTCTGTTACAGATACTATGGACGATAAGACGATGTTCCATGAACACGATCATAAATAATTAATGCGCGCGTGTATTATTTACATATGGAAAATATTCGACGAGATTCTCAAAAACATTATAAAACTTGAAGAGAACGTGCTAAAAACCAGAGCCTATTTTCTCCCGACTGTCGGTGTTTCATATCAAACAAGCTGCCGATCGATTCTTTAATACCGCACAGAAAATATCACGAGCTACGAGTTAAAGAAACGATCGTTAATTTCAATTACTTGAAGCGTAGAAAGAACCATATCAGTATTGACTCTTTTTGCCAGAAAAGACGCATTATCTGACGAGTGAAACCAATTGCAACATAATCACTAGCATTTTTTCTTAGATCATGATGGGTGAAACGAACAAATATGAAATACTATAGGTCTATTAGCAGCTTTGAGCATCGATGCATTCGAAAATATAACACCAAGGCGATTTTTATGTAATGGATAACACTGCGCGTACCACAGTAACAGGTCCGTCAAGTTACTTTAATTAGTTATTTCAATCCGAAGTGCCCGCATCTTTCGGGAGAGCTTTCAATAATTTACAATCACTACTTAAATTTGATAATTAAAATCCTGTCTCTGTGCAACTAAACGGATCGACTGTTCAAACTGGAGTATAATTGCCCTTGGGTTTGTAAAAGATTTTGCCGCGCACTATACGTCTTGTGATTTCATTTAGTAGCAAGCGTTTCTCTTTCTTGATTTTCTTCAATATACCCCGGTTCTCTTGCGCGCGTCGCGACAAATACGGCAACACTTCCTTAACCGGTCCATACGGGATGTATTTGTACGCAGAGTAACCGGATTGACCTGGAAATATTAATCGAATCATGCATATCGTTTTATATTATCCTTTATCGCACGATAATGCGACAAAAAAATTTAAGCTTTAAATATCTCTATTTACCTAATGGAAATGTTATGTAGTCACACATTCCTAATAATTGACCGAAACATATAACCTTATCCTCCGGTGAAATTCCGATTTCTTTCATTCTAAAACCATAAAAAGATTAGTTCATTTATGTATACGTCTGTTCGCAACAAAAGAAAGGATGCGGAGCAAAATTGCGGCGGCACTCACTTCTCGATCGCAAAACGCACAGTATCCTCGTTGTGCGAGGCGACCATAATTCCTATTTTTTTAGGATCCAGTCCCTTGTCCTTATACTGTTTCATCCGCCTCAAGCACTCCATGAGCGTTCTGTGATAGGACTCGGTCGTCGCCTCATACGTGGGATTCGTAGGGTCTGGATAACCCATAGCTGCTGCTCTCGCTCTTTCCTAAATAAGAACTCCTTTGATACCTTCGCCTTTAATAAACTCAATTAAACAAATACGAGATTTATCTGCCAACCTGTTCAATATACGCGCCGCGAACAAGTTTAGCACCAAAATAAAAGTTTTGACGTTCCGCTTGTTCGAGATCCGTTTTCACCTCGTTATACGCTTCTTGCAGATACGTCTGGTAAGTGTTGAATACCACAGCCTGAGAAGTAGACCGATATTTGGCAGTGAGAATATCATTCACTGAAAAGTAGCTAAGTGATAACGTCGCGATCTCCTGAGAACGTTAAAACAATACCTTTTTCGTATTGTACTTGCGCATCATCTCCAACGTCAGGCGAGAAATGGCCGGTTGAAAGTACGTCTGTTCCGCATCTATCATAATACGAACATCTAGACTATCAGCCACCTGAAAAAAAATTATTTATTTAGTCAGGATAAAACTTTAATCGATAAATAAAAAAGAAAAAAATTATTATGCATACCATGACAATATTATTCAAACGTCTGATCATGTTCCTAAACATTTCCTCCTCTTTCGACGTAAGCTGCGACATTAATCTGACCATCTTGCCCGTCTTAATATCAGGTACTTGGAAAGTTTCGCTCAGTTCATAATTTTCGTCTAAAATACCACTCCACGGGAAAAGGTGAATCACACTGCGTGGATAAAAATATCCATTACTTGCGATATTACAAATGCTAAAAAAAGCATTCCAATTTTTTATTTTGATTTTGTGCGTACCCTTCTTTATCCGATTGAATTTTTTGAAGAAATTTTTGCACCGATTCCTCGTCTTTGATGTGTGCCTCTTCGAATTTTTTCCTAAAATCATCAGGTTTCACGTGCTGAGCCAAAATAGCACCCTCGCCGCCAATAACGTCCGACATGTACTGCCGTGCGCGCATAATTACCTCTGACAATTGAAGCTAAAATACAATTTGTCTATCAGTCGTGAGTTTTACAGTCAAGTGCAATTAGACTTCCTAAAAAAAATAAAATTGCCAACCAGAAGCTGCGGCCGACCAAGCGCGGTTAATTTGACAGCTGTGATGCCCATGCCCATCGAAGCACCTGCAAAGATAGATATAAAATATATTTATAAATATGTATATTATAAGATATATTTTCTGTTACACATATCTGCGTTATCTTATAATATTAAACTAAATTATTTTTTTCTATAAGAAAAGGCGCAAAGAGATACTTAATATTTCTGGATCTGGATAATTAAGGATAATATAAAATGGAAAAAATATTATTTCAAGGAAAAAGAAGGAAAGGTCTCTTCTTACCAGGACGAGGATCGGCTTGGTCATGAGTGGTAAAATTCTGAGAGGGATATTTCAGCTGCACAGTCTTCACTTCATCCTCTGTACAAAAATGTATACAGGCTCTTTATCGACTTGCGCCTAATAGTTTATTAATTTCTAAATTTTTTTAAGATTTAATCCAATTGCGGCAGTCTTTTATAGATTAAATATTTTCGTTACACGTTATGTCATATAATTTGGCTGGAAAACGCAACCAGTAATCCCACACGCGTACCGATATTTATAGCTTAGACTACAAGAGAACTATATATTTCTGACTCGTAGAATTTCAAAAGATCCATCGTCGTCGAGATGTCATTGATCGCGACAAGGGCATGTGACGTTTTTATTGACTGCAAAATGTAATATTATCGATAAAAAAAAGTACCCATCTCGCGTGAACGAGAAAAGAAAATTTTCTAAAAACGGAGATTGATTTTGCACGTAACATCAGCTACCGCATTTTCTCATAATTATGCGGTAACGTTATGCGGTATAATTTTTCGCATCATTATTATCTTCTTAAAAGTAATTTTATATCAAACTTTATTAACAAATAAATATAACAAGATTCTAAACAGCTGCTAAAAATAATACGAATAAAGAGACCGAAATTACGATTTGATAATTAATAATTCTTTTGAAGACAATTATTTCTGCGTCTTGTTTTCCACTTTTATTTGTTCGTATTTTTATATTTATAAATTTTATTAATTTTTTATTAATGTTAACTAATTTCAATATCAATATTATCGTAAATTATATGTTAATTTAATTTAATTAATTTTATTAAAAATGTAACTAGTATTCATTAAAACATAAGCAACATTTGAAAAACGATGGATTTCATGGTATATCAATTCCTAACATGTAATTCTGACGAGTAATCGCGCTTGTGAAATAATAATGTATGATCAAGTTCTACAATAATATTATAGTAATACGACAATCTTGTTGGATTATAAAGTCAGAGTATCGACTTCTGTAGATAGCGAGAATATGTGCTCAACTACATTATTCGAATATTCCGAAGGTTAAAAAACACTTTATAAACTGATACTACATTTCGTGCAAATTTAATCTTTAACTGTGCGATCCTCTATTTACTAAAAAAATTGCAAAGTAGATTGAAATAGGAAAAAAATGTGTATAAATTATTTAAGTTTTAATTTAAAAAAGTATATCTATATACGTATAATTTAAAATATTAGAAAGCGATATTATTAAATTCAAAATTTAGAAGAGGATTAAATTACAAGCATTCGTATGCATCAGCTATGCAAACTGCTTTTTTAAAGGATGGATACTCTATATAATTCATATCAAAGTCAAAAGCAAAGGAATGTCAGACAAGGATTAAGAGAAGAATTAAAGTGTTTAGAGAGATCTAAAAATAAAATTGATGACTCACTCGCCACAGCCTCCAGGCATCTGAGGAAAATATCCATGTTTCGTTCACAAGACGCTTCGTTCAGGTAGAAATACGTCCTGGCCGATGACACCTTGTAACGTCGATCGGCGAACGACTTTTCCACGTGGTACTTTTTCAGCGGACCTTCTCTCTTCTCGTCACCCGCTTCTGATACCGAGGCTCTGAAATGGGAAAACGTTCGAATATTCAGGATTTATTTCAATTATTATCGCTGTACACCTCCATTTGTATCTGTATTAAGTTCGCTACCTGTCTATTACACTTATTAAGATAAGTCGTTATGAAACAACGAACAAAGTGTATAGTAGACAGGTTGTTAATTGAAGTTAAGAATTAATACATATTATATTAACTAAGATCAGTTATCAACTTTTTAACTTTTTTTTAACTTTTAACTATAATTAATTAATTATTACTCAGTATTAATTTTTAATGCAAATAATTTTGTTCCAAAATGTATTGAAAATTAAAGCATGATTTCCTCTCTTTACGTACAGAAAAAAAAAAGATACGCGAACGTAAATAGAGAACTGTGCCTGATATTAGCATTATACATCCGTTGAAAGGTGCTGTAAAGCGATATGTGGGATTAAATTTCATATATTTGACGAAGGGATTCGAGAGAATAAGCGCGCTACTTTCGCAAGGACGTCGTCGACAAAAAATCAAAAGATCAACGTTCGATCATAAGACAATGATTATGTAATTACTACGAAAATATATGAGATAAATATACTTACTGAATCTCGCGTCGTTCGGCCTCCTCCTGCGAAATGTCTTCTTCGACGGAATAATCCAGAATCGGTTTTACGCCAAATTGTCGTAACCTGTCCAAAACTGGGGTGATTTGTACCTCATCCTCTCCAGCAACGAAGTGTCCGTAGAACGTTGCCTTCATAAGCTTTGTGAACAGCTTCTCGCCCAACATCGCTTTCGCCAGTTTCATGAACTGTTCAGCATTTAAATTTCAAACGATTAGATATAGTGTGTCGTCGAATCAATAATATATGGATCGAGCAATATAAATCTTTGCAATCAAAGTAGGAAATTAAAAAAAAACTGCACAATTAAATTACACAGTAAATTTTCATTAAAAAGTTGAGTGCAATTTTTTATAGAAAATTTAATTTAATCATGAGACAAATATAACAATATACATATTTCATGAATACATGTAAAAATAGCTTTATGCTTCTTCAGAAATAATATAAATAATAATAAAATTAATAATATGTAAATAATAAAATAAATCAATCAAAAATAAATTTATTTTGAAAATCAAACAAAGGTAAAATAAATCACAATGGCAACAAGAGTCTAGAGCAATTACATTGTTCATTCTTTTCCTCCCGTCTCACGGTAGATGTGTGTGATTTATGTATTCCATTCAAATTTATATTGTTTAAAAGAGACTATATCACGAGACGCGAGCGTAAAATAACGCGAAGAAGAATGCAAAAATTGCTGCTAATTTTTCGTTCGTAGAATTCAACCTCGAAGCGTTATGTAATCGCTCGGAGAGACGAAAACGTTGTCTTATATAGATGTAATACGCCCTCGCAATAAAAATGTAGGTTACATCGCGGCTAACGATCACGTGGATGGTGGTTGCCGAATATCGATTTCTTGAGAAAACGCTTACTCTCGGTATGCGAATATCGATCTCTTAAGAAGACGCATGTGTGTATTCTCAGTATGCGCCATTATAATCCCGTCTGATATTAAATGCCAAGTTTAAGGAAAGCACGAAATGTATAAGAAGCGTAATATACAGGGTTTTTTAGATGTAAGAAACATAATAATAATGTATAAAAGCATAATAATAATATTATTCTTTCAATGGAGTTGCAAGCAATTGAAAAGTATAACATTTTCATACATTTGCATTTTATATGAAAATTTTATTGCCCTCTCGTAATGTAAAGATATGCGATATGCAGAAACAAATATAAATACGTCATATTTGAATATATATATCTAATATATTCACGAAGGTTCAAACTCGACGTCAATTGCTCGTTAAAACCGATGTCCTGATAATAAGAATGATGTATCATAATTTACACTCCGTGATTCGTATCATCGTGATCTTCTAGCCATCGTAAAATAAAATATATTTTATTAAATATGTAGTAAACGTGGAATTCAAAGCAAGCTTCGAGATATCGAATTTCTATGCGAGCTATAAAGACTATATTCCATTTATTACTGTAGAGAATGAATATATTATTTTACACACGCAGCTATATATGTCACCTATTTTATTTTATATAAAATAGCCAAGAAATATACAATTGTTTCGGAAAATTTGTGGGAAAGAACAGATTTAAAATCTGTCGTGCTAAAGCAGGAAGCAATTAAATCGAATAAGAGATTTTTTAGATAAGAATAATGAAATTGCGATATAAATCATCGAAATTAATGATTCCCCAAATGATGACGGATAAGAAGCAAAATATTAATAGAATATACATAGTAGAATACTCGAGCTTAAGCAAGAGGAAGAAGAAGTGTGATTAGTCGAGTTATTAAAATAGAAACTGCTTGCGATAAGACGCGGGAAGGTTGCTAATTGCAATTGCTTCCCTTATCGATTTCGTCAGATGAAATCGTAGAAATAAAATTGGAATGCGACCAAGAGGCAGAGAAAACATTTTACAGACGAAGGAGCGTACGTGCGGAAGTTGATTTTAATTTTATCGTCATTCATAAGATTTCCCTATCTTGCTCCAGAGAATTTTTCCGACAATTAAAAAACATTTTTGTAATAGCACAATTAAAACAATATAAAGTCAATATTCTCATTCATAATAATAATTTCATAATAATTTTTTATGTAGATCTGATGCAGATATAAAATACTGTATAATTCTGATTGTGTATATAGTAATAGTAATTAATAGGGTATGATAGTTTATGTAAAACAATAATACAAAGCAAATTTGAAATGCAAATTCTTACGAGTGTTAAGCAAATAGATATGTATATAAGTTGATTTGTATTATATAGATGATGTGGTCGACAGAGGAGAGTATATACTTAACAGCGTCACTTAAGTCATTGTTGTTTGTCAAACTCGAGAGGCTGCTGGAGCTTACCAAAGTTTGCCAACGTTATATATACCTATTGATAAGCCTACGAGCAGTGCGTACAAATTGCACGATAATCTTTCTCTTCGATATCTGCCGTACAATGAATTATTTTTTGCTGACGAGATTCTAATGCGAAAATAAATATAACATTAAATGTGAAAAATTCAAATTAAAAAATGTTCTAAACACTTTGGAACAATAAGTAGAATTGTAATGATATCGATATACAAGTGCAATAGAATTCGTCAGCCATAAGTTTAAAGGAACCTACAAATAATGTTGACTTTGACACTAACGTCATGTTTATGCAGTCGCTCGAGATCAATCGAAATTATTCTCGTGTGCCAAAATCATCGGACTATGGACCAGCATCGTATAAGATAAATGTTTAAAGTTTAAAGATGATGCGCTATTAACTACATACGTCATTCGAGAAAGAGGAGTGTCTAGATAATTGAAATAAAATCATTAATCAAATCTCTGTCTTCCCGCGTGAATCAAATTACTACTGTTTATATTTTTTCATGTATTTCGCTGCAAATAATATATATACATATTTAACTGAAGTTTGACAAGTGAGAAATACATTTCTTGGCAGTTGTATGGGTCGTTCAACTGCATTGTCTATGTCTTGTGTAAGGTTCAAATCGATGTAACTGGAGAAATGTGATAATAAGCTGTGTGCGATATTATATGTGCTGATTGCGATTCGAGCTGACGATTGGATCTAGAAAAATTCCCGACCTCGAAAACACATGTGCATACGATGACCATATTTTCTAAGAGAAAATAAAGGACAATCCTGAAAATTTTAGGGCTTTGTTTCGACATGTTTCCAAATCAGTTTGCGACCAAAGAAATCGACGAGCAGAAAAAAAAAACAATTTTATCAGAAGCTTACATATATTCTTATATAGTTTGAAACTAATTCGAAATTATATTAGAACAAACCCTTGGTTTCTTAAATAGATTCCGGATAAGAGATTCCGTTGTTTCCGTTCTAATTAATTCTCATGTTTTCACGTTCTAATTAATACTATATGATATTAAACATTAAAACGCTAAATAAAAAATAAAGGACAAAATTGAGTTTTGGAAACATGAATAAATCTAAAGGACTATACTTGAATTACAAGACTGCCCTCTAAAATAAAGAAATGCATCTCTCCATTTGACATTTTTAATAACGTTCCCTTATCATTGCCGTCATAAATAATTGTAGATTTATTTTGAGATATTAATCATCGATTTAGGATAAGAATTCAGATTCCACACTTCAAACTTGTCGAGTCATTTGATATTGACAGAGAGATAAGTGTATTATGGGCTATTCTGTATCATGCAATACACGTGCACATTTACAGAAAAAAAGGAATCCTTGATTCAAGTATATTTTTATTCTTGAACGCTATTTGATTGATTTAAGCATAGAATGCTCTTTGTAATCACAAATTTTCATTTGCCTTAATAATAAATAAGTTTGTGTAAAGTATATTTTATCCTTAAGATATATTCTTGTTTCAAAACTCGTTATATGATAAAAACAAACTTAGTCACATTTGAACTAAGAATTATTTATTATATACATACACAGAAAAAACAGTATCCTTGAGAGAATGCAAATATGCTTTGATTCAAGTATATTTTATCCTTATAATAGCACCAAATATAAATAATTTTGGATAAAGGATAATTTATCCTTAAAACAAAGTGCAAAATATTCTTGGTTGAAGCTGAAATTTACTTATAAATATTGCAAGAACAAGTGACAAGTGACAAGTGAGCATTGAATATAAGCGGTACTTTCAAATATACCTACACAGAAAAAAAGGAATCCTTGATTCAAGTATATTTTTATTCTTGAACGCTATTTGATTGATTTAAGCATAGAATGCTCTTTGTAATCACAAATTTTCATTTGCCTTAATAATAAATAAGTTTGTGTAAAGTATATTTTATCCTTAAGATATATTCTTGTTTCAAAACTCGTTATATGATAAAAACAAACTTAGTCACATTTGAACTAAGAATTATTTATTATATACATATAGGTATATTTGAAAGTACCGCTTATATTCAATGCTCACTTGTCACTTGTCACTTGTTCTTGCAATATTTATAAGTAAATTTCAGCTTCAACCAAGAATATTTTGCACTTTGTTTTAAGGATAAATTATCCTTTATCCAAAATTATTTATATTTGGCGTTATTATAAGGATAAAATATAGCCATATTTGCTTTTTTACGGATTTTATTTTTCCTGTGTTGTTGTGCACGCCTGCAAATAAACCGGAAAACCCTGTCAGCGGATAAGAGACAGCGTGAAACACTCGAGATATCATATGACACCGATAATGACAGCTTGATTCAGAAAAACCAGTCGTTATCGATGCGTTCTATTTTTAAATATGCTCGATAAATATTTTAATTTAAGCAAATCCAATCAAGTATCTAAATCAAATGTTTCCTTCACATGCACTATGTACTATCTAGGCTCTAATTATTTGTCAATGCAATTAGAAAAGCATTAATCGTGGAATACTCATATATATGTACACATAAATGCACCATATTAAATTCCAATTTCAAATCAAATATAATTAAATTTTATCAATTTTATTAAATTTATTCAAATTCATTGGAGTTTAATTAAGTTGAGCTTCGTTTTAAATAAAAAAATTCTATTTTTTTCACAAAAATCAAATAAATGCATTCTGTAAATAATACAGTCAAAGATGATTCTTTGTTGCTATTGCAATATAAAGAAATATGAATTAATATAAACATATAACAATAAAAATGATGATGTAATTTATTAAGTAATGACTAGATAGTACATAGTGCATGTGAAGGAAACATTTGATTTAGATACTTGATTAGATTTGCTTAAATTAAAATATTTATCGAGCATATTTAAAAATAGAACGCATCGATAACGACTGGTTTTTCTGAATCAAGCTGTCATTATCGGTGTCATATGATATCTCGAGTGTTTCACGCTGTCTCTTATCCGCAGACAGGGTTTCCCGGTTTATTTGCAGGCGTGCACAACAACACAGGAAAAATAAAATCCGTAAAAGAAGACAAATATGGCTATATTTTATCCTTATAATAACGCCAAATATAAATAAAAAAATTCCAAGCTTTATATTAATTACTATAATAATGTTATTTTTATGTACTATAATATATTTACAAGTAATTTAAAAGGAAATAAACTAAAAAACATTACAATAGATCCGAGAGAGATCAGACACTTGTTTAAACAATCGATTCGATATATTAATACGAATAAAAAATTAGCTATCATACCTACATTTTAACTATCCTTATTATATTACAATATGAACTTTAATTATCATGACTAAATTTTAGCTATGGTCACTAATATTTTTAGCTATAGTTTAACAGAGAATGCTATAGCTAAAAAATATTAGTAATCATAGTTAAAATTTAGGCAAACAAATTTTGATAACTAAATTTCACGTTCAATATAGAGATAGCTAAAATTTAGATAATGGCTAATTTTTTCTGAACCGGTAACCCGTAAAGATTATTCGCTTGTCCCTGGCAGGGGTCGCACGAGGAAGCACCAGACGAACTGGATAGCCTTGGAACTACTCTCATCGTCGTCATCGACCAATTGGCCGGATTAGTCTCGTATAGATGCATGTAGGACAGTGCGTCTCATTTTATGAAAATTTATAGATAATTAAGAGTGCTGATTTTATTTACAATAGTTCTAGAGTTACTGATAGTTCAAGCAAATAGTTCAGGTCCTTAAAGAAAACAACGAAAATGCCTTAGGACAAACTGGGACATCAACCTAATGTAGCGTGAGTTCTGTGTTTTACAAATGAAATTAAAAAAAATGTTTTTGGTATGTACAGTACCTTTCTGAAGAGATCTGATAATTAAAAAACAATGAAAAAATTTTTGAAATAATTATATTTTGCTTGAAAAATGCATATTTTCGAGTTCGAAGTTGATACATCAATCGATTTTCAGTTCTATTTTTTTAAAAACAATTTTCATACAGTTTTTAGAATATACAGTTAAATTAGGGAATTGAAATTAGAGAATTAAAATTATGTACATAATGGAAATTCGAGAATGTTTATTACATAATTTTAATTCGTCGAATTTCTATTATGTACATAATTTTAATTCCCTAATTTAATTTTATATTCTAAAAACTATATCAAAACTGTTTTTAATCAGGAAAATATAGGACAAAATAAGACGTTGCGTGTAGAACTATTATAAATAAAGTCAGAGCTCTTAATTATGGGTTCCCACAAAATGAGATGCCAACTTCACACACATTGTAGGGCACCCTATATAATTGATACATAACTATACTAATATCGAAACGTGCTACGTCAAACCAGCTGGAAGGAAGACTCGCATATACGCACCAGGATTGACCGAAATCCGAATGTAACGAAAAAGAGCAAAAATTTCTAAAACCCGGTTATTGAGAGAGGAGGTCAAAGGAAGAAATGTTTGCCCAACTGCCTGGGCGAGACAGCTGAATTGAGACATAGGTAATGCGAAAGTGTTATGCAACATGAACCTTGAAAAAATTTTGGCAGAATGTTTCGCAAATGAATTCGCATGAACATTAACGCCTCGTATAACATTGAAGAAAATTTATTTATTCGAAAATAATAATGCTCGAGAGTTGGAATTTCGCCCGATTTTATATGACAAATAAATAATTCGTAGGATGCGCTCGGCAAAGTTTCATATTGTTGAATAATGACTACGAGTTTAAACATCAAAAAGCCGATCAAAGGGAAAAGATGGAGAGGATTTTGCAACCATATAGCATGCTGAAAGGATGACTCTTGATGACGGGAAGACTAATCAATGCACGAGTCTCGCGACCAGCAGACGCGGCGACGCCTTGTTGCATAACAAGATCAGCGCGAATGCAATAATAATAATTCGCGGGAGATGCAAAAGTCACGCGCAACGACCCGATTTATTTGCATAGCGATGTACGAAGAATCGATACGAAGCTCGATCTTATACACGCGCGTATTTTTTTCTGTTATAAAGTTTCTGCTATATACATACAGAGAGAATTTTCTCTTAGAATTTATCCTGAAAAACAGCTATTAAAAAATGTAAAATCGTAAAACAATATGATATTGGAAGAATTTTATAGAATTTCTTTATTAATATTTAATTACCACAATAAAAAATATTAATATCAAATTAATATCACAATAAGATATAAAATATGTTCGATTGATTTTATTATGTACATGTTAATATTTTTTATTGTGATAAATATTAATCAGAGAAACTCTTATAAAATTTTTCTAATATTATATTATCTCACGATTATCATAATTATCAATATAAATTCTAAGAAAAAATTCTCTTCGTGGAAGAATAATAAAACAATTACAGAGAGAAAAAAAGACGAAATAAATTTTGATTGCAACATTAACAGCAACTAAAGTTCCAAATTTCAATATTTATTTAAAATATTGAAGTTTAATAAAACCACAATCATCATATAAATCAAATGTTGCATTAAAATACGACTAAATTTCACTCTTAATTAACATGTTAAAAATCGCGTAACTTGCAAGCTTTGTAAAAATTTATTTTTCAAAAATCAATTTTTATGGCTATTGCAGCCAACATTGTGATTCAAATACATGTATTTGTGTGCTATTTTTATGAAAAGTGCAGTAGAGATATAGCGTGCACAAATGTGCCTAGTCTGACATACGTTTGAACAAAAGTCTGGCACAAAAAAAATTAAAGGGGGGCCAATATCCCTTGGGTCAGATCAAAATCTTAGGATCGCATCGATGATGCATAGGCGCAGCGAGGTGCACGACTATATGCACCATGCAGTTTGCCTGCAGTTTTCACTCGCTAACTATTTACGGTCGACCACGTGACTTTTTCTATATTTTTTCATGCGGTTTAGAAATTAAATAATTATGAAGAAATTAGAATGCCCCCCGAAAAACGCGCTCTTTATCCAAGAATCACTCGGACTCTTCTCGATCCAAGATCTAGAGAATTATAAAGTCGACAATTTTTTTATTAAAAAAGTGAACGTCGTTGACAAATAATTAATGGTTTGAGAGAAAACTTATGTTTTAATTATTTTTCTTTTATTATAGATATATAGCGATAAAATTTGCAGTCGTACTAAAATTGTCTCGGGAAAACCGAATCATTTTTCCGGTTTTGTCAGTTTTACTTGCGGTTTTCTTGACAGAAATACACTCGGGTCTCTAAAACCTCGATCTAACTTCGTTCGTCTGCAATGAAAATTATTGCGTCTCGCAATGACGAAGAACTGACATTGAACGGATACGATCGATACGGAAATGTGAGAGACGAAGAAAGTAGTTCGTTCGTTATGTCGAATCGTGGTTTCCGGAAAAGAGAGAGAAATATATTTCCTGTCATATGTTACCGTAAAACGTTTTGCGTCCTGCCGTGAATTATGTCTCGTCGCCAAACGACCGAGACGTTAATCAAATACAACATTTACATCCGGGCGGGATGATTTATCGAATGATTGTACCTATATGTTCATGAGTTCACAATGAGTAATGCGGTCGATGTGCGCGTAATTTTATGTTACGTAAAGTTCGGCAAGTAGATAGATATACAGTGATTTTGTTGTATAATAAGATGCATCTTGCAACGATGCATTCTGCATCATGTATGCTCTAAGAATCGAATAAAGCTTGAGAAGCGTGGAAAATCTATAATGTAAAGTAAATGTAAAGAAAACTTTATCTCTTTGTGACGATTTAAGAGAAAAACACAATCGCATTACATTTATTGTAAAGACTCCTTATATAATCGTTTATTTTTAACTTATATATTTTAAACTGAAAAAAACATGTATACACAAAAAAGGCAAGTGATTTATACGTGGTTAATTATCTTTTCGCAATTGTGCACACTAATGGATCGAATTAGGGTAAATGCTTGAAACTTTATCTTGTTGCGATGATTTAGGAGAAAAACACGATCCCATTACATTTATTGTGAAGTCTCCTTATATAACCATTCATTTTTTAATTTATATATTTTAAATTGAAAAAAAACAAGCATACTCAAAAGACAAGTAATTCATATGGTCGATTATCTGTTCGCAATTATGCATACTATTGAATCTAATTATGATAATTCTAATTAGAGCAAATATTTGAATGGCATTTTTAGTTGCAAAACTCTTGCAAAGACAGATTTGTATAAATTAAAATTGCTTTTTAAAATTCTTCAGTCATTCTTGTTATAGTCTTTATGTCAAAATCAATGTGTAAAAATTGCAACAAATTATTTTTTATAATGCATAATTAACAAATTTACTAATTAAAGTAAACGATACTTATTATCTGCAAACTTCTTGTGAAGCATTTATGAATTAAAAATTAGAATATTTAAAACCGTATCGTTTTTATCTCACACAAATATGACTGAAATATTTCAACAAAAAATCATTTTTATGTTGCATGATTAACTTACAAATAAAAGATAAACGTTTTACAATATGAAAAAAAAACAGTCACAATTAAAATAATTTTGTTTTCTTTCAGTTAATTCTACAAGAAATTGATTCGCGTTTTCAGTGGCAAATAAATAAATAAATAAATGAAAAAACCAACATTTCTAAATTGAATCAATGATACCTAATTTAAAATCACGCAAAATAATTGTAAATATATATATAACGCAATTGTATTGTATAATAGAAACTATATAATATTAATATTCTATATAACGAAGTAGAAATTCGCGGAATCGATAATTTTCTTCATGATCGATTAAAGAGACACAATTGAATTTTGCATCCTAAACTATTCTTAACCATGAAGGAGTTATGTAATTGGTCACACAGTAGAACAATTTTTCTTATTAAAAACGGTACCCGTTAGAATTTTTGTGTTATATTAATATTTAACACATTCATGTGTTAATTTAACATAGTGTCGTTGTGTTGAATTTAAACGTTAAATTATTAAAATAACTGAAAAAAGATGAAAAAATAATACAATGTGCATCTATTTCCAATTTTACACAATAAATATGTTCTATTTTATTAGTGACAAGATTTATCTGTTAAAATTTACAGAATAAAATGTTGATTTTTTATTTTATAACATAAGTAGGTATGATAAAATCTAAAATTAACATATTTTTAGTTAATTTTTATATTAAAACTAAGTTTACACAAAATTTATTTAAAAAATACTATAAGTTTCGCATTTATTTTGTATTAAAATATTAACACAGTATTTGTGTTTCCATTTAACATATCCATATTATATTAACACAAAAATTTCTGTGGACCGTTTGGAACATGTAATATCTCTTAAATTTAACACAAATGTTTCAACTGTGCGGTGATAGTTTGCGGCGAAATTCCTATGTCGATCCGGCAATAGTGAGATCAATAACGCGTCCTAGCCAGCTTAATGCAAATCGCGTGTGAAACGTTACGTAAGTTCCAAAACGATGAAACATTATGAATGACGAATTAAAATGATCGTCTATCTTTTTTTTTTTTTTAAGGGACTCCCCACGGCGATATCAATGCAAAATCACGATTACATCGGCTGATCGCGATAAATCATGAATGATGCATGATTTATATCAATAGCAGCGGAATTACACGTATTTACGAAAGAACGATAAGACTTTAATGGATGCGTAAAGGCTTTCTTGGAAGGCTAATCGACTATAAAATACGAAATATAATCTAACAATAAGATCCGTCTATATGACATGATCGACAATTCTTATTAAACTTGCATAAAAGATTCATTTCAGTATCGGAATTGAATTTCTGATTCTCTTTCTTAGATTATACACGATTATACAAAAAAATTGTTAACTTGACTAAATCGTTCAACAAAATATTATTTTTTTAAGTGAACATATAGAAATATTTAAATTAAATATAACATATTATATCTAACAAAACGTATATTTGACATAAATACTAACTAAATATATTCAATTAACAAAATAGTAATTTAGTTGAACGGTTTAGTCAAGTTAATCATCTTTTTTCAGTGTACATGACGTAATTTTTTTCTGGATAAATTATGTATAAATAAGGTAGCAATAGAAAATCACGTTATCTTAGATTCATGCTTTTTTACCTGATGCAAGATCAGGTAATAAAAATAATCATTTTGATATCACTTTGATATCATTTGCCAAAGACTGATTTTGATATTTTCAAGGATATGAATCTGCGACAAATATTAGACATACAAATCTAAAAGGAAATGTTACTATCGATTACCGAAATATTCAATATTATATATCACATTTGCATTATATTTCTATCGCACACAAGTTCATAAATAAAACATTTCGCTTACGTTTCGATCATGAAAAATATTCCTAATACTTAAATCAATTATCATCCGCATTAATCAGATGCAATTACCTTTAAATAAATAGGAAAACGAGCTTCTCGCATATCATATATAAGTTCTCACTTTTTGGTGCACATTTAATATACATATATTAAAAAATGGAATTTATTGTTAAAAGAGTAATTCAGAAATATTTCCCTCTGTTTCTAAACTAGAAAGAGATCTACGCTACCTACACAAATAGCCGAACACAGACGAAATCTTGGATTGCAATCTAATACAATCTTAATTAAAATTAATAAAAATTTATAAATATTAATTTATCGAAAAATCAGCACAGATCGACTTCGAAGGCGCAAATGAACAACACATAAATATACATGTGCGAACTCACCTTCATGTTGTTCTCCACGATGTACTCGATGGAGCACATCTGGTAGACAACGTAGGCGCGCATCAGCTCCATGGTGGTTTTGCTCTTGAACGCGGCGATCGGGTCGTTAAACTTTAAATCGAGTGGGTCGACCTGGCGAGGCGCCGCCGGCTGCTGCTTCTTGACGTCAGTGGCGGCGTCGGCGCCGGAGGTCGCGTAACCGCGCACCTGTGTAACCAGCCGCAACGGCGGTGTCCTCGCCACCGTCGTCGCCGACGCCGCCGCGTTCTCCAGGAGGCCGATCACGCCGCACTTGGTCAGCTTCTTGCTACCGCAACATCGTCGCGACACGCTCCTCAGGAACGCCATCGTCTCGGCGAGCGAGGAGTTGAAAAGGAGTAGGAAAGAAAAAGGGAGACACAACTGTCTTCTCACCGAGGCTGCTTCAGCTCTCCGTCAGATGAGGAAGAAAGGATGGCAGGATTAGAATAGAGAGAGAGAGAGAGAGAGTAGGAAAAAGAAAGAGAGAGAAAGAGAAGGATGATTGACTCACCGAGGACGATGTTCAGGATGTCGCCGCTGCTACTGCTGGTCGCTTCTCGTCTTGTGATCGCGCAACGTGCGCAATGTGTCCAACCAAGGAATTCACGTACACGAGTCGCGGCGACGCGGCGCAACTGAACGACGATGATGACGGGACGGCGGTCGTCGTCGTCGCCGTCGTCGTGACGCCGGAACGTAGGAGGCTCGACGTCAGAGCGTGAGAGAGAGAGAGAGAGAGAGGACGCGATCGCGCGCTTATAATAGTATACGGAATATAATGGCGACCGTTCGCCGTGTGCTCTCTCTCTTCTCCTCGCAACGCGACGGAAATATTGATTTTCGTTCACCGGGGACACCGAGTCCGACAACGTACCGTGGGGCGCCGGGTCCGCGGATGGCTTAAATATAACGCGCCGCGTCCCGATCTGACTTCGCCTACGCGCCTCGTTCCCCGATTAGCGCGCCCGCCCCCGAACGCCGCTCGCGCCGCCAAGCTTCCGCTGCGCTGATTGGTCCGCCGACGAAGGCGTCGCGAGCGCGCACGACCGTTTCCGAAGAACGCCGACAGGTGCGCGCGCGCGGCGCGAGCTGTCAAATTTGACATTTCGCAATGAAATATACAATTGATAGTATATTAGTTACACAGCGTTTACTCATTTGCAATTTTTTTTTTTTTTTACGAATCCTCTTCTTTCTCCTCCTGCAAAAAATAGAAAATATATAATACACTGGAAACAATTAATTCTATATATTCAATCTAGCAGAAGATGAGTTACCTGTCAAATATTGGAGACCTATCTATGTTATCGATATAGTTCATGGAAGTTTAGTTCGAATTCCAGAATGTAGATGGCGCTTTTACGCGGGAAAATTATGAATTGTGAGAGTCGATCTGTTTATTCTTATTACTATATGGATTAACGGCTCGACCATCTGTGTTCAAGTTCATTTAAAGAGGTTAGAAGAGTGCTGGCATTTAAAAAAGCAATATTGGACATTTAATAGCAGATGACACAGAACCTGCTGTGTTAAGAGAAATCGTGCGTGACTATGTCATATAGCGAGGAATATATTAAAAACAAAGTGACAGATGAATTGAAAACTTTACATGTGGTACGTAATCTACGATATTTTTTTCACTTCTCTTCCCTTCTTCCCCCTTCTTTTTTTATCGTATCACACGTATGACATGACGACGTGTCATTTTGCCAGGAAACCATTTTTGAAATTCTTGCCGATTAGTTTTGCGATTTGAGCGATAAACTTACTTCAAGATCTCGCCCAACGGAGAATGCAGGGAAAACTGCAACTCGTCTTGATCTCCTGTTTTGCCATTCTCTTGAGATGCTGCATCACTCATCATTCGCACAGTGGAGAGGGCAAGCCTCCTATGTACGGAGATTATGAAGCACAGCGACACTGGCAAGAAATCACACTGAATCTACCCCTTGATAACTGGTATATCAATACTACGGACAATGATCTACAATACTGGGGCTTAGATTATCCACCTTTAACAGCATATCATAGTCTCTTATTAGGTCACATTGCAAATAGAATAGATCCGTCCTTTGTAAAGCTGCAAGAATCCAGAGGACTTGAGACTGCGGAGCATAAACATTTCATGAGACTGACTGTTCTAATTGCGGACATTTTAATTTATATACCAGCAGTTATATATTTTGTAATCAATTTGCGTTTGTCGGACAATTGTCAATTTAATGAGTCTAATATATTCAAATTTAAGAAAAGAGATGTTGTTTTTTTGACAGCATTGATTTATCCAGGATTAATATTAATAGATCATGGACATTTTCAATACAATAGTGTGTCGCTGGGTTTCTTCATCGCCGCTGTAGCTGCTATGATGCAAGATTCAGTCATCTTTAGCTCAATTCTATTTGTTTTAGCATTAAACTATAAACAAATGGAATTGTATCACGCTTTACCGTTTTTCTTTTACATACTTGGATATTACACATTCAATAAGACCAAATCATGGTTTTTTCGTATTCGCATGTTGACGTGTATTTCTCTTATGGTGTTGTTAACGTTTTATATCATTTGGACACCATTTTTCAAGAATAGAGATTTATTTTTCAGTACGATGCTCAGATTATTTCCGTTTTCCAGGGGTATATTTGAAGATAAAGTTGCCAACATTTGGTGTACGATCAATGTTTTTTGTAAATTACGACAGATTTTTACGAACGCGCAGTTAGCCAAGATTTGTTTAACGTTAACAGCATGCACAATTCTACCAAATTGCATCAATTTATATTTGTTTCCTACGAAAAATACATTTATACTTTCTCTAATAAATTCCGCTCTAGCGTTCTTTCTTTTCTCGTTTCAAGTTCACGAAAAGTCCATTCTTTTAGTTGCCATACCAGTCTTATTGTATTTTCATAACGATCCTCTACCTTGTTTTTGGTTTTTAATAATTTCACATTTTAGTATGCTACCATTATTTATAAAAGATGATCTATACCTTGCTTATCTTACTACATTAGTTTTTTATTTCTGTTTTGTGTTTTGGATGTGGTCTGATGCATTTTATAATGATAAAACAAAGAGTTCGTTAAATAAGATTGTATCAAGGTCAAAGAATAGAGTACAAAGATATAGGAAAAATAAATTTTTCTCAAATTTGCCAAGTTATAATAAGAAATTGTGTCTCCTTATTACGTTCTATGGATCGATTTTAGGTATGTTACTTCTCTCTAGCGTTAGCAAATTTGTACAACCCCCTGAAAAATATCCTGATTTATTTTCTCTTTTAATATCGATATATTCATGTGGACATTTTCTAGGCTTTTTTGTATATTTCAATTATGTCCAACTATTTGTACTAAGAAAAGAGATTCTGGCAAGAAAAGTTAAATCATTTGAATAAAACAGCTATTAAAAGCAAAAAATGTGTAAATTACTAGAAATAATAAATAAATGTATGCTCTTATAAAGTCGAATCAAATTAATTTTTTGTCCCTTTTCTGCAACGTTTATTCTCTAACTGCTATTTAATATATCGTGAAAATCAATTGTGTATAAATTATATTTATAAGGATAAATCTTAATATTGATAATATAATACAATATACATCAAACTATTTTTTTTCTTGGCAAAATATTTCGTTACTGCACATTCTGTCTAGAATAATTTGAATCAAATCTTACTATTTTTATGAGATTATGAAAGTAATAATCAAATATATGTATGAATACACAAATTAAGAAATTAATTTAAATTTATAACTTCTATATATAGTTTATGCATAGCCTCTACGCATTATGAAAGATAAAATTAACACAATAAAAATGCATATCCACTGAATTATGAATTAATGGAATAATTGTCATAGATATTATACGAATAATTACTACTTTAAGGACTCTGTAATTGTTCTCTATTTTGTATGTTCAATTTTAATAGCTAAGTCTTAAAATATTATAATTCTAGATTTTAATTAAAATTTGAGAGATAATTGCAATTAAAATACCTGCACTTAATATATTAAATAGCAATATAACTGAATATACATTATATTTTCTCTTGTTATAATTATAATATTATAAAAATACAAAAATTTCTCATAAATGATATAAGATATAAATTAATGAAATAATGTCTATTATAAATTTTGTATAACTAAATGGAAATTTTATAATCTTAGATTAGGAATATTTATTAGAATATTATATTTTATCGCATCTTATTAAATTGCCATTTTTTGGTTCGCTACACGTTACATATATTACAATATTCAGAATAAGATAAGATATGCTTTTTAAAACTTGTTTAAAATCTCTTTAAATTTGCATTTGAAAGCAGTATATTTCTGTAGCAAGTTTCAGTTGCGAAAGAACTGCTTTAGTTGTCTCGCAGTCTTTATAAAATAAATATATAAAGTATACATTTTCTTTTTCTTTTATTTTATCAGCTTTATTCAGTCATCTTTAGAGACATAAATCAAACATTCTATATCGTGATAGGGTATAAAAAAGGTTCGTAATTGTATTTAAGTGTTCTAATTATGAATTGGATCTATTTCAAGTGACTCTACAAAGATATCTTATTCACAGAATACTTATCTATTATATTGTGTGTTACAGGAGGTAGTAGATCAATCTGATGGTTGTGGTGCCAAATTCTCAATAGTCGTTGTCTCTGAACTATTCCAAGGAAAGCCCATCGTGCAACGTCACAGGTAATATATCATTTCATTACAGATAATTAAAATATTTTCATAAACTTTGATAAAGTTGCAATAATGGAGCACATATAATTCATACACACAGGCTTGTGCATGGAGTCTTGAAAGAAGAATTGAAGACAATTCATGCTATTACAATAACGGCATTAACACCAGAGCAATGGGAAAAATCCAAAAGTTGACTGTTGAATCTTATTAAATTTCTTTCATATGGATGAAATTTGATAACGGTTACTTTTATCACAGCCGTTTTGTATATTAGCCATTTTTAATAAGTTATATAAATGAAGAAGTGATACGAATATTATCCAAGTGACTTTTTTCTACGTTAAACAAGTGCATTCCTTATAGTTCTGATATCTCTAGTTGTGAGAGTTATAGCACAAATTTCTAATTTTCTTCTATTCAATATTACATCAATTTTTTTATTCATATAAATAATGATTCAGTTCGAAATATCCGCACCGGGCAAGGTAATTTTACATGGAGAACACGCGGTGGTATACGGAAAAACTGCTGTTGCGGCCAGCTTAAATTTACGTACTAAACTCAAATTCTCGGAATTAGATTCGAACAGGAAGTTTATCGAGATAAACTTCCCTAAAGTCTGTTTGTACTTAAAAATATCTTTGGATGAATTTCTAGAATACTTGCAGCCTTCTTATCCGATTAACGAGAATACTGATCAATTACTTGAGCAAGTCCAAAAGTTTGTTTCTTTACAACAATTTACTAGCAAGTACGACGGTGAAAGGTCACAGAAGTTAAGCTTACAAGCGGTACTATATTTGCTCGCTTATATCGCCTTCGAAGAACAGATCCAAATTAAACCTTTCTCCATACATTTAATTACGGACTTAACGGTCGGTTCGGGTCTGGGTAGTTCGGCATCGTTCGCAGTCTGTCTCGCGGGATGCTTCCTCCACTGGGTACGTCTACTGAAGGGCGATATTCATGATACATTTGATCTAGATGATCTTGAAAGGATCTCGAAGTATGCACTGAGCTGCGAGCAAATTATGCATGGTTCTCCATCTGGGATCGACAACAGCGTGTGCACATACGGTGGGGCAATAGAGTTCCGACGTGGAGAACCGGTGAGTGTGTTGTCTAATATGCCAAACTTGAATATCCTGTTGGTCGACACAAAGGTCACTCGGAATACGAAAGATCTGGTGAATCGAGTGCGGGAGCGAAGAAAATTACATCCAGCAGTCATCGATTCGATCTTCGACAGCATTGAGACGGTATCAAAAACGGCTGTTCAAGTCTTCGGTGAAATATATAATGCTCAGACAACCAACGATGCGGCTCTCCTAGATTCAGGATATGAAAAATTATCTGTAAGTCTTACATACGAACTTCAATATTAACTTAAATATATTTTGTTACATATTTCAACGTAATTATGTGCGTTTTTCTTGTACAAAAGATTCATGTATATAATTATTCGCTGAAAATTATATAATAATCATTCTGTTTAATATATATTCATATGTTTTGCAGTCTCTCATCAACATTAACCAAGGATTACTTAGTACATTAGATGTATCACATCCTGCCCTGAATAACATTTGCTCAATTGCACAAAATAATTTATTAGCTGGAAAACTCACAGGTGCTGGTGGAGGTGGATACGCATATATCTTATTACCGAATACTGAAAACATAATTGATACGGTTTTCTATGAAAATTAAGACAGTCATACCATGTCATATCAACTAGCTTGGGTGGCAATGGAGTGACGATTGAACGTAAAATACAGAATTAGTATTAGGATACAACATAATATAAATAGATATTGAGTTATTATGAAATTCTCTATTCTTTTTTCATATAGAATCAAATAAGATAAATCAATAATATAAATCTTATTGATAATGATATTATAAATGGGAGGAAAGAAGAATAGAGAATTTTATAATAACTCTATATATTAAATAATAAAGCATGTATCAATAAGATAAATCTAAAATAAAGCATGTATCTATTAAATATATATACAAATTATTACATCATAGATGGGAAGATAACTATGAAATATTCTTTCGCGCTAATATAATATATAACAATATATATTGTTGATATATATATATATATCGGATGTCTATATATATAAATACTTGTAAATTATCGTTATTGATTTGCGCGATACACAAGAACCGATCCGAGAGGAAAAAATATTCTCTTCATTTCGTTTATATTTGGATTTTTGGAGAAATAGAAATTTTTCGTCCAAATTCATAAAAAATAACAAATAGAAGCATAAATATCATCCTGCTTCGGATTCAGCTCAAGCTCTAGTAATTATATGTAATTTTTAATTGAATTAAAATTATAATAATCAACACTGCGAATAAAATGTTTATAAAAATCAACAAAAATAACACTATCTTCTGTGTCAAAATGATATGAAAATGACTTTGATCTAAAGTGCGAGTATTGCGTTTTACGATGTATCTAGATATAATAATCAGAGTATCAAAGTATATTTACATCTACTTCATAAATTATTCGTTCTGTTTGAAACTATAATTTGTATCAACACAAGTTGAGGTCATCACAATAATTGTTTCTTAAGTAGAACAAAATTATAATGTTCACACGACTAGTTTGCATTATCAAAATATATATAAAAAGTTATATTTATTTAAATTAAAATCTGATGATAATTAATCGTATCTATTAGAATTCTATTAATAGTTAAGAAAAGATTTTTTATCCAATGCGTAATACATTATCTTTTCCTATTGTCAAAAATTGCAATATTTGTGTTAATGTTAAATTATTGTTAAAGTGAGTTACTTTATACAGTAAATGTATTTATACTAATGTAAGAGCAAACATTAGAAATTAAATTTCAAAATATGATCTAAAGTCACGTCGCTACTTTTACTTTTACCTGGATAAATTTACTATTGTTCTATTGAACGGCATAAATTGCCATTCATTACAAGATGGTCTGTGTCGGAGGTGCTATCACCACTTGGTTCTTCCGTGTTGCGCGTTACATTAGGTACCAGTTGCTTTTCCTCCGACTTCACTTCGGCTATCCACTCGTTTATCTCATGAGTATACATCTTTCTCTGTAGAACTTCTCGCGTTCGCGGTCGCGATCCGATAAACAAGGTGCTTCCTCCAACGACCAAAGAGTTGCGCAGATTTTCCAAAGTTTGAAAATCTTCAATTATGCATTGCAACTCGTTCCACTTTAATTCTACTTCCTCGTGGAGCATTTTTTCTTCTAAAGAATAGAATATACAAGAATACATATTATATGAGTTATAAAATTTTTACGAGAAAGAGAGAGAACTTTTTATATTGCTAAAATATATTTACCGTCGTGTTTTGAAGTCGATTTTTTATATTGTATTCTAAATCGAAAAGCTTCCAAGAAACTGGATACTACGATAGTCAATACGATCATTGTCACTAGATAAAATATCATAAAGTATATCCTTGTATACATGCCAGCGGTAAATGCATATGCGTTCATTTGTATAAACCAATTATTAACAACTGTTAATTCGAAGAGTGTCATGCCGCTTGCTAAAAGATTATCAAAAGTATTAAGATAGTAATATCCCAATGCTGAACTACCATTGATAGAGTACTCATAGAAATCTTCGACGGTTGTATTCCTATTGAAAATATTTGTAAAAATTAGTTAAAAAAGTATCGAAGGAAAAAGACATAGTGCTTAATTCTTTAAATTATTATAATTAATTTGGTACTGACTTGCAGCAATTCCGCATATCATATCCGGCAAACAGCTCCATCCCGATAATCGCAAAGAAGTAGTACAAAACCAACATAACGATCGCTGTCGAACACATCAGGGGAGACAGAATCACGAGGGTGCCGAAAACATCTCTGTAGCGTTTCTTTATCTTGAATAATCTCAACGTTCTGAGCGGCCGGAACATGACCAGGAATGTAACGGAAGGAAATAAAATAAGACCGCACGCGGCAACAAGAGTCATTATTGATGTTCCCAAGTCAAAGAGATTCCATCCTGAGCTCAGGTAACATCTGATACCGAGAGCTAATACTTTCGCCAGTGCTTCAGCCACAAAAACTGTAAATTAAAAAAAATTATCTGCAAATTTCTTTTCTCTTATACGTTTAATTTTATATTTTAACAGGGTCTTTTTTCACTTACGTCCCCCAAATAATAAAGTATCCCAACAGGCAGCAAACCCATGTGCAGATTCCTCAAGACTGCTACTCGGTTCTAAGATTCTTATAATCATGGCAATACAATTGCCGGTAATAATAACACCTGGACAATTATATATTACAAACAATGAGAAAGGAGATGTTTCTCGCACGAGTATCAATTATTATATTTGCACAAGTATTATTTACTTACACACCAACGTTTCGAAGTAGGGCCATTTGATAACAGTATGGGCGCCTGTGCACAACATCTGCAGGGGCCACCACCTCGTGGCTCGGTACCACGGTATATTAGAGTATTGCAAATCCCATTGAAGTGTTGTAGCATCATAAATTGACAGAAATTCCTCAGAATTTAAGGCGCCGCTACCAGATGCATTCATATAGCAAAACATTAAAACAATGTCTCGTGTGGCTATAAATAAATGAGTATAAGATTACAGATATAATTACATTACTTATCATTACCTTTTTTCTAAATATTCGTTACAAGATGTGAAATTTAAGCTGCGTATTGAGAAAAATAGTAATAATCTCGAATACGTACATTTGTTTGGAGTGTAATAGCGCATTAAACCTTCAAACTGACGGAATCGCATTTTGTCGGGATCCTGTTTGGAAACCAAGAGCTTAAATGCGTGTTGACATGCTTTTCTCTTATGCAGGAACAGTTTCTTAAACTTGTCGCGTTCACGAGACGTGAACGTTTCGTTTACCACCGCCAACATTAGATTCATCATTACGTACAACATAGTGCATAAATAAGATACAAAGTATATCGCGTACCACTTATTTTGCGAATACGACGGCATCATTACATCTGGAAAGCTGTACATTGCATTAATATTAGTGTATTCTTTTTAAATTAATAATTACATCGGATTATATATTGTCTACTCACTTAGCAGTGGTAAGAAGGACAAATAGACTGACAAAACTATCTTGCAACGTGGAAAAATTCCTGTTCATTTCACTGAACAGGTAATAGCCTAATATAGTATATACAATAATCAAGAAAAAAGAAGACCCAACATATCTAAGATAGGCGGTAGAGTGAGAAGTATCTGCCTTATAAATCTCCTTACACCTCCGCAATATTTCGTATCTATTAGGAAGATAGGTCTCAGGGCACGCGTTACGCGGAAATGCGAGGATTGCCGTACCAGAATTGTCATAGCTTCGAGAAACATGATAATTAACGTGATACACTGAAATAGAAATTAATGAGATATTAGCAAAGTCAATAACCTGATTTAATAATTGACAGTGTTTGTTGTTTTCTTTCGAAAGAATTGTGCGTCATCTCCTTTCATTTGAATTTCATAAAGAGTTTTGCGACATGTCTGACATTGTACTCTTAACGTAATAACTCATTATGTAAGTAAATTAATCGTTATATTCATTGTTCTCATTATTCATCTGTTATGAGTGACGCGGTTGTTGATCGTTAATGAATGTCTGATACTCTTATATCATCGCATATTAATTTGCAAGTGTACGAACGGGTGACTATTTAGATGATCTGATTATGTAAATATTTTGTTTTTATCGCATTTTTTGTAATGTGTTTTCTGTAAATATGTTAAACTATTGTCGTATCTTCGCAAAAGCATATAGATCTCAAATAATGTGTTTCTTACTTTCAGCATTGTGCGTTTATGTTTTAACATAGGAGCCCAACCAGTCCATCTCAGCTTTAAAGCTAATTCCACACCAATAGTAATTAAGGCAAGTAATTCTACTGAACCATGTACCCATACTGGTACCTGAAATAAAGCATATAAAAATGAGAAATAATGATAAAAAAAAATTACATTTAGTCATTTATTTGTCTGTGACATACTTTGAACAGTGGGAGGGCAGGTTCTTCTACAAATGCAAGAGATAACAGAATCATTGAAGTCAATAAATCCAATCCATTGTAGCAACTGTTATGGACTAAGAGATATGCTGGCAAATCCTCAGGATGTCTCGGATGAGAATCAAATTTCTCATTATTTCTACCTTCCTGAAAAAAATTTATACATTGTTTTGATAATGATCAGATATTGCAATTTAATATAATTTAAGCTCGTTTACACAGATACATGCAATTAAGAACAAAATAAACTATACATTTCTGTATTATATAACATACATTATGTGTATACATAATGCTATACATATGCTATAGAATACAATAGATAGCCTTGAAAAAAATAATTGATCACTCAATTATCTGCTCATATATGTACAAGCATGTTGCTCATATATATTATGTTACTAATAACTGCTATTGAAATATAGATATATAATCAATACATAGTTACCTCTAAAAATATTGCAGCTTCATGATAATTCATTTCCCAATGCATGTCCACATCGAGAGCTGCGTCGCGCGTAGTAAACATTATATTATCAGTCATACTTCCGGCCCCTGTTTCACCCGTTTCGTATTTACAATCCAGCTGATTAGTGGTATTAGCATTGTCAAATGAAGACCTTACATGACTTTCCGAAGAAGGCGACGACAGTATAGAGCCATATTCTGTAAGAGATATAACATTTTCATTGGATCATCTCAATACGACAAGTTTGTAGCATACTTTTATAAATAAACTTTCTATAAATAAATGTCTTATTTACAATTTAATAAAATTTTGAAATATTTATTAAAGAAATAATTTTAAAGACTATACTCATTATGAGCGAAAAGCTGTAAATTTCGATACCAACTAGCAGAGTCACAATTGTCAATAGTTGCTCTTCAAGAAGAGATTGTCACTCAAAAAGTAAATATCTTCCCTGTCAAATGTACAGTTAAAGCTTGCAACGTTGCAGTCATTCGTGATGACATTATCAGTGAGGGAGTGACATTATCTAAATTGATTTAGGATAGCTGAAGCTCTGACTCACGTCGACTCGAGCCATTGGAGATCTCTTGGTCGAGCGGCAGACCAGTCTCATTGTTGAATCGCTGATAATCGGCAGAATGTTCACCAGGTCGAGACGAAGACATTGGAGTCGCGTCGTACAGCTGACACGCACTGCACCGTACTTCCTGTCAGCGAGTCACGCTTGACAGATCCTGCTCCGACCTTCAGCCGATTCAGCGAACCGGCAAGACGTCTCTGCCGCGGGACGACGTCAGACTCCGACTGAATGACGCGACGCTTGCAGAGATGTATATATTAGGCGTATGAGCGAATATGCGATATACATAATTCACGCTACTGCTGTTGATACTGAAGCGCATCGATGTCGACGATCCTGACATTTTATATATGAATGTGTAATCGCGCTCTCTCGCTCTTGCATACCTTTAAATGAAACAGATGTATGTACAAGATTGAATGACGAACAAGAGAGAAAGGAACAAAGCATAGAATGTAGGCGCATGCGTGAATTCCATCGCTGACTTTCACTACATATTTACAGAAGTGTTCTTGATTTAAAAAAAAAATTAAAAGCTACTAGCGAGTCTCTTCTAATTCCAGGAATGATATCACACCGTGAAAAATCACGTAATCTCACAATTGGATATGCAGTAACAAAGTTTCTCGCGCCATGCAATGAGAGAAATACAAGTTTATGTTGTCTTCGACGAACAAACATTGCTACATTTCTTGTGGCACTTATATAAGATTACGTATAATCTGAACTCACTCAGCTGACTGTATGCGATCATACACACTCGACTGATTCTTATCAGCCAATGCTGAGTGTAAGCATCTTAAATAAGGCAGTAAAAATTATAATTATGTTTAATCATAAAAAATAATTACTGAACTCAATTAAATAAATTAAACGAGCACGCAAATAGGGATAAATAGGAATACTTTTATAAGTAATAATTAATACATTAACTATAAGGCAACTATAAAGTAAAAGTCTAATAAGTTATTGTGCTACATCACCATAATAAAATATAAAATATCTCTTTTCCCAAATGCATTCATTATAACTTTCTAAACTCTGCAGATTGCACATATTTCTCTAAAATCATGCGCGTAAATTACATTTTATACAGATTTGAAAAGTGTCATGTCAAAACTTATGTTCCAAAAATTAATAAAATTGATTTTAAATAGCATACAAATTTTTATCAAATTTTCGGAGATTGCATTTGTCATAAATCGACAAACTAAAAGTATAGATATTTTTGTCACAAGCTTATAGTTCAAGGTTTTATCAATATAGCATTCCGAGCGATACGATTGATTTATCTTATCAGTTAATAAGTTTCGTTTTCTTTTCCGTGCACTAGTCGAATATTTCTTGTTTATCACGACGTCGTTCAGTTTGTCTGTTCAAGATGATATGCACGAGGTGATGAATTAACTCCTTCCTACGAATTCGCATTGCTCGTTACCTTTATTTAATTGTCACTAAAGTGTCGTATCTTTAATTGGCTAAATAAAACCTGACCGATTATATAACATCTCTTAGAGAGTTTGTCTGTGAGAAGTTAATGTCAGTAAAAAAAAATATATTATTATAACTATTATATGCTCGTATTTTCTTTTGTAAAAGAAAATAAAGTTTGTAAGTGATATAAAAAAATGATAACACAATTTTGATGTTCGTAGGTGCGCAAAATGTGTTCGGACAGTGATGATCCAGCTTGACCTGCGAAATTTGAATGTTCAGGGCAACGTCTGTCGTGTAGATTGCATCGATGGCGATCACTTTGTAGATGTAATATTAAATGACGAGGTAATCGACGTCAATAATATCTACAGCGATCGACTCGTAGATGAATGGCAGCAGGTCCAGACGGATCGCGATAAGGTGCTCTTCTACATATTGAGCCAGATTGTTTATCCAAACTTGGACACACCGCGAGCAGACAAGTTTGAATCGTTGTACGCTCCGGTGGATGAACATGACATCGTATCACTGAGATGGCAAAAGGGAAAAGCGGTTGGGTTTTATACCGTTAAACCTACAGGTGATTACATGTGTGACATTAGAAGATATTAAAAGATATAAAAAAGTTTACTAGGGCATTTTCAAAGATAATAAACGCGTAAAGTGTTTTCAATCATTTACCTAGGTACGGAAATATTCTCGACGAAGGAGAGATATGTGATGCCTACAGTGGATACGGCGTACATTCGTTCAGAATATAGAAATCAGGGTTTCGGTACGGAGATCCTATCCGACGTGATCGCGCGCTTCCCGAATGAAGACATCGGCTTTTCCAAGCCAATCTCAAGCAGCATGTTGAGAAGTAAGTATTTCAACTCGAATATTGTATGATTTATAATAATACACGTATTTTTTGTACACATAGTCCTGAAAACATTTCTGATGAGTCACAAAGAATATCGATTGCGTTTCTGGGAAATTTCTGACTGCGATATCGGCGTGTCTCAGCAACTGATATGGTGTCGTTTGAAAAAAATGGTAATGAAATAGTATTTATGATAAAAAATGATTAGAATTTATTATAAAAACCATCGCAAAGACGTACTTAACGAGATAATTGTATATATTTTTAATTGTTTTATATGCGTACGTACATATATACTTATTCATATATATATATACATATCAAATTATATTTGTAGAAATATTAAGCAGAATATATGTATATATATTTGAGAATTTATTTTCGCATAATAAAGAACAACGGAATATTTAAATATTTTTGTCTCATAAGTGTATGAAATGCATCTGTATCATTAATTCTGCGAATAAAATACATACCCATTTTATTTCAAATTACTTTTAAGTTCGTTCAACAAGATCGATCCTATAACCATTTTTTCACAGTTTACACAAACTTCAAGTTGCTCATCATCAATGAATTTTGCTGTCACCAATACTAGCGATTTGGACGATAAAGTATGAGCTGCAAATCTGTATATATTTCTTGCATTTAGTTCTCTTGTTAAACTTAATCGTTCGTAGATAAAAAATACATTAAAAACACATATGCTTTCAAACATAATTAACTTGATGATAAAAACTTAAAATGTATGCTTACCGCATGATTTCATCCTCGTTAGGTATTCTTGCGACGTTTGCTGCCTCGAAGACTTTTTGAGGAAGAGCATTTTTGTTTCCAGAATAAGGTATCTTCGCGATATGCTCGTTCATACCTTTCAATTTAGCTTTTTCCGTATTAAACATGCTTTCAGGCAAGGTCACAGATCTTATTATCTCTCCAATTGGTGGTTTAATACTGACCAAACACAAGTGTTTCTCATCATTAATCGCAAAATCAATGTTGAAATTTGCTGGTTGAGTGGAATCATTGAAATTAACTCCTAACGTAGAAGATAATGTGCTGTTTGCATCAAGAATTGGTATTTGTGTAAAATCGTGAATAAACATTCCCTTTTGCAAATTCTGAAAATAATATACAAAATGTTATTTTATTATAATAATGATATTGTATGTTAAATAATATTTAGAGAATTGCTTACCTTATTTCCTATTTGAATCTCTTTAATAACATTATTGCTTTCGTTAGAAAATGTTAACTCGATATTAACCAAACTCGAGCTAACTAAATGTTGCGATCTCGTAAATCTATATTCAATTTTTAAACCATGTCCTATAATATTATTTAACAAAGTAGTCTTTTTCAATGGAACGTATGATGTTGACACTTCTTGAACATTTTCCGTAATTATCGAATTAATTGGAGTAAGAAAACCACCCAAACTAGGCGTCATTACAGGAGTCATTGGAACAACTGCAGAAGATATAATGAATATATTAAAATTTTTTTTAAATTATCTCGAGTCAAAAATCTCGTTAAACTAACCATCATCTAGATCTAATAATAGATCAAAATTGCTTTTTGGTTTCTCCTTCGTTTCTTGTTTGACAACTTTGGGTTTTTCCTCTTCGCTCTCTTGAGTCTCGCTTTCTTCTTCTTCTTCTTCTTCAGAATCTGAATCTTCACGGCTCGATGATTCACTCTCGGATTCGTCGGATTTCGTTTCATTTTTCTTTCCAGTGCCTACCTCAGATTTATCTGATTCACTCGTATATTCTGAAGAATCGCTATCATCGTCCGAAGATTCGTTGGATGAAGAATCGAACGATTGATTATCCGATTCTGAAATTAAAAGTATATGAAAAAATTAAAATGCATGATACACTTACGCATATGTTAATTCAAATAGTACTTTTACCTTCAGCGGCAGTGCTTTCCTCGTCACTGTAGAAAGGTTTTTCCTTTTCCTTGCTCTTCTTCTTCTCCTTTTCTTTTCTACTGTGTCGTTCTTCTCTGTGTTCCTGTGCAATTGGCGGTGCGACATCTCGCACGGATGGATCTTGCGTTACTTCCGGGAATGGTGGTAAAGGTCGATAACCCGCGCACGGCATGTCCAGGTAGTGAGATAAAGTGCCCAATTGATACTCCGAATCTTTGAATCTGGACGTTAATGTCGGAGCCGGTTTCGGTGCAAGGAAAATTCTCTTCGCAAACTGCGGCAACTTCTTCTTCTGGTCGCCTTCATCTTCGAAGATGAAATGCCGCAGAAAACGTGCACGATCTCTGATGTCATAATTCTGATCGTACTTGGCGAGTTGGAAGACGTACTGACAAAACAGTTTCGTTTGTACAGGATTGTTCAAGCATAACTTCACGGCCAAATTTAAGGTTTGCAATTTCACTATATCCTGCTCGTTCACGAAGCTCTTAGCCATTTTTCGGAGCACGTCCGGCGCTATCTTAGGAACTCTGTCAGAGTATTCACCTAGAAGCCACAGAATAGAGGCTCTAGCTTGTGGTACTGTGATAAAATCCATTAATTTCGCCATGTGACCAATTATATCTTTATGCTCATTCGGTTGCGTTTGTAGTAGTTTTTTTATCACCACAACACTTTCCGCCACGATAGCCTCTGTAGAAAAGTAAAAGTTGTAGCAAAATACATGACACAAGATGTGTAACACAGAATATGCAAGTTGAATATAAAAATTTACCATCTCTATTGCTTAACAAAGATACTAATCCATTAAGACATGTATCAGTCACTTCCTTGATGTTACTTGCACATCTACCAATTGCCTGAATGCTAGCACCAACAAATTCCTTGTCACTGCTGGAGATGTATGTTTGAAATTCTCGCAGTATTACGCCGATGCTAGTTTCAGTCGCCAAATTTGTCAATATATCAAGTTTCAAAAGTTTTATGTGAGTAGGATCTGAAGTTCGCACGAAAAACGACTTCAAAAAGGGCTCAAACATTCCCTGAAAAACACCGAATAACGTATAAATATATGCCACATATAATTATTTAATATATGCAATACAAATTGAATCACTACTGATTAATTTATATTGCATTTTAGAGCACTATACTTACATTACCTTTCTTGTAATTGATATGCTAGCAATACAGTGAAGTACAATACTTTGCACTTCTCTATGACATCTTAACAATCTTATTAATGCCTTTGCAGCAGTCATAACTTCGCTTCTAGGTGCTGCATGATGATATAACTGAGCAACTGCCATTACCACAGATGCATTACGACTTTGTAACAAAGGTTTTGTGTTTCTTAACAATAAACGATGATCAGGATCTAATGTAAACTTTGGTTTCTTCGTATTAGAAGAATCGGAATCAGAATCGTAAAATGGTCGATTTTCGTCTTCGTCTAAATTCTGCAAAAATGTTATTCAAATTATTATTTTAATTAATTGAACTAATTATTGTTTTGCTGAAATATCTTTAAAAATATTATACTTACATCTGAATTTGGATTAACAAACTGTGTTCTAGCATATCTAGTGAGCATGTTAACAATAACCACTTGGCCCCATTCATCAACATCTACCAATAAATTACATAATTTTCTATAATTCTTATGGATAAGATCTATTCTTTCTGGACACACTTCCTCAAAAGCCATCACTGCTGAACCCACTACAAGAGTAGTCTTGTCAGAGAGCAATTTTTCCAATACACTTATCAACTCTTCCTTTTGTTCAGGATCCAATGAGTATAGTTTAGGGATAGCGTGAGCTGCAGTCTTTCGTACATATGGTGACATATCGCTAGCTGAATCTTTAATAGCAAGCATAACAATTGGTACTATCATAGAAACTCGTATGCTGGACAATACTCTTAAAGCACTTGCTCTTATTAACTGATTAGGATCTTTCAGAGCTCTTTGAAATGTTGATATGGACAGAAGAGCAAGATCTTGCTGATCCTCTGCATAACGAACGAGATAAACATATACCAGCTTCTTTACTTCAATATTCTTAGATACTACATTTTTTACAACAGCTGGAAATAGTTCCGATGCATCCCTTCCTTTGGCTACCATCTATTAAGAAAATAATAAATTACTATTATTAACATCATCTATTCATTATAATATTTATAATAAATTTATGCAAATATTATTACTCCAATTATACGTTTCATGGCTTCTAACTTTAGTCCATCCTTGTTACTATCCAGCATCTCCTTCAGATCTTCATGTCTAAAACGTACAAAGTATTTTTATGAAATTCTTCATCTCACGCTATACTACATGTAAAAAAATTTAAATTACACAAAGAGAAAAGAGAAAGGTAAAATGTATATAATTCAATGTTCACATGAAGCATAATAAAATTTTAATATGTAGTTGAATAAACCAATTTTCCAATTATCATTTTACGACAAAAGGAACTGTCTTTCATTTCATGATCGAAGATATAAATCAAAGTGAATCAATTACTTCTTATAATCGGAATGGAAAAATCCACCGGAGGCGGGATCTGTGGCGAGATCCGCATCACCCGCACTGGATGGTCTTTCATTGCTGTAAGAACCACCGTTATTTGACAATGTGTTTGCGGCTGCCGTCAACATTCTTCTCCTACAGATAACGTAACAACTTTTCTTTCTACGGGATAAATCTTGAGATTATCCGCGCGTTCGAATATTCGTTCCCCGAGCAACTTTTGACAGCTGTAGCGTTTGACAAATCCTCAGCGAGCAGCCATGCCGTCATCTCCACATCACAACTTTGGCATCGATCTTAAAATATATAGACATGACATCAATTGCAAAAATTGTAATCACATATAAACTAGTCTTGATAGTCAAATCACGAGTTGAGAATATATATAATTATATAAATAATACTAATAATAATATATAATTATATTATTATATATATTTGATATATTTTGTATAATAATATGGATATATTCCAAGTAACAATTATGGAAAAAAGGAAGAGGAATAATTGGATAAAAATATAAAATCGGCTTCGGAAGACAGCAACTTTACCGATCTGTCATCGTAGTTTCGCGACTGACATCTGGTGGCGCCAGCATCGCGCACGATGCGAAGGCAGAATTGGAGAATAAAAGACCCCAAATCTTTCTCGACGGTATTTCTCTACCCGTTCCGATCATCCCTCTCTCTCGAGCATTTTCTGCGTTTCCTCGCCGCAGGTGGGTACGAGCGTTTCTCGCCGAAACACAGTACAAGTCTCGTGATCATATATTTACCACGCCTGCACCTTCTTACACTTTCTGCAGCCGAAATATCCAAGGTGCAAATGGTGCAATGGAATAAAGCGCGAAAATAAGAGATTTCGTTTTCGAAGCGGAGAGAAACTTTTTCCCATTCGAACTAATTTCGACGTAAGGAAAAACGAGCGAGCCGAGTAACTCAATCGGTTATATTCGTCTATTGCGAAGCGTCAATTGTCCCAAGAAAAATGAAGGGCTATATTAAACGTGACGAGGAAGGCAGACCAGTTGTTGACAGCAATGGATTTATTACAATTTCATGCGAAGGTAATGGATGATAAATAATTTTATTTATGATGTATATAATAGACAATTGCGTAATGCTTATTATTGGTTTTACTATATACTCCATATGTATTTTGGAGTCTAGTCTCTAGTTTGTAATCAATTATATCTATCCAATAATTGTTAATTGACAATACATTTGTATATAGATGACAGCTTGGTTTTTCAACTACATTTATCAGAAATTGATGAAAAGGCAGAGCAAATGTGCTTCAATGTCAATGGTACAGATATATATATCGATGTTTATCCATGGGAAATGATTGAGAATGATTCCGAAAATGACAAAACAGATAATGCAGTTACTCCAGAAGAAGATAAAACAATTGTCCCATCGACAAGCAAAAGTGGAAATGCGCATTTTCCTTGGTGTGATGCCTCAACAAAAATCTTTTTGAAAGAATATAAACTCAAGAAGGAAATGGTAAAGAATCGATTACTGAAAAATATGAAGCTTGCGTATCAAGAAATATCCAAAAGTTTGCAAGATAATGGATTCACTGTATCTCCTCTACAAGTAGAAAATAGATTTAAAACATTGAAACGTGCTTATAAAAATATGATAATGCATAATAGGAGGAATGGAAGGGGAAAATATATCTGCAGTTATGAACAGTAAGTTTGTTTCCAATGGATTTTTGTGTGGAAATATTAGCTTGACATTGTAAATTAATATATTAATTATATTTACAGAGATCTAGATGAAATCTTTTCCAAAAATCTTCTAGGTGATGATACAGATATGAAAGATGATTATGCAGAGTCAGAGTAAGTTATAACTTGTTAATATAATTTAAAATTTATTCAATTAAAATTAATTAAAATTAAGCTAATCATAATGTCATGTTTCAAAGGTCTGGAAAGAGTACTAAAAATCATCAACCACAAGCGATTCTTACAAGAAATGCTATATCCAATGAAACAGTATGTAATTCTGGCAAAAATGAACAATATGCCAGATTGGAAGCTCAGCATATGAAGTTAATTGATAATCTGCAAAACTATCAACGTATGATAAAGAGTTTAATCACCAAAACAGACAACAGAAGTAAAACATGCAATGATACACAAAATAAAATCTTGCAAATATGTATGGAAATGCATGATATGCAGAAAGAAGCATATGCTCGTGCGGAAGAACAGAGAGAGAAAGCCAATTTGCAGAGAGAAATAAGAAATAATTTGCTCGAAGAAATGTTAACGATCCTAAGGCCTAAACAGGAAACATAATGCAATCACTGTCAGATAAGCAAATGTGTAATGCCTTGTTTTCATTTTTAATAATTGCAAAATAAATTTATTTATTTTGTTAAATGTAGGGAAATCCTGACATCTCGTTTTGTACATTTTATAAGTTTGTTACAAGACTAACATTCTCTTATCTGGCAACTTATTACAAATTGTAATAATACCTATTACAAATTGTATATTTATGCAATTTTTTTACATAAGTGTAAATAAGTAAATGTACATGTATATTAATATAAAAGTATCAAAACTTATTTTTCATTATCTTATTCAGAACTACATGGAAACAAGAAGATGACAAATCAATGACATGGAAAAGCATGATTCTTACGTTGTTGCATTGTTGATTGACATATAAATTATTAATTTAAGCTACATTAGGAATCAAAAGTTTGAGCTCAAATTCAACTTATTTTTTATAAATCATTCCTCTATATTATTAATATAATAATATATAAAATTAATATTTTTAATATTGTTAAAATGTTTTAATACCTTTAACTCTTCTCAAGAACATTTTGTATGGAATATTCTAATTATTTTGTAACATCTCAGCATATTTTATTACACAGTGTTATAAATTATTTGATTGATTTTATAGTACGTGAGACACAAACATTAAAATATACGCAGTTTTACATTACATTCAAGGTCCTGCTTCCAAAAGTCGAACATCTGATTGTTATGATTATATTATCTGATGCAATCTAAAGTCTTCATAGAAACCGGGCTTTAAGTCTATGACGAATTCACATATTTCCTGCTTCCTGTCGCTCACATGTCTCGCGGTTGTGCGCTAACATATTTCCTTATTTATTGACATATTTATTAATTTATTCGTAACAATGATCATTTCGACGAACGAGAATAATCCGAATGCGTTGAAGTTGATTATCGCGGCTAAATTGGCTCAGAATACTTTCATCATTAAAGTCGTAAAGCCTGATGGTGAGTCATTAACCTTTTCCTGCTTGTTCTTATAATTACTTTGTAATTAAAATTAAATTTGGTAAACTCGAAAGAGATATTTAAACGATACATAGATTATATAATTTTGTATTTTAATATTTTTCATTAATACATATGCAGCATGTATTTTGTTAATAGCTCATAATTTTGTCATGCAATAATAGCGTGTGTTGCATTATGTACAGATGCTGTTCTGGGCCGTTTGCCAACGCTAACTCTACCCTCAGGGGTTTCCTTATTCAGTGTGTCTTCAGCACTAAGTCTTCTATTGCCTGTACCTAAAGAATTGGAGGTTCTTAATAATAGATGGTTGGAATGGGAAATTTCTCAATTACAAGTATAATTTTGTAGATATATTAAAATACAAGTTTTTTTCTGTTTTTAATACTGGAAATATATTTAAAATTGAATATATTTTCTACAGCCAACTATGTTAAGTCACACAAGCACAAGGACTTCTAAAATTTCACAGAAATCTGATTTATGGTTTTTATTCAAAGATCTCAATAGTGAATTAAAAGACAAACAGTACTTAATCGAGGTATGAAAGTATTTTATTATTTTATTTAATTATATGTGATATCTTATTTTCCTATTTTGATCTCTTTTCAGAATCATGGTAATTTATCACCAGCAGATATTTCTATTTGGGTGAGTCTTTGGAGTACCATATTGCTTACAGATGTCAAAGATGACATTTCCAAGGATCTGCCTAATGTCAGCAACTGGCTAATTAATATTGAAAAGCAGCCAGTTATTCAGGTATAGTTATCACTATGCAATAATTATTTTCTAAACATGGATTTGATATATCATTAATTTATTATTATGAATATGTAGGAATCTATTAAAGAGTTTAATTTGGAGAGAGGTGTAAAAGCCATTGCAAGTATTCAAGCTGCCTCTTGGTTTCCTGTTAATACAACTTCAAATAGTTTCCAACTTCGTGAGTCAGTATCAAGTGATGTAAGTATTAGACATTTTATTTAATTTTATTATTTAATTTAAGTATTATTTAATTTTAAAAATATAAATTTATTTTCTTATATATAGGATTTCTGTGTAATTTTAGATTAGTCCAACTAAGGAAAAAGAGATAGAGGCTATTAGTCAAGAAGAACTTCGTAATGTGGCAAGTAGCTGGACTAGTGGACAATATCCAGAAGTTAAAGAAAGTTCATATCCCATGTAAGTTGGATAGAATAGATTAAATTTATACAGTTTATATAAATTCATAAAATTAAGAATTATTGAAGTATAATTATACTCTTTTAGATTGCCTAAAAAAGGTGAAAGAAATGTATTGGTAACATCAGCTCTTCCATATGTTAATAATGTTCCACATTTAGGAAACATTATTGGTTGTGTTCTTTCAGCCGATATCTTTGCAAGGTTTGTGTACAAGTACATATAAGTATACCTATAAATATATCAAAATTTTTATAACACTAATACAATTTTTTATTATTTTCTTGATAGATATTGCAGACAACGAAATTACAATACCCTTTATATAAGGTAATTATCATATTCTTTAAGCAATATAAAATAAAGGAATATATCTTCTATTAATTAACTATTTATACCTGAATTATAATTTAAAAATAATTAATTTTAAGTGGAACTGACGAATATGGCACCGCAACTGAAGCGAAAGCTTTGCAAGAGAAAACAACTCCTCAAGCTATTTGTGATAAATTCTTTGACATACATAACGACGTTTATCGTTGGTTTGGTATTGGATTCGATTACTTTGGCCGCACTACTACACCTGAGCAGACAGAGTAAGAGCAATACTTCAATATTATTTTTAAAATAATTTTTGTTTGTCTCATTGTCTTTTGCATTCTTTCAGAATTGTTCAAGATTTTTTTCTAAAAATTAAATCGCAAGGGTACATATTGACTGAAACCGTGGAACAACTACATTGCGAATTTTGCAATCGGTTCCTCGCTGACAGATTTGTCGAGGGCATCTGTCCCAGATGCAAATATGAGGATGCGCGCGGTGATCAATGCGATGGTTGCGGTCATCTCGTGAATGCAGTCGAGTTAATAAATCCTCGATGTAAGATATGTAACACTAGACCTGCCATTAAAAACTCGGTACAATTTTTCTTGGATTTACCCAAAGTAAGTTTTATAATATAATATCACGATTGTTTCACTGATAGTATCTGTAGCGAATACACGTTACAAGTGTATCTTCATGTTGCAGATAGAAGAGAGATTGAAAAAATATTCCGTTACAGTGGAGAAAGAATGGTCCAATGTTGCAAGAGTGGTTTCGAAAGCGTGGTTACGCGATGGTCTTAAGCCGCGTTGCATAACTAGGGATTTGAAATGGGGCATACCGGTCCCAGTAGAGGGTTTCGAAAATAAAGTGTTTTACGTCTGGTTTGATGCTCCTTTTGGATATATCAGTATTACAAAGAGGTATACCAAAGAATATAAGAAATGGTGGCAACCTCTTCAGGATACAAAAGTCGATTTATGCCAATTTATGGCAAAGGATAACGTTCCATTCCACGCGATAATGTTTCCCGCTTATTTGCTAGCAGCCGATCAAAATTATACGTTGATCAAGTATTTAATGGCAACTGGTACGATATCTCCAAAGAATACAAAAATACACATTTGTTGGATGCACTTTACTAACTCTATATCTTTATGTATCTTTAACATTTTCGTTTTCTTATTTATTTTCAAATTTGTACATTTTTACTTGTACTTTTTTTCTTTTTTATATCTTATTTATCGTTCACTTCTCTATTCTATATCAGTTTAATATTTCCGTTTCAGAATATCTGAATTATGAGGATAAAAATTCTCCAAATCTAGAGGTATTGGCGTATTTGGAACTGATGCCAGAGATACCGGCATTCCGGCGGACGTATGGCGATTTTATTTAGCCTATATTAGGCCAGAAACTCAAGATTCCAATTTTAATTGGGTGGATTTAGCTACGAAAAATAATAGCGAGTTACTAAACAATCTTGGCAATTTTGTCAACAGGTTTGTAGTTGTTTTACTTTGTACTGCAACGATAATTAACATCGTAATAACTTGTTATTAACAGTCTCGAAAACTTGTTACTTGGATAGAGCTCTGGTATTTTCCGAAAAATTCTTCAACTCCACTGTACCACCGATAGAACGACCGGAAGAAGCCGATTGGACCGTATTGGCATTGGCACAACGCGAATTGTCGTGTTACATAAACGCAATGGAACAAGGCAAATTAAGGGACGGTTTAAAATGCATATTGGCGATTTCAAAACACGGCAATCAATACATGCAGTTCCAACAACCATGGGTAAAAATTAAGGGAACCGATGATGACAAGTAATATCATGAGTTTTAACTATTACTTTGTTTTTGATTATGAATATTTGTTTTTGAATTAAACGAAAATATTTTTGTTGAAAACCAATAGAAAAAGGGCCGGAACTGTCGTTGCGATATGTTGTAATTTAGCCTGTCTTCTGTCCGCTCTTTTGGCTCCTTTTATGCCTTCTACATCTAAAGAATTGAGATCTCAACTAGGTTTGAGTAACAAAAGTTATGGCTATATTCCTGAGACGATAACAAACATGTTACCTACTTGGCATAAAATCGGCAAACCCTGTCCATTATTCACTAAGATTGAAGACCAAAAGGTGGAAATGTTACGCAAGAAATATGCCGGACAGCAAGAGACTGAAACATCGACAGATAAAGCTGTCGCATCATTAGAAGCCGCCATCACAAAACAAGTTAGTAAATCTTTTCTGTCTGTCTATGAAAATTATTTTCTTACATTTCGAATTTTCCAGGGTAATTTAGTAAGAGAACTGAAATCGAAGAACGATAAGACCTGGCGAGTTGAACTAGAAACGTTATTGAACTTAAAGAAAAAACTTGTTGATCTCAAAAGTAATACACCTGACGCAAACGCGCCTGAAAAAAAATTATCCCTAAAAAATAAGAAGGCCGAACCTACCCACGTGCCAGAACAAAATGGAGATACTCTAACAGATGTTGCAGCGTTAGAAATGGCTATTGCGAAACAGGTATTAAATATCATAAAAAAATAAATAAAAAAAAATTGTCTTATGACAATTATACATTCGATGTACACTATATTAATGTTGCATAACTTTAGGGTAATCTTGTGCGAGAATTAAAAGCTAAGGAAGACGGAAGCGCATGGAAACCACAAGTAGAGATACTGTTGAAACTAAAACAACGGTTAATGGATCTCACTGGAACAGCACCAGTCGCTGTCGATAAGAAATCCAAAAAGAAAAAGTAGTTTTAAATTCATTTCTTTTGTAGAAATAGAGTGACGAAGTATTTTTTTTATCACATTTTTTCGAAATTAACGCGTAAATTATTGTATCCTATTTATTTAAATATTCTTTTGATACGTTCATAAAAAGAGCCCGCATAATAGTATTTGAATAAAAAAATACATGCGCTTCACATTAAATACATTCATTATATTCTACTCGCGCATTTGTGTATCGAGAATTGAAATGAAGGGATCATGAAAAAGATATATTTGTACTTTATTTAAAGTATGTTCATTCGCACTACTTATACACGTGTATGTAATGATCTGATAAATAATTAACATGAAAATTGAAAAGCTTAATTATTGTCTACAATCTTATCTATATTTTGTATATTTTATCACTTCGTCGTTAGAGTCTTATGAAAGAGATTGCTTGCTTTTAGAAGCTTCATAGTATTTTTATCCTTAGATAATCCTTTAGCTTTATCTTTAGTCTGATTTTTTATATGAGGTTTAAAGGCAAGTGCTCGTTTCGAATGCGTCGTATAAAAAACAAGTTGCTCCATTCCAAATATAATAAGTGAAAATACCATGCCAAAGAGGAGAAGAATCAAGATCGGTGCCGCTTCGTAGATAGTCACACTGGAGACGAAGATTTCGTCGCTTGGACAATAAGGTTTTCTAGCCGATCGACGACGTATCTCTCGTCGTCGAAGTCCCGAAGTGTTTATTTTCAATAATCTAACGATATCAATCCAATATCAAATAAATTTCAATCTGAGTATTCCTCATCTTGAGGAATGTAAAAATTATTGCAAAAATTAATATACATAGGATATGGAGATATACTCACGCTATTTTACTGATTTCGTGAAAGTGACTTTTAAGATTGGACCACAGGCCCAACTCGGAGGGCTGCAATAAATGAACTTCCGTAAGTTGACAAATCATTTGCTTGTCGAATTCTTGTTCGATGGTTGGATAGATATCGTCCGGATCTGCGTGGTAAGCGAAACCTCCCTTTTTTATTGCCTCTACACCAGCCTCGATTGAAATAAATCTCTCTGATTCTGGTATAGCGTTCCAAATGGGTCTGAAGTATTGCACCTCCGGTCTTTTATTCTAGATTTAATATAGAACTGATTAGGCTTAATTCGATTAACAATATCGGAAATCGCTATAGTGAGACGTGCTTTTATTTTACCCGTAACAAGAAGTTGAAGAAAACATTTTTCTCGGCCGCAAGCTGCATCTTCGCGTGCGCCAGCGAATAAAGCGAATCGTTCATCTTGTGGAGAGGCTCGTTTAATCTAGCCGACACTATCGCCGCCGAATAATAATTGAATACCAACAGGCCGAAGACCGTAATTTGAATCAAGGCGATTCGACTAGCCGATTGGTCGGTGAGAGAAGGGAAACCTGATTGCGATATAATTAATTACAATTAAAAGATGTATTTTGCTATTATATTATATTGTTGCACAATCGTATATGTACCTTGCTGACATAATGCACCGACAGTGATCAACGCCGAGATGCTGTAGCCATGTTCACTAACGTGTTCCAGCTTCAGTATGAAGGTAAGGATGAGGACGGTCATCACCACGAACACGACGATCATGCACCACACGTCCGCCGCGAATGGCTTCAATATTATCCAGGGTTTCATCTTCGTCGCTGGTATAGTACGAAACATGAAGCAGGTACTAAGTGAGAAATTATAGATATTATATTAATACTTTATGGACAAAGTACATATATATATATAATATATATTGTGTATGTCATCATTGGCAGAGCTATACGAGCTTCTAAAAAGCAAACTGATCAACTTATTTTTAATTTAATTTGATTTTAATATCAAAGCATTAATTGTAAATTAAAATTAAGAAATTTACACAAAAAATTTAAATATGAAGGCTTTCAAGAGGCTCTCTATATCTCTACACATTCATTATATTTTTTATTTCAACTATATTTTATTCTTCTGAATTGAATATTGTTTACCGCGTAGGCCATTGCGGAAAGATAACACGCGCATATCCGTATCTCTCGATCGTCAGAATGGACGGATAGTAACCCAAATCGGCGTCGTCCCTCTTCAGGGTTCCCATCAGGGGACCATTGCTGTCGTTCTTCTCCCAGTGATTGATCTCGATGAGATCCATGCTGTGCGCGAAAATAGTTTATTGAGCGATTAATAATGTGAGATAATATGCGAGAATATTTTTAGACGTTATCGTAATCTCAATTACGTGAAATTAAACATATCGGAGACGTGTGAGAGAAGGGTGTATCCGAATTTCGGCCAGTTGTCCATGACCTCAAGACCTTCGCCCTCCAAATATTCCAGCAGAGTCAAATGCGGCGGTCTATGCAGAACCTATATAAATAAATATTGTTGATATATATAAATAAATTACACATTTTTCGTTAAAGTTGGGACTTGTACAATTCCGGCCGATTTAGCCCGCAATCTGTTGTAATTTCGTCGCCTGGCGATCTTCGAATCATTTAAAAAGATCGTGAGTCCGTCATCCTCTCGCCAAGTACCAAGTAGTGTGACATTAAGTATTCCTCCGCGCATTTTGCAATGATTGAAGACATCGTAGAGAACGTAATCGGACTTAGAATTCGGCAATAAGATCGCGAAATCCGTGACGATACTGAAGACGCTGTCGTTCAAGCTCTGCAAACTGTGGTTCAGGTTGCTCCCCAGAATCAACCAGTTGTACGAATAATCGAACATTCGATAAGCCGTCGCCTAAATATTTAGATTTTGCTCTTTATTTAATTTTCTGAACAATCTTTTTTTTCGATAAAATAAAATGAAAATTCGTATTCTTACATCGTCGAAAATACCGGTGGCGTTCTGATTCGGACATCGCATATCCAGAAACACGCCTAAGGTGCGACTGGTGTCGAGATACCTCAGAACATTAGTTTGGAATCCAGCTGGTTTAATCGCCGTAGACATCCCGGCATCGGTTAACAGCTTCATCGTGAGAAAATCATCTACAAAGAAAATTATATTAATCAAAAGGCGAGAGAGAAAGAAATGAATATATGTCTATGCTCACCTTCCACATTTCCGCAAGAGAATCCTACTACTCTGGTTACCTGCTTGTAGACGAAATAATCCCGAATGATGACACTGGTTTGCGCGTATGCGACAATAATGAATACTTGCGAGAGAAAAACGCTCAAGAGATGCATCCTTGTAGATTACGAGATTGCTGCGACAATGCTGTAACCACTTTGTCTCATCTTCATTCTATATGGAACGCCGGAATAATTTCGAACTCGAGACAATACATTCGAGACACAGTATGGAAACGATTTGCGGAATTCGAAATCATCCATAACTCGCACACGTCGATTGACATGACAGCATAATAACAGCTACTCCGATACTAAACCGTGTATACAGAGTGTCTCGCTGTCTTCGTCATTTATTTCACCGCCAGATTCTTCGACTTAAAATCGATCTCTCTTCAACGAAAACTTCTTTAATTAATATAGCCTCTGAGTTTTGTGAGAGAATGTTGTGTTTAGATGATTTATGACGATTAATATGTTAAAAAGTTTCACATTATCACCGAGACACTTTGTATATAACACGATACCTTCCTCTTCGGTTCTTCAGAATTTCCTTTATTATTTGTCCCTGTTTTCTATTATCCTTCAAGTCGAATCTGTTACAATCAATTTGCCTGTCTTTCTATCTATTATCCAATTGTTTTTTTACGAAAATATTCATAGAAAAGTTTCCCGAGTATTATCTGCGATGTAAAGCGAATCTACGACTTTATTACAGCAAAATATTACAACGACTAAAGAGAAATTACAATTTATAGCGTGCCATATCTATCTGTCTTCTGTTCTTCTTTTCTCAGCATAAAATAAGTCAACGATAACGAGACACTAATGAATGAACCAACTATAATACACGACCGACTTGTAAATATTTTACTTCTCAAAGCGAGACAATTTTATTCGAGCAAATTGTGTTTGCTCGTACCGGCTATCTTCTCTGCGTCATTGTTTATCATCGATCGTCTCAACGTTTTCTCTCTGTGGGAACATAATAATTACGTTCTGTAGCACCTAACTTTCCCGACACACACACAAAAAGGCGAGTGTTTAGTTTACCTTATGGATCGATAGTAAACGATATTCTCAACGATGCATATTCCGCTTCCAATAAGCGTACCGAGAGCTAACAGAATCAAAGCCGGAGCTGTCTCATGGATAGTTATGCTTCTCGTGGACAACGTATCGAGCTGACACTGAGGCTTCCTGCTCGACCAATATTTTATCTGACGATCGCGTAAACCAGTGTTAAACATCTTATACAATCTGCAAAACGATTCCTCGATTTTCTATCACAATTTTTCTTTTTGTTGCAAGGAAAAAGAAGAAGCTTACCCAAGTTTTGCCACCTCAGTGAATTGACCGTTGTGACTGGCGTACATCCCCATGACGGATTGCTTGAACAGATGGATCTCTGTCAATTCGCAGATCTTGCTCGGCTCGAAATTTTCGACGTAGGGATACGCCGTGTTGGGATCCGTGTGATAAGCCAGGATACCTTGACTGACTTGCTTCATACCTTCTTCTACAGGCAAGTATCTCTTCGACTCTGGCAATGTATCCCAGCGTTTCTTCCTGAAGTAATCCGAATCCCCCTTGAGTTTCTGAAAGAGTTTCAACGTATCAGACGACATGCAAGCGTGCACTTTTGGAGCATTCTTTGTCTTCATATAATCTCAACATATCTAGAAATACGTACGTATAGGAAGTAATTTAAATATGGTACAGCCTCCGCGGCGATTCTTAGATTGCTATCCGCGAGAACCGTCACGGAATCCTCCATCATGTCGAGTGGTTCGCTCAAACGAGCCGACACTATACTAGCAGAGTAATAATTATACATGATCCAATTGAAGATGGTGATCTGCAGCAGAGCGATACGACTTGGAATGCCCCTGGGGAAGAAATTTGCACCTGTGCAATAAGAGATGTTATTGTTAAAAATTGACGAAACGATACTTTTTACTTACTCTACCGTTCATTATGTTATGTATACCTTGTTGAGCGAGAATGCCGATAGTGAGAACCATAACGCTCGAATATTTCTCTTGCTTAGTGTCTTCCTCACGTTTCATTATTATTCTCATTACAAATATGAAGATTATTATAAATAATCCCCACGAGTACCAAGTTTGAAAGGCGAGCGGTTTCAGGAAGATCCCGAGCTTAATCTTGCTCGACGTAGTGGACAGCAGCATGAAACAGGGTCTGTAGGTAAAAAAAAAAGATTCATTATTAATTGAAAGTGTCAGATTAATGTCTTTTTAATTTAAAAGCGTATTCTTGATACCGAATCGGCCACGCCGCGCCGATGAGGGTGGCGTAATCCAATCTCTCGGATACCATAATCCTGGGATTACTGGCGAAATCGATGTAATTCCTTTGTAATATCTCGAATATCAAGCCGTGTACACTGTGACGATCCCAATAAACTATCTCCGAAGCGTATACGCTTGAAAGAGATTTTTAGGACGATCAATGATAAGTAATAATGCAAGACAAAAATACTATTTTAAGAGGCACACCTGAAATTAAAGAGATCGGCGGTATGAGATATCATCGCATACGTGAATTTATGCATGCTGTCCAAGGATCTTGTATTGATATCGTGCATATAATCCTCCAGTCGCATATTCTTCGGCCTATATTGTATCTACGTGGTGTACAATAATTATTGAAATTTACATTGCATAATAAAATCCTTTTCTTTCGTTGCGTATATTCGACGATACAAACCACGCCTGATATCTTCAGCGTCATGCCATGCATATTGGCTCTCCTCTGGATCAGTGGTTGAGTGAGAGTGATGGCAAGACCACTTTCTCGTCGCCACGAGCCCAATCTCGTCACATTCAATGTACCACCGCGATATTTGCAATGATTATAAACGTCGTACAGATCGTAATCGCCGCCGTTCTTTATCGCGAGCGCGAAATCGGTGATTATGCTAAAAGCGTTGTCATTTACCAGAGGCACGCTATCATTCAGCTTCGACCCCAGGACCAACCAATGATATGCATAATCGTACATGCGATACTTGGTAGTCTAATGAATGCGAAAAATATATTAATTCTTCCTTTTTTCTTCTTTTTTTTGTATTAAAAAATTGTATATCGATTCTTTCAAATTATCCTTTTACCTCGGCAAAGATGCTCATGGCACTTTCGTTGTGACAACGCAAGTCCACGACAATCCCTAAGCCCCAGGTCTCGGTGTTCAAGAATCGTCGCATGTTGATATTGTTATCATGTTTCCTGACGATCGTAAATATACCGGCCCTACTCAACGATTTTACAAAATGAAAATCACCTACGGTAAAAAGAAAATAGAAGAGAAAAAGACGCACATTTTTTAAAATATTTATAATGTTTATAAAGTTTCTCTGGAGACAATTTGATCCTGATATTTTAACGATTACACTAGACATACTCGTGAAATCTCCACATGAGAATCCAACGACATTTCGCACTGCCTTGTGCACAAAATAGTCGCGAACAAAATCGCTGTCTCCTGCAATAGTATTAGAAATAAATCGCAGCAAAATAAAGAAGAGTATCGCATACATTTCACTGTGATTTATTTTCTTTTTCAGGGATTATGAATATTACTGTGCGAAAAAGTTAAAACAATTTATGGGCTTTTAGACAACGCCACGTTTGCTAATACGAATACGAATGGAAAGAATAATATAACTAACGGAAACAAAAATATAGAGCTCGATTAATTTCGTATGAATCAGCTGCAAAGCTTGCGCTCTGAATTTTGCAGCATCAATATAATATTGAATGCGTGTGTGATGTCAAAGTCATATGTGTCTTATCGCTTATTTATGCTTCGCGGTAAGATATCGAGCTCTGTCAGGAAATGAGCACTATAAAAAAACACATTACTGTCAGACTATACATTGAACAATAAATCGCACACATGTGACGCTGATTACTTATTTACGTACATGTCTAACGACTAAACACATAAACTATTCGCGATAAAATCTAAAAGCGTCTTCAAATAAATGATGTGTAATAAAAATAATAGATTATTAATTTATTCGCGCGAAAATATTCTATTCCGAACAATAGGTATACGCATCATTAATGCCGAAAAACTTAGATTTCTCGATATAGATTGTAGCTTAGAGATGAATGCTCTGTAAACAAAAAAATAAATAGATAAATAAATGCGTTGATATTCTAGAGCAAGTTTATAAAAATGTACTAGAAGTATAAAAAATAAATGCTTGAAGACAGGAGAATAATAGAAAAAAAAGAAGATAAAAACAATCAAATAAGAAATTTGAAGTTTATTATCCTTTTTTCCTAAATCTTAACTATTCGTTACTTACTGTTTGGATAACAACCAATGGACGAGATTTTCTGTTATGCAAATAATGAGGGACAACGCGATGGAAATGCAGATAAATGCAAAAATAGGCGTAGCTTCTTGGATCGATAGTGGTTCGGCGACGAGAAGATTTTTTGGGCATAACGGCTTCGTAGCTGACCAAAGTTTTAACTGTCGTTTATATATGCCCATATCATACATTTTGGTCAAGCTGCAATAATAATATATATTAATAAGATAATATATTAATAAGATAATATATTAATAAGATAATAATCTGATAATAATATATATACATATTAATGTACATTTAAACACACTGTGAAGTGTCTATTTAATTATGTGATAAAGTATAGCAACATAATATAAGTAAAATATTATATATAATCTGTTAAAACTTTAAAATCCAATTTAATTTTAGAAGCAACTTTAATTGTGATAATAACGACGGATAATAATATATTCTCCTACCCGATTCTCAATAGCGGAGTGAATGGGCTCCTGAATCTTCCCCAAAGAGCAAGAACCGCGCGAAAGAGATGAACCTCTGTCAATTCGCATATCATTCGTGGATAAAAATACCGCTCGATGTACGGATATGCTGAATCGGTCGACGTGTGATAGGCCAGATCTCCATTAGACACGCGATTCAGACCCTCCGCCAGTGACAAATATCTTTTGGATTCCGGTATCCTGTCCCATCGTTTCGTATTAAAGTATCGTACCTCTTTTTCCGGTGACTTTCGATGATGCGAAAAGATGAAATAAAATACGTTTAGACGAATATATAGAGGGATATATTTTTAATTTAAAAAAACAAGATATCGATTATTGTAGATTTCTTTTTTTTTAATTAATTTCAGTGTTTGATAAAGCATGTATCATAAGTATCATATCTACCTGCAGAAACGAACGAATATATGGTGTAAACTCAGCCGCCAGTTTCAGATTACTATCTGCCAGACTGATCAATGAATCATTCATCTTCCGACCTACGTTCTTCAATCTGTCCGACACGATGCTCGCTGAATAATAATTCAGGATCAACACGCTAAAGAGCATAATGTGTATGAATGCTATGCGACCCGCATAATGTACCGGAACAAATACAGACCCTGCAAATAAGCTTAATCTATAGAAAACTGTATTTTTTCGTACATCATTTAACTCAAGAAGCAATGATAAGACTAGACTTAATATAGATGAAGAGATTGAAAGTACCTTGTTGGGAAACAGCGCCTATGGTAAGAAGAATACAAATGCTGTAACCCTCTGTTATACTATGGATGCCCTCCTGTCTGATTAATATTACTAAAACCGACATAGCGAGTATCATCGTACCGATTATCACATACCATACTTTAATGTTTAACGGTCGCAAAAACTGTTCCGTCTTCATAGTCGCCGAGGATATCGTGCGAAATAAAAAACACGATCTATAGAAAATTTTAAAATGAGCAGGTGAAATGATTTTGTGTATAATTATCGTATATATATAATGATCGTGAAATTACGCACCGCATCGGCCAAACTGGACCGATAATATCTCCCCTTCGTAATCTTTCTGTTTTCATCACGATCGGACTGGCCGAGATATCTATCATTTTTCTCTGAAAAGCAACGAACATGGGTGCGGAATTGTCCTGCTGTTTTTGAGGATTTACTTCCACCATTTCCATACTAAAAAATGCGTGCATTAAAAAAAAAAATACTCGAAAAATGCTTGAAAAATTTTCGTCGAATCTTACGTAAAATTGAAAAGATCAGCCATGTGCAACAAGATTGTGTACAGAAATTGGGATCGACCGTATTTCGCCTTCATGTCTGGGTTCAACATGATATCCTCCGCCGACACATTATTATAGAATGTGTGCGATAGCTACAAAAATAAGATTAACAATAAATTATACTATGTATCAACTGTGTGTGTCGTTGAGTAATCTTGATTACTTACTAAAATTCCTATTTTTAGCTTCATGCCGTGCAAATTAGACCGTCTCTCATACTTCGATTGCTTCAGTCTAACTGACACGCCGGATTTCTCGGTCCAGTAACCTAAAGATGTTACGTTCAAGGAACCACCACGTGCTTTGCAAGGATTATACACATCGTATAAATCGTATCCGGTGAGAGAGGGTATGGCGAGGGTAATGTCAGTCACTATTCCGAAGGCATTGTCATTCAATAGACTGACGGTGTCATTCAATTTGCTTCCCAAAATCAGCCATTTATGCGTCTCGTCGTACATAAGGTATTTCGTAGCCTGATAAATGAAAAAGTTAATAAAAACATAAAAACTTTGCTGTTTCAGCATTCAGACGATGTTGTTATCTTTTGTGACCCTTACCTGCTCTCTTCATCTCTTCTTCAATCATACTTCTTGATATACATATATTATATTTTCTTATACTCTTATATTATATTATATTATATTACATATTTTCTTACTTTTACAAATTCTCAACAATTAATATACAATCCTAATAAGAGAGAAGCGCTTTTACCTCGGAATATAACATGGTGTAATTGTGATTATGAATGTCGCATCGCGTATCTACAAAGATCCCTAAATAGCGATAATTGTTCTGCAAAAGTTTCCTGAAAGCCGATGATCCAATCACGGATTCGAGATTCCACATCGACGCGAGTATAAAGACATCGTTGAATGTCTTCGCAAATTTCACGTTGTCTGTTAAAAAATTTTGCGTATAATTATATATATAGTATATGTGTATGTCATTCAGGTATTTTTACGCACTTTCGAGATTCTCGCAGGAAAATCCTACGACACTGTATATGCCTTTATGCATAAAGTAATCTCGGACCATGATATTGTCTTTTATGCAAAAAACAAGAAGAAGACGCGATAAAAGCAATAATAGCTTCCAACTTTCGTGAAGCATTTCGTAAGCTGTATGGATTGCACAGACATGTAATATAAAGAGTTTAGAAGGGAAAGCTGCGTTCCGTGAACACTGAACCTGCCCTCCGCAATGTCAAATATTCGATGCACAAGTCTTTTATAAATATTTTATTTTCACGACACTTGAAATAATAATCTCCTCGATCGATTTACTTACCTACCTATTTTAAATCTAGTTATTATTTATTAGATCTATTTCTCTTTTGCACACATGTAATGCTATTTCTAAGTTTTATATATATTATAATATTTCTGAAATTCAGAATAAATAAAAAATCTCGGAAATTATTTTTTAATATACCATTAGAAAATCAAGGAATTTAAAAAATGAAAAAAGTAACAATTGTTTAAAAGGCATGTTGATTTAAAATCGTACTCACAGTTAATGTAATTTGTACTCTTTTTAAAATTATATGTATGTAAAACGCACATTATTAACATTATGTTAAAGATACATTTCCGATGCCAGTATATATATTCGGTACACGCTTAGAAAACTTTTCATAAATAAGATAAGTATATGACTAGTACAAATTATTATATTACACATCGTTCTCGAATCGTGAGTTCGCAAAAATTCTCAAAATCAAAATCAATCAAAATCGATAGTTAAAATGTTTACTGTAGTGCGTACGGAGGCGCGCCGTTGGTCGACAAGTAAAATTTGCCACGTAACCTGGACGAGAGAAAAAAAATATTGTACATCGGTCCTTTTGTATATCCTATCTTCGAAAAACTTATAATATATAGAATATATAAATAAAAACAGGAGACAACTTACGATGTAGAAGCGTATTCGCCCATCAATACGATCGGATTGTGATCGCAAAGTTGCTGCTTGTATTTTTCCAGCTCTCACACATTTTCGCCTTGAAACCTAGTGTGCTGCCGATACTTTCGGTCATAATCTGATGCGCCCGTGAATGGCTACAATAAGCTGAAAAGTAACGTAAAGTAACATTAGGATGTCGTTCGCGAGTTATTTTTGTATTCTTCTTAGCAAAGATACAATATATAATATATTTTAATACATTTGCACGAATATATTTTATATACATAATACTTGCTTATTGTCGGCATGAAGGTGCATCCAGGTTGAGGAATCTTGCCATCGTTGGGATAAAAATCGGCGTGTCCCAAAGGCGCCAAGAATCCAAACGCTGGACCGCTGGTGTGGATTACATCCACGAATTGAGCATCGGTTGGATCCAATCGATATTCCGGATCGACGATACCGGAAATGGTCTCGAACAGGGGACTCGCAGGATCCAATCCTTCCGGGAAAAAAATTATTAATTATAATTGCATCTTTGTGGTATCTTTTATTCGCAGTTACTTTCTAGTCCTATTTTTTCAATAACATGTTCCAAAAAATATAATAATTCTAATTCATATATTTAATGTTTTTTTGAAAAAAATATATGTATAAATATGATATAATTATATTCTAGAGTGTTGTAAAAAAATTTGCAATGTACTTTCATCGAATTGCATAATTGTCTTAACATAAGAATGATACGAGATCACTCTGTTCTACCTGTTATTCTTCCGATACGTCCCTCGAGATAAGCTCCGGCGAAGCCTGCCACGTAGGATCCTAGACTATGACCGCTAATGTGCACATCCTTGTACTCCAGATTCGAGTCTCGATTTAAGAACTCCAGAAATTGGCCTAAATATTCACCGACGAGACGCGTATTCTTGGCTGCTACCGGATAAGCGTAGGACGCCAAAATTCCCCAACTCACGACTATCACGTTCACATCTTGATAATGCAGATACGCTAAAAATGCAATTAAATGTCACACCTCTATTTCTTTTTTATTTTTACTTCGAAAGCGACGTTGTGTATAAGAGATTTTATCGGATCAGAAAATCGCTCGTGATATAAAAAGAAACTTGGAACTCTTCCGCAAAGTTTCTGTGGAGAGAGAGCGAGAAAAGAACTTGCGAAAACGATTAATTAAGCTGTTATCGCGCTGACTTTTGAACCGATAACGACGTCGATTCCGTATTTACCGAAATAGGCTGACCCTGATTGTTTGCAAAAGAAGTAGGAATAGTAATAGCAAATGATAAATAAAAATACGCAAATTGCGACGCAGTATCCATGTTCGCCCACCTCTTACTAGATCTCGTACCCAGCCTTCGTTTCCGGTATCGCTAAATCCGTGAACGATGAACTTGGTCGGTCTGCTTTCGTTGAAGTGCGACGCGTACAATACCTCGGTATCGTTCAGAAACAATTGTTCCTCGCCGAATGGGTTCTCCCTGCGCAAAATAATAACATAATGATGATTTTGATTGCAAATTGTATTGTAATTTGCATGTATTTTAGATACTGCAAAATAATACAGGGACAATTTCCATCGCAAATATAGATTTTGAAATTTGTTATTCCCTTCGCGTAATGTAAAAAAAATTTAAGACATTAAAGTGGCGCTTCCTCCTCGCTTCCTCGGTCGTCTTGTCTGTCGGAAAAAGAGAAAGAAAAAAATGCAAGAGAGGGGACAATCAATCCGAGGGCACGATATCCAGGCGTCAACTCGACGCGACGCGATGCGATGCGACACGGCGCCTCGATGCTCGATAGTCGATCGAACGTCAGCGCTGAGAATAGAATATTCGCTGATTGCACGTATCATTAAAAAACTGATGCATCCTCCACGGGGCAGTCCGCGATAACGTGCCACGGTGCATGGAAATTAGCCGCGTCGGCGAATGATTGATTCTCGATCGGCGCTATAAGAGATACTTCTATTACAATTCGCAAATACATGTATAAAATAATTAATTATATTTGAGGAAATCGAGATTTTTTTATGCAAACACAATATGTAATGATACACATAATTTATACAACAATATATTATGCAATTTGATTTTAAATCAATCTTTTCCCGTACAAATCTTTGGTCAATATTCCAACAAATTTTCTGTCATTCTTTCGCTCAATTATTTGAATGTATAGCTGTTTTATATATATATATATATATATATATATATATATATAATATTATATATATATATATAATATTTTATATATATATATTATATATATATTGTATAATAAATATTATATTAATATTATATAATAACATCGTAATGTTATAATATTATTAATTATATATTAATAATATTAATTTTAGTATAATTTATATTAATAATATTATATTAGATCTATAATATATTAATATAATATTAATAATAAAATATGTTAAATAAATATAATATAGATTTACTATCTTAAACATTTCATTATAAATCGTCATCTGAACAAATAAAAGGTTGCACTCACCTGGTGTACAATTTGAAAGCCGTTGGTTCGCGTTCCAATATTGTCTCGAGAATTGATGTCCGCGCCTCAAAGTTCAGTCTATCTTCCGGATATGCATACGCTGAAATTAACAACTGATGGATTAATCGGATTAATTAATTAAAATTTACTGAGAAAAAAAATTATTTCTATTTATAATTGAGACTTTGAATCGATAACCGATAATTACCTGACCAGACGAGAAGGATGGTCGAAAGAGCGAGAAATTCGACGAGTGACATATCTTTGAATTGGATGCTACACGATACACCAGTCTCGTCTCCACGAGATACACCGGATTACTACTACTTAAACTTGTTCGGCTTAATGTCTCTCAGTTCGTCATTCATCCCGCGCTTCTTTCTTTTTGTTCGTCGACCAGCTCTCGAGAGTATGATAAGAGCGCTCAACTCATTAATACGTTCATTACTGTAACGCAGATTTTAAACCGGTCCTACCGGCAACATCTCCAGTAATTCTATGTTCGATGGTGCGAAGCGATTTTTTACTCTGAAATATAAAAAAAGCATATTTTTAATTAAATATCGTATTTTTAATTAAGTAATTATTATATCTTTACGATGCTTCTCGATTTTCAAAACAGGTCTACTTATTAGATAAATCTATTCCATTAGAATTATCCTATAATCAGTAAAATCCAAACTATATTCTATCAGTTATCATTTTCTATAGAATTGTAATTTATAATTTAATAACTTTAATCAATTTTTTTCATGATTTTATAATTTCATGATATTATAATTTGGTCGTTCAAGGTCCTTTTTAGCAGAACGTTATACTGCATAAATAAGGCAGAACAGTATAAAGTAGTTCTAAATAAAAAATTTCCGCTATAAACTATTTTTTTATTTGCAAATGTATCAGTGTGCTGTAAAAATTTTTTTCTGAAATTAAAGACACTTGTATAATTTTTGCAAAAACAAGTTTTTAAATATATATGCATGCAAAATAATGATTTCATATTTTCCATTTCTTTGGATAAGCTATATGTTTATACATATATTTTGATACGAAAATATGTTAAAAACGATGTTGTTCTATTTTGTTTGTTTACAATCACAAGTAAACAGTAAAAATTTACCAAAATCATATTGTGTATATATATGTGTTTATAATTTTATACTTATATTTACAACCTTATATCTTGCTTTCTTTACTAACTTTTCGTTATTGGGTACATACATTTCTAATTATTAATACTAGAAGAAATTGTCTTGCAAAGTAGTTCAGACTTTCCGGAATCAGAGAAACTTTTTCAGCTTGCTTTAACTGCGTATTATGTTTCCAGATCTTGGTTTTTGATACATGATTTAAATAACACATAATGATGCTATCATCAACAAGAGACATATTACTAGTAAAGTTATACGACTTATATTTCTCATTCATATAATTTGAAAAAATCTTGTACTTATAATTGATAACTTCTATATATATTCTTATTTTTGATTTTTTTCATGCATATATTTTACATATTTGATGACTCATCTTGGATTGAAGTTGCCAAACAAGAGCAATATAAATATAACAACTATTTTAAATTTAATGATGAAAAATCAATAAAAACAATAATAAAGAATTCATCAGACGAGGAGATACAAAACTGTTTATATTTATAAAACAAAATAAACGTTCTAATATATAATGTAATATATGTTCTCTAGCTATATATATATATATATATATATATATATATATATATAGCTAGATATGTGTATATATATATATATATATATATATATATATATATATATATAGCTAGATATGTGTATATATATATAAATATATATATATATATATCTCTAGCATTATTCTGTTATTATGTATGTATACTTTATATGTAGATATAAGTACTTATTGCTACAAAGATGGTAATTAGGCCCTGTGCATAATAGAGGAATGAATATTAAATATATTATATAGGAATAGGAATTATTTTAAAATAATAAAATTTAAAAAACTCCGCTATAACAAATACAATTTCCCAAATAGCAACAAAACATCATTAAATCATGAGCTGATTTATATGCAGAAATATTATACATTTATATTTTGCCAAGACTTACTGGTATAGTATCTTTCTCGAATTCTGTAGAGACCATCAATGTTAATAAAATCGTTTGCAAACGGTGCATAGCGATAAAGGAAATACCATCTCCATGCAAACCTGCTGTGCAACCTTGATAATAATATCGCAAGATCCAACATAAACCATGTACGTATTGTAAAGCAACGTTATATATTCCTACTAAAAACAAACAAGTAAATGTCTATGTGTAGCATAACATGTTAACTCTTTAATGCAAGTTTTATTTATTAAATCAACAAACGAGTATTCGCATATAAAAATTATTCCAACTTATTCATTATTACCTAAAGGCGAGGTTATCAGGAGACGCGTCGAATTTAGATTCGTAAGCTCGATCTTTGAAACCATCTCCTCAAAATCGCACTTCATCATGCGACTGTTCATCATCATCGCCGTCTGCTGTTGCTTCTTCAATTTTACGCTTTTGTCCTCGGAGCACCGACACGACCGGGGATTCGAAGATCCGTTTGGGCGCGCAATTGAAAAATTTCGCGTTTGAATATCTCAAGATTGTAAACTTGCGCTGTGATTGGCCGACCGATACGCCGTAATCGTAAGCAGCGTTCACATGTGATTGAGATGGCCGTGTCGTAATCATAAACTGTCCTCGACTGTGATTGGCCGATCGTATTCTCCGGGTTATACTTTATAATTGCGTTTCGCATGCTTTAATGCGTGTTTAATGTTATCGCACAATACTTTAATTAAAGAATTTTTCGTACAATACCTATAATTATCATGGCGAAAGAGAAGGCGCGCGTCTTGATCCGTGCGACTTTAAATCGACATTGACCTCCAGACGGCGCTGATATGCGGCTCGTCACGTATTACTGTCACGTGACCGTCGCGGAGAGGGGGGGGGGCGTGTCACGTGGGGGAACAGCTGCGCACGTCAGTACCCCCTCCACCGTCCTTTACTACGCAGCACAACGAAGCGAGAGAGAAGTATTTTTCTCTCCTTCTCTCTCTCTCTCTTTCTCTCTCTGAAGTTTCGAAAAATCGTTTTCTTATGAATAATAAGTGTCATCTACATGTGTGTGTAAAAATATTATAATAATAACTTATACATATTTATAAATTTGTAAAAATAATGCGCGACTCAGCAGTGGTTTTATCGATAGTTGAAAAAAAGGTTTGTTATTTTAGTTTGTAAAATGGACATGTGACGTGTGTATAAAAATGAGTGGTGTTTATTTCATATAAGATTTGTGTGTAAATTGCAAGACTTATATTATTATCTTGCAGTGAAAAATATGACGTACAAATATGAGTAAATTAACGATTGACGAACAATTAATAATTTCAGTTTGTCGTATAGTCAGTTTATTTGTATGTATTATTTTTTGAGAATTAGTATATTTTTTTAACATTGAATTTTTAGTTGAAATATTCTATCTTTCCAATTTAATGACGATTTAATTGTTTTTTATCGCATTTGTCCACATTTTTCACATTATTTTCCAGATTATATGCAATGAGAAATTTAATTTATTTTTATGTATATAGAATACAATATATCAATATTTAGAATTTAAAATTATCGCTGTTACACATATCTAATGTTATTTTGTGGTGAAAACAGTGTCAACATGAAAAATATTCTTGTTCAGTGCTTACATATTTGTTAAAATTCTTGTTAATTCTAGAGTTAAATATATCAACACATACCATGTCGCCTGAGCCTACACATGAACCTATTCAGGAAAATCTGACAATTTCCAATGTACTTCTGGATACAAGAATGGTGAATGATGAAGAGGATAGTGATGACGAGGATATGGGAATGGCAGGATATGTGCCGTTGTCTCAGGTATCTACTGATGCCGATCCTATTTTGGAGAGAGAAGAGGTAATTTATTAAGTAATTTTAACAAGAACTCTTATTGTTTCTAATAAAGACACTTAAAATTAATCAAACATTCGTTTTCTATTTCAGAATGATGAATGGTTATCTGAATTTGACGAATCTACTCAAATATCATCTGCTCATACAAGTGAGCCTCAGCAAGTAAGCTTTTTTTCTTTAATAAAAGCAATTATTATAGAATTATTTAATAAACCGAAACATTTCGAATCAAAATGCTTCTATTTTATTCAATTTTAAAAATTGTTTTACAATCTTCTCAAAGATTCCATATATATTACAGATAATATAACAGATTTGTTTCTTTGTGTTTTTATCTGTCACATTTATGATGATGCATTTAATTAATCGATTGAAGATTAATATTACACTCACATTTTAGAGTTGTTCTTCAGAGATATTGCAAGTCTGGTCATGTTCGCACAATCGTTCTGATATTGACTTAGATGCAACTAAGATCAAAGAAGTTAAATCTGTAATGGCATCCATTACTCTTCCTGAAACTTCAATTCCACAATGGGCGTCTACTATCTCAGAAGAGCAGTGGAAGGAGCAACTTCTCGTTCGCATTAAACAGATGCAAAACAAAGAGCCATAGTTTTTAAGTTGCAGTTATTATCATCGGGTTACGACATAAAAGGTTGAAATTTTTATTATCATTTGCACATAATGAGCAGTATATACATCTGAAATTATTTAAATTATAATTTATTACAGTGTTAAAAGATGTAGAAGTATAATCAAAAATGAATCATATTTTAGCATTTAAATGTAAAATAAACTATTTGATTTTTATATTAATTAAATTAAGAAATTTTAAAGTTTAAGCAATATCTCGTGAAATTATAGGATGTGCAATTGTTATGTAATAGGAAGAAGAAATCAAAATGTATTAGTTATACAAATTATAAAGAATATCACCTTTGCTTTTTTGTTTATGATCTAGTATTTAGAAATAAACTACAAATATGATATATTAATTTGATCAGTATCACTGGATGTGACATTGCTCGAAGTGTCAATGAAACAATATGACATCTTATTTTAATACTAGTATAATGAAATCTGAATTTATTATTAAATCGTTTACATCTCGATGCGCTTAAATGTTTCTTATTAATGTTTTATAGTCCATCATATATGTAATATCCATTGAAGAAGACACAATACGATATTCTATAACTCAAACTCTGCATCAATGGTAGCAGCTTTAATTGGATTGAGTTTCTTTCGCAAAGCAGCAACATCGTCTTCTATTTTTATCAATTTCCGATATTTCTAAAAAGAAATAAGTAAGTTATAAAATTTCGCGAGAACGTCTTACCCTTTTGCGTAACATTACATACTTCTGAGGTAGTTCCGGATGTAACATTCCAGATATAAATCATGTAACCTGGAATGCACAACATCGAGGAGAGACCTGCAAGCCATCCTAACAAGTGGCTCCACCATGGAAATTCGTATGTGAGATATTTCACAGGAACAAACTTGATGATATTAAAGATGAAAACGCCCTATATATACAAAGGGTAATAAAGTAATATGCATATGAATTATCCGAAATCTCACGAGAAATTAAAGACGTCTCACCACACAAATGGCAGGCGTGGTAAATGTCCAGCATATCTTCCACCAGAAGCAAGGATAATAGCCTATCATGTCACGTATACCATTATAAAATCGATCTACTCCAAATGCCCACGACACTGAGATGCATTCAAAGAACATCAGAAATAGCAGACAAAATCCGCTCACAGCATATGTATCTAGGAGTTGAAACACGTACATTCCGCCCTAATAAAAGATTTATTTTAAAAATGCAGAATTAAATAAGATATACAAAATAGAGACATTTTGTAACAATTATTATCATTAAATAGTCCTTACATATACGCACATGTCAAATATTTACTCACTTCCGTAATGCACAGAAGTCCGATTATATAGGAGATTAGGCATACAATCGCGATGAACATTTCCTTCCGTTTTCTGAGTTGTCGCGGCCATTCATCCACGGCAGCGGTGATAAAGCCCTCCATGGTGCAGAACTAGAAATTACGATTTATTTTTAACATTAACATTAATCAATGATAATTTTATGGAATAATGAATATCGATTTTTTAATTCAACGAATTGTACCTGACTGTCCAATCCTATCAGAAGGAGCATGAAGAAGAATAAACTTGACCAAATCGAAGCCCCGGGTAATTGCAATACCGCCGAGGGATAAACTAAGAACGCTAGACCAGGTCCTGATCAAAATGAAGGATGTTAGAAAATTATTATTGCGTTGTATAATACTGAAAGAGAGAAAATAAATATGAATAACTACCAGAAGCAGCTACATCGGCTACAGGTTTTTGTTGCTCGTGGGCCATAAACCAACTACGGAGAATATCACCACTCCACTGAGCAGACTGGTACAAGTATTCACTCCACATACAATGAGAGCATCTCTGCAATACATCAATAAGACTTAGTAGATTTCACAAAAGGGACTTAAATATATTGCATATTTGATTTATGTGACATTTAATAGCGAATATACATAGACACAATAATTAAGCTTGCTGTTTTTCACACGAAGAAAAAAGATGCTTACTTATAAACATTATTGTTGAACTTGTTGTAACTACCTAGAGCTACCAAGGCACCTAAACCGAGAGCATAAGTGAAGAATATTTGCGTCACTGCGTCTATCCATACCTATATGCGGGATTATCATAAATATTCTGCTCCAAAAAAGCTATATATGTTAATGAGAAATTAAAAGTATTACCTCGGGATCACCGAGCTTCGAGAGATTCGGTGTAGCATAATATTTTAAACCTTCCACAGCACCAGGAAGAGTCAGGCCTCTCATGAGCAGCACTGCCAGCAGTGCATACGGGAAGAGCGCCGTGAAATAGACAACCTATATTACATCGTGTATATAATTCACATACTTTTACATTCAACGTGCAAGGATTTGATTCTACGAGAGGCCGCTTTACCTTGCCGGTCCATTTGACGCCTTTCCAGATGCAAAAATAGCACATTATCCATACGACCGCAAGCGTACCAGCTAATTCCCATCTTATTCCACCCACGTCTTCAATACCAGTTGAAATCTGCAGGGTCCGTCTCCTTTTCGTGAAAGAAAAACATATATCGTAATTAATTAATTAAAACAAAAAAAAAGATTGTAACTTACTCCCAAAATTCCTTGACCGGGTCTTTCAGCAGTTCGTGACTCAAATTCCCGAACGACGTAGAGCATATGAGGTCGTTCGGCCAATATTCGTTCTGCCAGCATGTAACATTCAGACGTTCATCGGGCGTGATGCAGTAGCGCGTATTCCACGAGTTGTCACACGTTCTCCAGGGTACGTCTGCACAAAATTTATATTAGATGTAATAATTAGACTTTTTAATCTAACTTTTTAATCGTTTAAATAATAAAATTGATTTCAGGTAGAAATATCGGAAAATCGAAATACTTTGAATATGGTATGCTCACCAGCTCGTAAAGAGACCAAGAAGTAGAAAAGTGCCCAAGCGAGGATGATGATGTAGTATATATTGGTCCAGCAGGAAAGTACGCAGGTCGCATATCCGATGCCTGTAAAGAGATCAACATCGTTATCCGTTTCTGTATTCTGGAAAGTATATTTTAACGCCGAGACACTTAAGATCCTGAAAGCGTTCTCCAGAATTACCTTTAAAGATCGGTGCTATCTTGAAGACACCTAGACCGCCTATTGTCAACATTTGTCCTAAGGATAATTCCATCAGGAACATGGGTATACCGGCCAATGCGAGTGCGATGAAGTAGGGCACCATGAAAGCACCGCCGCCATTCTTGTAGCAGAGGTAAGGAAATCGCCATAGGTTTCCCAAACCTATGGCTAATCCCACGACCGACAAAATAAATTCGATCTTTAAAAGAGAAAGTTTAACGATTAGATCCAGATTTTGGTCGAGTATCATATTTCCGTTGCTCGATATATACATATGTCTCACCTTACTGCTCCAGTTTCCTCGGTCCGGTAGATCGTGGAGATGACTTCTGATCATCATGATGGAGGATTGTCGCAGGCATTGTATGGCCTCAAATCGGAAATCCGCATCTTTTTCGCCATTGGAGAGATCTCTGTCGCTGGGTTCGACGAAAAGAGCCTTCAATTCTTGCACGGGGTTCACTGAACTCGTCGCCGGTTTATGCGGCAGAGGACTGGTGGATCTGTCTACCTTGGGCCGGTCCGACCGACCGGTCGATCCTTTCGAAGGCATTATTTATTGCAGCGACGAAATCGCGGGATGAGATCGGGTTTGAAGGGTTCACCTCATCCTCCTAACCGATCGGTTGCGAGTGAAGACCAGCTCGTCAATATGTACTACACGTTTCTTCTGTTTGATTGAAATAATAGAATATATTTATAGTAGAAGTTGAATCAACAGTAAGATGGAAGAGAACATAACAATAGCGAATGAATGAGACTGATTGATAATTATTCTCTTACTTAGTCTAATTAGGAAACTTCTAACGAGATCTTTTCTATTCTAGTTACGTCAGCTTTAATAAACAACCCTTAAAAACGACCGGATGTACTGCGAGGTTCGAGAAGAGTATACAGGAAATGATGATAAGGCCCTAATATAAGTAATAGATAATATTTACGGGATCTCTTGTAATATTCATCGTGGCCATTGTCGTCATCGCGCGTACACGAGCGCGAGGTGCGCGTACAAGGTATTACATATAGTAGACAAGGGTCTTGATGATGACGAACGATGAATAACGAGCCACTTCCGGGAATCATAGCGTTCACCGAATGCGTTCTCATCGTCACAACCTTGTCCTATTTTAATATTTAACTCATGGTGTTCTGTGCACGTCGCGGTATGTTTCATATATTCGTCTTATATTCCGCGACAACGGAGAAAGACCCATTTTTTATCCAATAATGAGAATATATTACATGTATTAAACACGATTGCTATTAAACTTGAGTATCAAATGAAACTTTTCAGATCAATTAGCAATTAAATATGAACAATATAACACGAGAGACAAAAAATCTTATTTTTACTTAATTAATTTTTCCCACACACACTCACACACACACATATATATAGACCTTTAAAGAAGCAATGATAGATATACGATCAATGACCGAGGGAACGATCAAAGTGTTCATTTCGCATAGAATTTTCGCAAGCGATACATACGCAGTAATTGCGCGATCCAATAATATGCGTTTTTCTTGTAAATATCCTTTCTTTTCCACTTCTCGGTATTCTCGCACTGATCCTTATTCCTGTGTCCTCGACATCCTGTCTAATATAAGTTTCTTCCGCGATCCTCACAGTGCAGGATCACTTCCGGGATCTTTAGTGGGAGATGCAGATGAATTTCCGAAGAAGGGCGAGATCACCCTTTTTTGCAAACCGCTCAGCCGAGCGCGACTCTTCGAAGAAGGGCTCGCGCGAATGCAGAGATTTCTGCCGTACCCCGTCACTATCTACCCCACAATGACACTCGGTCCCCCTCGAGTAGGAACGCACCTATCTTTCCATTCAACAAATTAATGTCATAGTGTGTCACTATATTTAGGATCTCTCGTGTGCTCGGAGATAGAGATCGGCCGATCTCTGTATGCGCGAATCGCGCCGCCTGATCGCGAGATATATATTTTCCCTTTTTTATTATCATTATTATATTATTGTTGCATGAATCCTTCGATGCATATTATATATAATTTCATTGTCATCTTCTGAGAAAAATAATATAAGACGTTTTAAATACAGGATTGAGCCAGTCATCAGGTTGCAAGGCGACGAGATAAAATCGCGTCTCGATATTTTGAAAAATTCCTGAAACGCAATAAAAATTCATATTAGTAAATTATTGATTTTATTTGTATTTTTATGTATTTTCATATAAAATACATAAAAATATAAGGCTCAAATTAATATATAATTACTTTATTTATTAATTTATTTATTAAACAAAAATTTTACTCAAAATTGATATAACATTAATGTACCTTATTTTTTATATATATAATATATATATTTAATAATTTAAAAATTTGAAAAAAACATCTTTTTGTTCGTCTTAAAAAAATTATCTGCTTTTATCAGAAAAAAATTTTTATCAAGCCTCATCTAGAGTATATATTTCAAATCGCATACCTATATATAATTTTACTTACTTTGAAAAGTACATCTATACTTTTTCTTTCTAAATAACTGGATACATAAAAAGTTATATATTTTTTTCTTTCTCTTCTTCAAAATTTCCATTTTTATAATAATGTTTATGTGTGTTTCCTCTGTTCTTTTCTCATGCATTTTTTTTTGTTTTCATATTTCTTGGTTCTTGTTGAATTTCCAACGAAACCTACGAGAAAAAAACAGTTAGAAACATAGATATATAATACAATTTATAATATTATAAAATAATTCTTTCCTTTCAAATCTTTTCTATTTAAAATCATGATATTGAATATAATTAATTATCTCTTATATGTTATGACTCTAACCTTACGATGATCTAACCTAACCTAACCTAACCTGCGAGAATAATTCTTACGAATACGCGCGGCAATTGGATTTTTAGTCTTGTCGTAAATTGCATTAATATTTTCGAAATTATGGCTGAAACTGATAATACTGATAACACTATGAGAGAGCAGGAAACATTGTTACGATGTTTCGTTTGCGACATCAAAATTCAGGGCCGCTTTTATAACTTGCCTCATTGCAGGACGCAATATTCAAAGACCAAGTTAATCGAGAAACTTGGGGAACTGGTGGGCGAGAGGTAAGAGATCAATTATTTATTTAACAATCTACATGATTGTTCTGCAGAAGAATATCTGAGTATTGCAAAAGAATTTATTTATTTATTTTTTTTCATTTATATCATATATATATATATATATATATATATATATATATATATATACATCTAATATATAAGTGTATATATATATTTTATATATATATATATTTTTTTATTTATATATATATTTTGCAGATATGTAGTTGTAATATCAGAGGATGATGTCATCTGTCGCAGTTGTGCTGTTCTCCTTAATACTTTTGACAGGCTGGAAACGGAAATATATCCCATTCGCGATAAAGTTTTGCAATGTTTAGAACAAAAATATTCTCTGGAAGAGGGTGAGCTCCGAGCTACTGATGTCTGGCCAAAACAGTTTCAGCCACCACAGATCACAAAATCCAATGCGAAAGAGAATACCGATAAGAAGAAGATTGAAATGGAAACAGAAGTGAGAAGGAACAATATAGATTCAGAAGACAATAGGATACAAAAAAACATTAACTCATGGTTACAATGCAACAAATGCAAATATACCACACCTTTGAAGTCTTTCATGATGTATCATTTGAAACATCACGTTAAACAGAAAACATTTTGTGATAAATGTGGAACATGTATTTTTGAGAATCAGCAAACAAGGCATAGTTGTACCAGGACAATCGAATCAGAAAACAAGGAAAATGAAAAAGGAGGTATGAAGAAAAAATTGTATTTATTAGGGAATTACTTTCCCTAATTATTATAATGCTATTGATTTATATTAGATAATTCCAGTACTATTGCTAGCAATAACTCGATGAAAATATTACTTTTAGAAAAAACATTGCAATCAACTTTGCCACTTGCTCAAATTACACCACTGCCGCTGATAGGTATATCAAGTGATCATTTGTATATTTCCAGTATGCTACCAACAAGTAATTACCACTTATAATTGAATGATATCAATTATTGTTAATAAATTTGTTAACGTTTGTTTAAAGCAAAATATTTTTTGTTTTAGATAATCCAACATGTTCCAAGCAGCCAATATCCATTTTGCAACCAGTAAATATGATTAATATTGATATGACAAAAAGTTCAGAATCAAATTCTGTACAAGAGATGGAAATAAAAACCAAAAGAGAAGAGACAAAATCAATATTTGCTTTTACAAAGGATGGAACCATGAAACTAGTGAAAGTACCATGTTCAAAAGAGACGTAAACATGACATTTCATTAATTGCTAACTATGGATATTTAAGCTCTTGTCAATTTCTTATATTTTTATCGTTACGTTTCATTGTGCAATTGTGAATGTGTACCAAAAAGTATTATATAAAAAAATTATTAAAATGTTCTAAATATTATATGTAAAACTTTAGTATTAATATGAAATGTTTATTGTGGTCATACACGCATTTCTCTATTTTTTTCTTTTATAGTATAATATTGTCATTATTTTATTACCTTCCATAGTTTTTATTACAGATATGTAGAGCTTTCCATCATCAATAATAAAATAATTATTTAGCATAAGATTTTTTCATGTTCTTGATGCAATCAAAACAGCTGGTAATGTCACGTCTGTTTTTATCGACTCAGAACTCTCATCTAGTGCATTTAAAGTGCAAGTGTTGATACCACTGCTACACAACAAGTTTTGAACGCATGATGGTTATAAACGGAGCAACCGTGCAATGCCGTGCATACATACATTAATCAGTTGATTTTCAAAGAACTATTTATACAAGTGCCATGAATATTGAAGAATTAAAGTGTGATATACTGGATGTTCTCGAGAATGATGACTATACTATCCTGGAGAAATTAATATCATCTTGTCGGGAGTTTCAAGCATGCGTCACTGCCAAAATTGAAAAGAGACTCCTTTATGAAGAAGGTACTGTCACTTTCGTATATTATTGCAAATTCTAATAATCAAAGATCGATGAACAACTAATATTATGTTTATATAATAATGTTTGTAAATTTAAATCATGTATATAAATAGAAAATCTTTTGCTTTTACATTATATAGATTGCGCTAACAAGAAGTCTGTCAATGCTACAAAGATATCAGAGTTGCAACAGAAGATTGATACAGTAATATGTAACATAAACACTACCACATTGCAACAGGAAGTAATAGACAAGAAGATTTCTAATGTGATAAAATTGGAAGAGAATTTAAAGAATGAATTGGAAGAAACAAAAAAACAAAAAGATGCTTTAGCGACAGAGATAATAAATTTAGAGCTAGGTGAGTGCATCTTGAAGTTTATAAATTCAACATTGTATGGTTTATCATCTTGAAAATCTATTCATATTTTTGCTTTTCTATATTTTCAGAAATAGAAGGCAGGAAGAAAGGAAAAGTTTCACAGTGGGAAGCCATTAAACGCGCATTTCAGATTTACAAAATAAACTTAGACATACATATAAGTCTTCAAGAGGACAAGGATTGTCAACATATAAAGGTCACCTTTTTACACACAACAAAGAAACAAAAGATAAATACTTTGTTCAATTATTATACAATGATAATCGCTGGCTAGGTACGTAATATTTTAAATATAATAAATTTGAATGAGACAGATGTAATCTGTTAATAATACTGATAGTTATTTGTATAATATTTTTAGTTGAATGTATTGAACCGAAATTAAAGAAGGAATATGTCAATGAGCTAAGCATTGTGGAAGACTCTTCTGGACAATTTAAAGTATCAGATATTACTTTGTTCTTGTACGAATTACGAAGTATATTTCTAAAATATTTCATCAAAACTGGAAAAATAATGTAACAGTTAACAATTATTAAATATGAAAAGTTATAGACATAGTGTAGTTTTTATATAAAAGAATATTTTATATGTATTATAATATCTTTAAATATTTTTATTCCTCTTTTAATGGAGACTCTTGTTATTAAAAGTTTAGATGTAAGTTTAAATATTTATTCAATTATACTGATATATTTTTGCAGCATGACATTGATCTCTTTTTTTTCATTTTCTTTTCATCAATTTTCATTAAACTTGTTACAAGATTTTTTGTGATGTCTCTGAGACTTAAGCAAAAGATAAGATACTGGAGAAAGAGAAAAGTGCAAATCACAATGCGGATAAATAACTTAAGACTCTAAAATTACATAAACATATCTCTACTTTGTCTTTTTATAAGTATATATATATATATATATATATATATATATATATATATATATGTACATATGCATATGTATAAATGGTACCTACATACATATAGTACTGCATTGTTTCGCAGCCATCGCGAGAAATTCATTTTATTTATAAATCTTTACTTACAACTCTTAAATTTTTAAATATAATAATTTACTACATTTTTAATCACGTTACATGATATTTTATATGTGCAAATACTGCTGCATAATTGGGATAAAAGTAACGCAAACATTTGCTTTTTGTAATATATCAATTATTTCGCGATTCTCGCGATACCTCTCTAATGCAAGTCTTTTATTGAAATATACAAAATAACAGATAAATTATTTTGATTCTGAGTTTTAATTAGTTAAACTACCAATCGCGCTATTGGTTGCCTTCTGCGTTGTATATATGTTAAAAGAATCTAGTATAAGAATTACTTTCATTTAGATTTATAGTTAATAGATTTAATGTTTGGATCTCAATTCGAAATTACGGCTTTTACGTGATACATTTTTAAATAAATTTTTTGAATTTTGGCATGATTTGTGATGCTGCTTTTTTTAAATTAATTATTAATGATACAATCCAAATTTTTAAATTATTCGATTTACGATTAATACATTTAATTATTACATTGTTGATTCCAGCGGAAAATGTCTTTCGTGCAGCATTTTTCGCAAATTTTTATACGAACGAATATTACATAAATATATATGCAATATCTATTTCAATTTTATATACGCGCGCATGTAAAATAACCGAACATTATAGATATACCACGGATAAACGGGCTGATACATTATGTATGCGTGGAGGCACGCTGATAACAATTCGTCCCTATTGGCACGAGTTAACGAAGGAGTCAATTGATCGCCCACTGCCAATCTGCTCATGCCGGTGGCACAAGTTAACAGATTTCATTTGCTCCATTGACCCGCCGAGAATTCATACGCATACACATGACCATCGAGGAATTTGATTGAAGACCGAAGTCTTCTGTGAATTATTACGTTGTAGAAGCTACGACCGTATTCCTATACTCGGATCATCGTTCCGTTACGTGATATGTCGAAAGCCTAAACCTAAATCTAATGTTAGAAAGCGATGATTAGCGAGACACGTTCGGATATTTCGCGCGTTGAGATATTCTTTTTTGTGAAATATGACAATGTTTAGCCTTATGATTTGTAACTACGTTGTACCAAACGTGTGAATTTGTCGAAAAAATGTCTTACGTTCTAAAAGGAAAAAAAACGCTTTGACGACAAGCGGATGTGAGAACGTATCGCGAATTGATGCAAAACTGAGTTTTGCAAATGAACTGACGCTTCGTCCGGATATGAATACGTTATTGGCTATTACCTAAATTATTTCGTATTCAACATGACAAAAAGGAATGCTAAATTAAAGAACGGCTTATTGCTATACGCGAACGAGACTTTCCGCTGTTACAGACTATTTACAATACAAGAGTCTCTGAACGGAAGAGTAATGATTGCTTTGTACGCGAATGATTCCGTTGTATTTTTTTTATTTTTCCGAATTATTTTAAGATTATATTTCGATATTATGGACAAACATGATCCTCACAGTATATCGCCTGAATATCCAATGGATATTTTTGGACGTTCAAAATTGTTCTAAGCGTATGGGAGCTGTATAGATCCATCTTGGGATTGATGATGACTAAAAAAATTACGTTTCCTTCGACGATTGTACCAAAAATCGTCGATCACAAAGTTGCTTCTCCATCTACACACACGCATATATGCAGATAGATATACAAACACACCGCGCCCTCAAAGTCGTAGAGAAAACGAAAGTTACCGAGAGCGCTCGTCGAATCTGTAATGTTACACACTAATGGACGTGTATATTCGTTTTCGACGATCCAACTCCGCTCGTGTACTTTAGTCGTCTTTCTCGCCTTCTTCGTCCTTCCCCATCCAACGAACACAACAAATTGTCGCGCGATTTTCTCTGATATTTTCACCAACCCCTTCTCCTTCATCCTATCATCCCCTTTCTCTTTCTTTCTCTCGCTCGCTCTCTCTCTCTTTCTCACCATGCTGGATATGGATGTTCGCGCGAGTACTATTTTCGTATAGCCACCATGCACCATGCGGCGATGCAGCCTTCTTATTCGAGAGTGGCGGCAAAGGATACGTTGGCGCCGGAGGCAACAGCCGCGGCGACCCGCAACAACGTCGACGGCAGCGGTGCTGGGGGCAGCGCCGACGTTATCTCCACCGTTGTCCGGGGTGCCAGCGTCGTCGTGGTTGGGCAATTGCTACCGACCCCGTAGACTTTGGCGTGATTCACCTCGAGCGCGACGGTCAGGTCGGCCAGACCGGCGTCGCACATCACAGGATTATCTGCGAACAACAAAGTGCATATATAATCAGAGAAAGAGAGAGAATAAGGGCTTGTGACGCACGATGTAGTGGAATAATAAGATATGAGAAATAAGAAACTTGTCTCCTGCGATTTGATTTTTCTCATTCCTTGTATCTCACTCTTGTATCTCGCGTCGCCTTCCCCTAAATTTAAGAGTTATATTATTGTGATCATAAATTAACGTAATATGAAAAAAATTATCTCTTAAAGGCGCGTGATTACTGACGATCTGGCGCCAGCTGTGATAACAAAAATTAGCCTAGCCGTAATATTATTTATTAACAGAGAGAAGGGAAAGAGAGAGTATGTGATTGTCCGAAACATAAACCATAATGATTTTTACCAATTTTTACCATCGCGTATTTCCATAATTTTCTCAATGCAAACCTGGGAGAAGGAGAGAGTGTTCAATGGAAACTGAGACCAGGCTAGAGATAATTGGGATTGGGCACGATAGCATGGCCGCAAAGAGAAACGAGATATTAACAATAACAACTTAACGCAAGCAAGCAGACGCCGGTATACAATAAATAATTCGAGATGGCGCCGCAGCGGGGGTTATCGCGAGAAATGTAATCGTTGTAACAAATAATATACGCCTCGGGAGCCGAACGGAGCCAGGCCATTATCAACGAGCAATTTATTTTCTGTTCACCCGGCCACTCTCTTCTCGTGTCCCTTCTTCTCTTTCTCCTTCCTCACTCTCCTTTTATTTGCTTTTGTTTGTTCATGCCCGATCTTACAAGAGATATTTATTAATTACAGTACCGCATGCATCGCACATTGTGTTCTGTTTTCTCCGATTAAGGTCTAATAATCTAATTAAAAACTTAATTGTACTATTAACATATATTTTAGAGCAGGCAAAATTCATCAAAAAGAGAAACAAAAGTATATAATATTGTTTTTTAGCGGAAAAATGAATTAAAATTGTTTTTGATAGAATTTATGATAAATCTTTAGATTATATATATGTTGTGAATTGAATGAATCTAAAAATGAGAGTGGCTATTCGTTTGAGACGTTAGAATCTGCTACGACACCACTAATAGCTCTCTCACTGAGCGGAGATTCTTCTATAGAAATTATATTTATTACAGTTAACTTGATTACTATTCGTCTGTGACAAATCTGTCGTATAGATATATGGATACACATCACACTGCATATACATCAACGCTTTTATCATCAAAATTAAATCTGCCAACTGCTATCAATTCTGATTACAAAATTAAATATTTTGAAAAGAAACAAGAGCAACTTTTTTTTAAATGAAGTAAGAAATTTTTCAATACAAACGTGCGATTTGTAAAGTTTACCTTTAACATTCTCTACTATTATATAACGTTGCCATAAATAATCTGTTACGCCCATGAATATAGGGATACGTGCAAAAGCGTTAAATATGATACTGAGAGGCGGCGGACACTTCGAGAGAGAGACAGGGTTTAATATAAACTCACCTTGAAGGTATATACGTAGCACATCGGGGACTCCGTGAATCGTGCATCGCGTATTAGCGACTAGCTCCGGCATGAGAATACGTATTAGATTCTTGCTGACGTCGGCCCAACAGAGCACTGGAAAACCGCGAAAGTCTCGGCCGGACAGGGTCATCAGACGGTTGTGCGACGCATTCAATTCTTCCAAGAACGGTAGCCACGCCTAAACAACAATTATGTCAATACTTCGTATATTATATCGAATACATATATCGGAAGAAGAAGAAATAAGCAAGAGAGGCGAGAGAAAAGAAGAGGGACAGAAAAGAATTCGTTATCGCCGTTTTTGTTTACCTCCGATATATCTTCTAGAGTCGTGAACTGATTGTGCGAGATATCGAGCACGCGGAGATTATCGAGACCGCGAAAGACGCCTCTCCCAATGTCGGGACCCAACGCGTTGTGACTGAGATTGAGCCTCTGCAGCTCCTTCATGCCCAGGAACAGGGAGTCGTCCAGACTGTACAGCGCGTTATGCTGAAGACGCAAATCCTGGATGTTGCCACCTGCGATATCATCACCTTCTTCTTCCACTAGATTCTATAAACATCATTAATCTTTAATCAAGAAAGCTTGAGCTTTTCTTATTGTGTTAGATCGAACAGCGTTGATGACAAGGATATTTTATACGATGACGTTGACGTTGACGAGTACCTACCTCGAAGGACGGTCTTCCTCTGCGCAATCTACCAATCCGATTATTCGATAGATCGAGCAACCTGAGCTCGCGCAAACCGCGCAAGGAAGCCAGGGAGAACTCGGAAAGCTCGTTGTGCGTCAAATTCAGGCATTTCAATGACCTAAGGGGATACAGGACACTTCCGTTTCCGTCGCCGTCCGCACCACCCAAAGATTTGAGAGAATTGTGGCCGAGCTCGAGATCCTCCAGCATCTCGGCCTCGATAAAATCGTCCGCGTTCAGCTAAAGCACACAAGTCAAAGCGTGTCTATTCAGTCTCTATTATCCAAAGTGTAATTTCGCGTAATTAATTAATTCGTTCGCGACTCGAATGCCGCGCACGATCTGACGCGCGACACACAATTGAAGGAAAAAAAAACTGCTGTCCGTTTGTTCGCGTTCGTTTCGTCCGGTGATGGCTTGAAATCTTTCCACCAGGCGGAAGACAGCAATAATTACGTTACGTACGCGTAATTGACTCAATGTACAGCGCGAACGAACGCCTCGGTTTCTCCGTCGCGTCGTGCGCGTTAAAACGTAATATCGAGGGCACATGGACTCCAAATGCGCTTCACAATTCCGCAGATTTACTCATCTTTTTTTCTAGCAGCCTTCTCTTTTTATAAAAAAATTGATTTTTAAATCATTTTTTTATAGAAATATTATTTAAATATTTGCATTACAAATATTCTAAAACGCTTGTTCGGGTCTTATAATCGGATTATAATTCAAGACATAAATGTATGGGCCAACTACCTCTTGCAACTCGTTATACGAGAGCTCTAGGAACTTCAAGCGCCTAGCCTTCTGCAGAGTACCGTCGAGATTGCGAATCTTATTGTGCTGGAGGAAGAGAGTCTCTAGACGGTGGAGATATCGGAATTCGGCCGGCAAATGAGTCAGTCTGTTATCCACGGCGTAAAGCATCTTGAGATTGTGGCCGGACGACGGTAGCTCACCATCAAGTGACGTGAGCTCGTTAGAATTAATGAGCAACCACTCGAGTTGATTTAGATCCCTGCGTAGCAAACAAATGGGACACATATGGCTAAATCGCACAAGGAATCCTGTTTCACGCGCTCATCAAGTATTCTTGACTATCGACTTTTAAAGGTCGTCGCAGATCGATAGTCCACGCACGGGATTTCCCTTCATCAGCAATTCGCATTCGCAGTTTCGATCATAAATAAAATGAATTAGATAAGAGACTATAAACGATAGTAAACAGGGTAGACAAGATGTTGCGACGCAAACGCGAGTCTCAAAGATCGTAAATGAATGGAAATTATGTTTTAACTGTGCTACGGTCCATTAATTTTTTATCATTCTTCATGGCGTTAGAGATTGAAATTTCTGCACGGTTCCTCTTCTCTACGAAAAAACAGCACTATCGTACCTAAGAGTATGATTCAGACTGTTCAGATGATTTCTGCCGACGTGCAAGTGTTTGACCAGAGGCGGCAGCGAACCCGGGGTCATCTCGGAAATCGCGTTTCCGGCCATGGCCAAGTGCTGAAGCATCGGATTATACTAAAACAGAAAGAAAATAACGTAAAATTGCAACATTTATCAAATAAATTTAGTTTCTTCTTTCTTCTTATCCAATCTTACCATTTTTTTCCTTTCTTATCTAACAATATTTTATTCGTCATTCTAATAACACGTGAGAGTTGATTTCATCCCAAAATTCTCTTTCCAACAATCTTCTTCGAAAACTTTAACCTGTCAACTTTTCACGTGCGTCGACGAGTTTGTGACTTCTATCAGTTCTTTTTTTTCTCTCACGCGCGTGAGATTATACGAATATGTAACACTCACCTTGAAGTCATCCGAATCGATACGGGTTATCCGATTCCTGCTGAGATCCAGAGTCCTCAGCAACGAGAGATGCGACAGGATTTGCCTCGGTATCGACGGTACTTCGTTGTCCGCGAGACTCAAGTATTGCGTCCGACCCAAACCGGCGAAAACATCGTCGTCCACGACCCTGCAAATCGCGATGTCACACACGTGTTCCATGACTTTAAGGAAACGACACGAGTCGTTATACAATAACAAGAAACGCGCTCGCGCTTTCTTTCAAAGATTCCTTTCAAATGACATCAAGTAGTAATATTAAATATTTTTTTCTTTATATACTCTACATTCTACACCGCATCATCATCTGCCTATATAATAATATATAGATCGGAGCAAGTCTAATGGGAATCCTAAAAAAGTGGCGACGCGCCAAACGTTATCGCATTCGATTATACACTTAGTATCGGCTTATACACTACGACGACTTGTTATTTAATTATTCCACAACGATAAACATGCACTGCTCTTGATAACTCGCGAAGAGGTCAGGAGGCGATTAAGACTTCATTCTTACGTCCCGTTCCTCCTCACGCTGTCTCGCGAGGATACTTGGTGTTTCTAAAGAGAGACAGAAACAGTCTTCAAGGACTATCTTCGTTCTTCATCTCGTCGGGACAATCAAAGAAGACCGGTGACTTCTTCGTGCCGTAAAAAGGATGACGCGGTCAATGCGTTATTTCGAAGAAAAATAATGCAAAAATTTGAAATAAAAAATTTGCCCCTCGGATAAGAACGAATTCGCTGAAATGTCAAATTCACTAATCTGCGTTGACAAAACCATTATGTAACAATATCAACCATGATATATCCTCCGCTTCCGCTATGTACGCTACAATGTTCAACGTCATCGTGTCACGAGACGTGGATTGCAAAATTTCGCTGGCAGTCCGCCTCTTATCACGCGTTACTTAATAATGCCAGATGAAACAAAAAAAAAGAAATTTCTTACGAGAGATACAATTATATCCGAAATTCTCTATATATAAAATCAATTAAATATGATAAAACGAGTTAACGAGATTTAATTCCGATGATGAACGATAGATTTCAGAGATGACTTACAATCGATTTTCCAGCGAATAAAGTTCCAAAGAAGGTTTAAGCATCGGTTCGAAATAATACGAAACGCCTTCTCGCAAATGCTTGTTGTAAGAATTAAGATCGCTTCTTTGTTATACATACACAAATGTCTCCATTCAATGTCCGCAATAGCAGACGATGACCTTTTGCAAAGATACTGACCGGCCGTATCGTAAGTGTGTGGCACACTTACAGACGGAGAGTACGAGAATGACAGACGTGTAAGACTGCAGGGCTCTGACATTTCGCTGTCGTTTGCGATTGACTCTGTTTTCTACTGTGTCGGCATTTTTCAATCTCTCTGATTCCGCAAAATTACTATAGAAAAATCTGTTTAGTAATTAATTCCATCAAACATTTCTTTCTTATTGTATCCCATATGCAACATGCATAGGTTTTCAAAAGAAATTTCAAAGATGTTTTTAGGCGATATCTTTGAAATAGCTTCTCAACATCTTTTGTATATGCATGCTTTAAGGCAAACGCCTTAATTCTTAACGTTAAAAAAAATAGGAATAACATGACATGACGAAAGGACGTTGATGAAGGAGATAAGCTGCTTACAATTAGTTAATGTTTTGACGAATAGATGATCGCAACTATCGTTATCTCTACGCGCGCGCAAGTGTGTACGTCGTGCGCTGTAGTAACCGTGACTGATAAGCAGTATCGGTTATCGCGCCCCCACGATTCTCTTCGCGTTTTGATCCATCGACGACGTCTTCTAAACACACTCTTGAACAGTCTTACCGTTCAGAAATCGCGTTGCGCGAGTAAAAATCCCAAAGACAACGGATATGATGATTTCGTCACGCGATATCAATGACGCGCAACAATATTGCACTCACCCCAGATGATCGTGATTCAGCTCGAGTCGGGTGATGGACATATGCAGCTCCTTGAAGTCGTGACGCGATATGTCGTGCAGATTCGAATGCGCGACCCGCAGGGTGATTTGTTGCTCGGGCTCGAATTTGCCGCCCAGCGCCCCGGCCAGCTCAGCGAACGACTTCATCTTCTCGCACATGACTTCCATACGTTCCCCGACATGGTGACCGCCGCCCCCGGCATTGTTATTAACGCCCGCGTTGATGGTACCACCGGTGGACGCGGTCACCGCCGAGGTCTGCGCCTGGTTGATAACGGAACCGGAAAACTCCTGTCGGCAGGTGCACGGGTTGATCTGGAGGCGTAAAGCGCAATCAAAACTCGCGCTAGCCACGAGCCCCAACAACGTGAAGATCGTGCCCGACATGCTGCCGGTTAATTACAACGGTATAATTGCAGGACGGAAAGTGGCGATAAGGATATACTGTAACAGTGACGAAATTCGCGAAACGTGGTGACCGCGCGCACCACCTCTACGCGATCACTTTCTGCAAGAGAGAAACCTCCTCCACGTCACTCGATACTACTCGTACACTGTGTACAGGTTTTTTGCGACAGTAATCGTTAACGATTGTTTTTCGTTAAGAAACGCGAACGTTAATACAATCTCGCATAGCGCGGAAAATTGAACACTGCCACACCGCCGATCACTGATCAACACTGAAGGCAGGAGGAACCGACAAAGTCGCAGTAGCAGCAGCAGCAGCAGCAGCAAATGACAACCACGTGTTATCTGCGCTGTCGCTGGATCCACACCATCCTCCTGGGAATACAAGTTCACCGCGCCTCCCTCTTTCTCTCTTCTACGTTGCCTCCGCGGGGACCGGCCGGGAAAAGGAAGCTTGTCGTCGTCACCGATGGACCTTCCTCCTGACGCCACGGACGCGGCAACGGCAGCATTAAGCCGCGGCGCGCCGCGCGAGACTTACTTATAGTCGTCGCGTCGGCACCCACCGTGGCGCCGCGCGAGGGTCTCCCTCTGGAGAGCTCTTCTTCGCTCTTCTTACTATTCCCTCCGTCGTACGTTACGCACGTACGTACATCGACAAGCTCATCTTCTTTTTCTACCGGCCGCTTGCGAATGAGCCAGCAAGCCCGGCCCGGCCTGGCCCGGCTCGGCTCTGCTCTGCTCTCCCCCTGCGCTCTCGCTTGCGCTACACCTCCCCTGGTGTACTACGCGTATTCTTGTTCCTCCTTCCCCTGTTGTTGTTCGCCTCGTTGCTCCCTGTCGTGTTTCTCTCCCTTGTCGTGTCCCACGGCACGTTCCTGGCTCTCCCTCGTCGCGCGGCTACCGCGTTTACTTTAAATCCAGTCCCCGTTAGATGCGCGAGGCAACTTCTGTCTATTGTTACATTTGTCCCATTAGTCCAGAAGTTTTGCTACGGAGAAGGGATATCTCTCGTTTTCACTCGTGAACCATGACGTAGATGCGAAGAAGTTTTCGTCGGCTCGACTCCGCATCGACGGAGAGGATTCATCAACCTCTCCTCCCTCCCGTCGTCTCTATCGCGTTGCACACACGCTGCAGGCGTGTGTTTGCAGAACCGATAAACGGAATGATTGCTCGTAACTTTTGACCTTTGCTTAACTGCTTTGCACGGTGCACGACATGAAAGAAAATATTATAGATAGATCATTCTATCGTGCTTTCTCTCTCTTCTTTTCGCTTTTTCACTTGCTCTCTCCGTCGCAAAAGACAAATCCGTCACAGACTGGTTTAAGTATATCCTGCACACAGAAATTAAGATTAGAATTATTTCCAATGTTAAACCGAAGTATTTCATTCAAAGCGAAAGAGAATCAAGTCGACGAGATCTATAGCGGATCCTACACAAATTCGTGCAGATTTAGAAACTCTAATCCTCTTATTTATTTATCACAAATTTAAAAAACCTCATTCTCTTTGAGAAATTACAGACTTGTTCTACTTTTGCTTTGAATTCCTTTAAATTATCTTTTACGGTTCACGCAAAAAAATTAATAATAAAATTAAATATCGAAAAGCTATCAACTGGAACTTTAAATATACATTTAAGTATAATCGACGATTTTATTTTCTCATTATATTTGCGTGTCGAACAGCCGGTAGATCGCGTGAATCGACTTTCCCAAACACAAGAGAAAGACACGCAAAATCTGAAATGTCGAGTCGATGAAATCGACGAAGAAACTGACTATTGTCGTCATCTCGTTGGATTTAGGCTCAACCGATTCATCATTTACAATGATTATTACTTAGGGACGGGATCGAGGAGATTTCGACCGCGAATGTCCTGCTTTCTACGCTTGCAAAAATAGATGCCAATGCAAAGCGAATGCATTTCAACGAGTAATTTATAATAACGAGTACTTCAGGTAGCCCGGTACCTTTTGTCGCGACACCTTTCTTTCGTTCTCTTTTCTGATTTCGTGGTAACCTGAAATCGGTGCGTAATCTCATGATAAATTCTCGATATCGCATCACAAAAAAATTTATCTCGCTTCGGTCAGAGATCCGTTTTAATCGCCACAAATAAGTATAGAAATGATTTTGAAATGCAGGACTCGAGATAATGATCGGTCGAAATTACAACGGGGCTTTTTATATGGGGAATGTAAAGGGTCAGGAGAGAAAAAGACGTTTCGCTTTTTCGCTCGTTACAAATTGGAGAAGATAAATCTTAGCTTTGCATTGGTTAATCGTCGTAAGAAGAGTCAATCTTGAGAGTACGCGTGTCCGTGGCGAGAGATCGTAAGTGTTGTATCAAGGGTTTCTCTGTTCATCGTAAAATAATATCGATTACTTAATGAGCTCGCCGATGCGGCGGCAGCGGCCGCTTCACGGGTCGCTTGTCATCCGAGTAAACGCCTCTATCTATATAACGTGGCTGTTTACGCGCATGATTTACGTACCCATTTATATGCCGTAACTCGCCTGTGAGGTATGCCATACAAATTCTTGAGCTTGGCGCCACCTCGACTCGCCTTATATCCTCTTTAAGCTATTCCACATTGACTCCCATTGCATATCTATTTCTGCACTGGCGCCTATAATTCGCCTAATCTTTCTCGCCGCGTAAAGGTCATCAAACTGTGGACAAAGTGGCGAAAAACAGCTTTAATTTTTTACAGTCATCTTGAGCGAGAAGAAAAAAAAGAGAAAACATTCCGACAACCTCTATATACCAGGATACACAATGTATATTTATTTATCCGTGAAAAACGATGCGAAAAAGAGAGAAAGAAAGATAGACAAGAGACTTTCTTTTTGTCCCGCTGCTGCCCGTTACCGCTCTTATTATCGCCGCGGGCAGAGAGTAATACGGGAGCAAGGAAGGATGCCCCAAGCGAGAGAGGCCAGGCCAGACAAGACAAGGCAAGGCAAGGCAAGGCAAAGCAAGGCAAGGCAAGGCAAGGCAGGGCACGAGGCACGAGGTACAAGACGGAGGGACCTAACTCCGCGTGCCCCTCGGTTTAACGAATGCGAGAATGCGGCCTGGCGCCAACGCACACGCGGCCGCGCCGTGTCGGCCGCCGCGTCACGCGCTCTCGCCTCTCTTGCTGGCTCTTTCTTCTCTTCCTCTCTTTCCCTCTCTCTCTCTCTCTCTCTCTCTTTCTTGCTCTCTCTTTCTGTTTAATGACCTTACCGGAGTTCAAAATACTAAACTGCAACCAATCTTTCAATTCGTGTGTCCGCCTCACGTTTAAAATATACGATCTTATAGAAGGCGCGTCCCAGGATAACATCGTACATATGTAGCAGCTTTTGGGATGATAACTCTCTTGCATTCTTCGTATTAAAATGACTATTGGAGTCTCCTTTACGGTCCTGTAAAATATTTTGATGCTATAATTTTAAAAAATACTTTGTCTACAGTATATATATCACATAAGCGGAGATGTATACTACGGAAAACTTGATGATTTTACGTGAGAAAATAAAAACTGTGATAAAATTTGCCTCATAATGATTATCGGAATACACGAGTGAAAAATGATATATTTAAATTACAAATTATTTCATGCGGAATAAATAAAAGTGATCTTTATATTTCAAGCATATCTTTCTCAGCAATTAACACAATTTTTAATCTTTTTTTTAAATAAAATGTGTCTTTTTATCGTCTTCCGCGAAACAGAGTATATCAACCAATTAAACGCTGTTTTTTTATTTTCTTAATTTTACCCACCGTATACTTCCCCTTATATTATTATATTAATTATATCAATAATATAAATTTTATTTGATGTAAAATTCTCACACAAGCTGTCTACTCAGTTCCATTCAATTAACATAAGTTAACTTATCAATTTAATATAGTCATTAATTTACTTGGTCTACTTATTATTTGTCTTTTTTTTACATTTGCCTGCGCATATCTAAAAAGAATTTGTAAATGACAGAAGAATTTTTCTCGCTTTTTATTACAAGTTATCAGCATCGATATAGATACATCTCCGCATTCCATCTGCATTTGTATATTGCATAGCTTTGAAGCAAACTTTTTTTCCTTCTCTTATCGAGAAACGTAAAAGGAAAGAAACAGAATGACAACGAAGACAGAGTAAGAAAGGCAGGAAAGAACGAGTATCACACTCGAGTATACATGATAGACACTTCACACGCTGCATTGAGCTATCAGGAGATAATCGCCTGACGTAGGCGTTAAGAACGTAATTTAGTTGACTAACATAAGTGTGAAGATTAGCCTCGGCCCGCAGTTTGCTGCCATTAGATTTCTTATTTCAAATGTTCTCGATTAGTAATTATTCTTTGCACCATGACAAGATGTTGATTTAGAAACTCATTCTTTTCTATCTTTCTACATCTATTTTTTTCATTTTTTTTCTCCTTTTCGTTTTTTTACCTCTGTCATATTTGCACAATTCTCGCATACAGTTACTCGCAACTTGTTACGTATTATTTTTTATCTTAACTGTACAATAAATAATTTTTTCAACAAAAATTTGCAAGGATTCAAATTATAGGTTCTATGTTGCCTTATATATTTTGTTTTCTCTCTCTCTCTATATATATATATATATATATATATATTTTTATTGAAAAAATAATATTTATCAAACGTTATACCACTAATTTCTCGTGAGAGCTGCAGCTGTATCTAAATTCTACATATATATAAGATGTTTGTCTTCGCTTTTTCACGCTTCTAGCATCTGGTCTCTTTCTTTCTATCCTTTTCTCTCCGGTTCGTTACGTTTGCGTGGCGCCGCGTATTGACCGCGAAAGGGGTAAAAAAAAAGAAGCTGCATGAGAGAAGATTAAGTTAAACGCATACTGACGGTCTAAATCTAGATGGGCGTCGTTTAAAGCCGTCTCGTCACCGTGTCGCGAGTTTGGCCAGCTTTTTTTCCACTTCTAAGTTGGACTATGATGGAATGTTTATCGTCGATTCTTGTTCTCTATTTCGAACGATATTCACTCTTGTTATTCGTCGAATAATTATCAAACATACCCTAGAAGTTAGAGAAAAAGTTTTCGCTTAAATACATTCCAATTTTACAATTTTCTTTAGATAATTGTTCTTAAAAGTACAGATTTTATACAAGGTATTGAAAGACAAAAAAATAATACCTTTTAAATATATCTTTGTACATCAATTTGACGCGTGTATCGTCGAAGGCTTAGATTTCTTAAAAATCTCATATATCTGCGACCTCGGGATATTGATCAAGGTGCTCCGACAATGTTGAGAGCCTCTGTGACGAGTGTGTTTACGATGGGATTTAAAATCGGCTCCCCAACATCTCGTGCCTTTTCGCCACAGCCAAATCCCGGCTGAACTTTTCACTTTTATCACTCTTATTGGGCCTTCTTTCTGGACAGAGTTGCCTCGTCGTGGTAACGGGGGATAGACGAAGGGAAGGGGTCGTCATCGTGGGTCGCCGCGGTCCATCGTCGCGTTGAGGCGCCGGGTGCCCCGGAGAGGCTTCCATCACGAGATGCATATAGGACGTGCGTGTGCGTCCTCACTTCCTGCATACGATATCAAAACATCATTAACATTCTTTTATGAATACGTGCACATAAGATTCTTCCCCCTCGCGCTGATTTCTGCATATATACATATATATGCGCTGCCCTCGATGGAATGCAAATTGCTGCAATTGTCATAAAAGCGCATTGCAAAATGTTTTTATATATATGTTTATCAAACAGCATTTGTCTCTTATTTTTTCGTCTAGAAAAATAATTTACATAAACAATGACGCAGTATTTTCCATCAAACGATTTAATTTGATTTTTCTAAAAGAAAAATGACATGATTCAAGTCTTTTTCAGATTATATATGTGTATATATGTGTGTGTGTATAATAAAGTATCCCCATATACGTAAATAAAATAAATACTAAGTCTAATTTTTGATATATGTAGATTTCTTTTAGAAATGAAATTCAGAAAAAAATGAGTTAAAAACCGATTATGCAAAAATCTTCAACATTAAAAGAAAATCTTATTTTTTTTACACACCTGTAAAATCCGCCAAGTACATCATAACTCGCGAACCATATTTCACGCAGAAAAATACAATTCAATTCAAATAGAAGTATATCATCAGAAGTAGCTCGAAGTATTTTCTTGTTTCTACAAAATTCAAAGTTCTTGGTAGATATACACAAACATTGATCCTCCGATTTTTCAAAGAACTAAACACTTTTTCATGTATTTTTATTCAATATGAAGTAAATACGCGCGAATGAACTTTTAACCTAGACTTATCCAACTTCGGAGAGAAGCGAAACTTCACTTTTTCGCGTGGTGACGCCATCTGTTGGTTCAATCTTGCACTCGGACATTAAAATTCCTCGATATCGACAGACGATAAAAGCGATTAGGCACATTTATTTCCGATTTGGGGACTACCTCTATCGCGTGTATTGTCAGCCCTCGCCGCATCGTTGATCAAGCATTCTGGGTAAAATAACGTGTGTCGTGCTGTCGTGTTTCTCCTCCCGTTCCTCCCATCATCGGACATCGTACGACGTTATGAGAGCAGTGAGAAATAAGTGAACGAGGCGACTGAACGAGTCGCAAATCGGTATCGTTCAATTTGCAAATTTCCGAGCTTCTTTCTTTTTCTCCTGTTCTCTTCGGATCGATCCGCGAACCGGAGCTCGCGTGAGAAAGCGCGATCCATTTTCCAATTTTCGTAGTGGGAAGGAACGAGCGATTCATTGTATCATATCTTGTACTATTTCGTGTAGTCCATCTCGGTGGATCCTAATTCGCTGCTGCACATTTTACACGGAGATCTCGTAGTTTCTACGATCAGCCAACGACGATGATCGACCTAACAGTTAAGACCTTGGATTCCCAGAATCACGTCTTCTCCCTTGAAGACGACGTAAGTCTCGTATTTCTAGCATCACATGTCCTGAACAGAGAGACAAATGCTACTATTACTTTTAGTTTGTTATTATGTGTCTATGCAAATCGATAGATATAAAACAATCATATAACTATGTAAATATATATTTAAAATATTATTTTAAAACAATCAAAATTATATTGAAAAATTTGATAATGTTAAAAGGATACACTGATAGTATTTAGTCTATTAAACACTATTTTTTTTTTTACAATGTGCATTTAACAATATATTTTTGCAATTCTATTTAAAGCAAATCACGGTCCGTGGCTTTAAAGAACACATAGCTGAATCTGTGGCGGTACCAGCTGATTCACAAAGGTTAATTTATTGCGGAAGAGTGCTTCAAGACGACAAGAAATTAAATGATTATGGTATGTATTTAATTATATGCAGCAAACAATTTGTTGCAAGAATGATATGATATGACTTTGATATTGATATAATGCGTAATCTTTAGATGTCAATGGAAAAGTCATACACTTGGTGCAACGCGCGCCCCCTCAACCGGGTCAACACGGAAATGATGGTGGGCAATCACAGGGGCAAAACCGACCAGGCTGGCAGAACTCCCAGAGATCACATTATCGTGTGACACGTACCCAGATGCATGGAAATGCGATGTATTTAGGTGCCATGTCAGTACCAGCAGAAATTGTAGAAGGACATGGTAATATTCTACTTTTTACCTTCTAATTCTATCATCCGTTAATCAGTGTCATTGGTACATCTACTGTTAAATTATTCCTCAGGGATACCACAATTAAGCAACAGTTTATCCGGCAGCCGATTGAATCATGCAGGTCGCATGCTCGATCGTATAAACGAGTTGCTTGATCGTTTGGATGATCCCAGTGCTCCTCCTCTGCACCCTACCCCATCCGAACTGAATCAATCGACGACACAACAACAGCAGCAATCGCAAGAACCAGAACTGGAACAAAATGAGTGAGTTAAATGTACATTGAAATTGTTAGATTTCTTGTGGTGCACAACACAATGGTAATTTGTAATTTTTTATATTTTTACAGAAGCAATGATGCCTCGAGAGATGACAGTGGTGCTAGACTTGCGGAAGCTGCTGCAGCCGCCATTACAGCCGCGTTATCCGCTGCTGGTGCGCGCGCGGTTACATTGTTCAGAGGTTCGTATATTCGTGATTATATTTAAATTCGATTCTGAGATGTGATTTTATATCTTGCATTAATTGCTCCTAGGGAGTAATTATAATGGAGGAAATGCGAGATCTACAAGCGACACAAATGAGACTCAAAGTGATGCACAACCTCAATCGCAATCACAATCACATCCGCAAATACAAACGCAGCAGGAACAGCCGCAACAACAGCAGCAGCAACCACAACAAGCACAAGCGACTACAGACACGGGAGCTGCATCGAGCAACGCTGGACAAAGCAGACGTGCTCAGCAGCAAGAGTATATATCTCAGCTTAAATCCTTCATGTTAATGAAATGTTAATTAGTATACGGCTTGATATTTTCTATTGTAAATTATTTTATTCTTAGCCTTCCGCGACCTCGGCAAATGGCAGGATTATTGCAGAGATTGAATAACACTCAAGATCGATTAAGACCATATTTGGAACGTTTGTACTTCCTCACGCTTAATGATCCCCCATTCCTGGTAAGTTGATAAAAAACCTCTGCATTGATCAGACAAGTAACATTTCGCTATTATAAAATAAATTTAATTGTTTAGCCTGGACAGAACGTGGAAAGCAATCAGAGAATAGTGGACGGAGTCAGTGAAATTTTGCACCTAATGTCTCACAGCTGCCACGCGTTAAGTGACATTATCATTGACTTAAGTCAACCACCACCCAGAAATTTGCGCTGCCGACCAATAATAGTACAACATTCAGCCATCTTGCAGCCCGGTATACCGATTCAAGTAGAAGTAAGTAAATTGACAAGAAATGTATAACGAACCAAGTAGAAAAAACCGCTCGTGTCGGTCGTACATATTTAATCTTGCTTTAAACTTGTGAACGGCTCTGAGAGAACGTGGTTCGTGGACGAGTAATAATAAGCAATAAGTTAAAATGAGAAAACTTTCCACAGTCCAGCTCCTTGTTCGCCTCTCAATGGTGTACATAGGCGTTTCCCTAACTGTGGAGATAAAAGTCTGGGCGCTATATTCTATAGTATACTGCCATTACTCTAGAATACAAGTACCAGCAACAAAATAAATACATAGATCATAAGAGTAGCCATTGACATGAAATAATCACAAAAGTATTATCTATCATTTTTTTCTTATCTTTTACAGGCTCACATCAGTTTGAACGGTCGTAGTGCTAATAATAATAATGTTAACGACGAGTCGACCGAGTCCGGTAGTCAACAGACGCAATCGGACAACGCGGAATCAACGACATCGTCGTCGCGCGTTAATATGGAAGAGGGCAGTCAGGAACGAGAATCCGATAGTGCGCAGACGCAAGGAGAGCGATCACAACAAGAGCAAGGCCAATCGCCTTTCGGTACATTTCATATTTGATATGATTTTATAAAGATGTTAGACAAATATTTCAAAATATGCTTTCGTTTGTTTTCGCAGATACAGTATTCAATTTACCGAACAATGTTGAAGTGCTGATGGAAGTTAGTTCCGAGAGTAATATAGATAGTGCATCTGGCAATGAACAAAGCACGGCAGGCAATGAAACCAACAACAACGGCAACACCCGTAAGTTAACGATATGATACCATATTTTGTTAATGAATCCTGTTTGCGAAAGAAACAATTTCATACAACTCTTGTGCGTTTTTCTATTTTACAGGTAGGACGACAAATGTATTTCCGTTCGGTACAGGTCCGCCGCCGTATTTCATGCGAAACTTTATGCAAGCTGTTGCCGGACACATGGTGCATGGTGGCATTACTACCACGACTATAAACCCGAGAAATCCACCAGTCACTGCTGCAGGAGCACAACAGAGTGTCCCAACATCGATAGACAGCGGAAATACGAATGCCGGTCAAAGCACTCAAGCACGGTATAATAACATCAGCTATAATATTATCGTAATGCTATAAAATCATCTCATGATCATACATCGGAAAATAATATTAAAAGAACAAATATTCTTTTTTCTACATATATCATATATGGCATTAATTATAAAAATTCTAATAACGTAGGAGCAACACTGGGACTCATCCTACTACCGCCACACAAACTCGAAGTACGTCGAGGCCGCACGTGTTCCATCATCACGCTCATCCCGTTGGTCTTGGCATGAGCATCGGACTGGGTCTTGATTTCGATCCCTATCTCCCGTGTAATTCGCATCATGTATATCGCACTTCGGCGAACACCGCATCCAGTACTACAAGTGGCATGACAACCTCTTCGCAAACGACGCGTACATCGTCGACAGCCACGGCGGACGCTCAGAATCAAACGAATCAAACTGGTAAGGGCATATGCAAATAACAATTTCTTTTTCATATTTTATAAACAAGAGAAGATGCATTTTTCTATAAATTTGAAAAATAATTTTCAGCAACTACTTCAACTACAACCACTAGTGTTCCTCCTACGAACGCAACATCGGCCAATGCTGAGACGGCTAACAATAATCCTTTTGCAAACTTATTACAACAGCTATTAAATCAGTCGATGACCCGTCAATCACCATCCACTCCCATCAATACTAATCTCCGCAATGCTGCCACAGGTAATTTGAAGAATGAATCTAGAGAGAACAAGAGAGAGAAAGTGACAGACAAGATACTTATTGATTATTTTGTAGGTCCACTTTTGCTAGAACATGTTGGTGACTTCATGCAGATGCTCGGCAACAATATACACGTGGGATTTGTAAGCGACAGGTATGTCTAACATCGATAAAGAAAATAAAGAAAGAATCGTTGATTACATAATGCTAATCATGTTATTCTTTTGGTAATCAGTGCGAATGGAAGTGCGCTTACTTTAGCTGACTTGTTCGAGGGTGGAGGTCTATCTATGGATCTTTTCACGTCACACGAATCTGGCAGAGAAGAAAACTTCCTCATTGATCTCTTTGTGTTGCTGGTAATTTTCAGTCACTACTTATCTGAGTATAATTATTACGCAATGAAAATCGTTTTGGCATTAAAATAAAAATTGTATACAGGCACAAACTATGACTCTGGATGGATTGATCAGGCTACGTCTCGGTCAATGGGAGCCTATCGCTCGTCTTCGAAGACCCCTACAGGAGTTCCTACAATACACGTTCTCTGATGCCCCATCACGAGAAGCTCTTCAAGAACAAACGATCGAACGTTTGCTTTCTCAACTAAGACCTCAGATCCGAAATCTTTTGGCATCCGAGGAAGACGCCAGCGGTAGGAGCGGCTCTCGTATTGACATATGCGCGACCATCGAGTCGTTGATCGCTCGCCATGCGAGAGATATACTTAGGATCTTATTCGACAACGGTTAGTATTTGAATTGTAGTATGTACCGTAAAAATAAAATAAAAAAATATCTCAAATGCGTTAAATTTTACAGATGTCGACGATGCAAGATTCGGACAGGACATACTAAACATTCTAATTACTTTGTGCAACCAATTCTATACGGTGCTGCGATACTCGCTGCGCGGCGGTCAAGTTGGATTGGAGGCAATTGCGACGCGTTTTGTGGTTAGCACTTTGATCTTCTCAAGTTAAATATAAAATGTAAAATAAATTTATTATGTTACATTAACATAATTTGATTGCTTCGTTATTAGGGTGACTTGATGGAAGGTGGCAATCCTGCTCTTCTCGAGTGGATACTGAATGGATTTATCACCCATCTTCGTACTTATTTTCTACGCGTGCCACAACCACCGGATTCAGAAATTATACCGCTTTTAGTATACAAGGATTCATCGTCCCAGCAGTCTTCGGTATCTTCGGCTTCGACCCGCCAATCCACGCAAGCACAATCGGAAGATGAGGTAATCTATTCATTTCATTGTAACATGTAATGCAACAATACAATTATATAATTCTAATGATGTGTATATAGCCAATGGAAACGGAATCTTTGGAGCAGCAACAACCGACGCTCGAAAGCTCGAGATCCCAGGTACCTGAAGATCGAGAAGAAATTCCGGAAACATTCCCTGGACACGAAGCTTTACCTTCGGTATGTCGAAAAAAACACGCACTAAACTACTTTTTATGAAAAAATGACTTGATTACGATTTTTAATATACACTTAATATTACCATTTATGTAACGACGATTTTAAATTGAGAGATTAACAATATTCTCTTTCGCAGGATTGGGTGCCGATTATTGCTCGCGATGGGGTGAGACAACGACGGCAGCTGCAGGGTACGACACCAAATGGAGGCGTAACAACATTTAGTGACGCATATCTAGGCGGATTGCCGAGCAAGCGTCGCAAGCTTATCGAGCAACAAAAACCACGATTATTAGTCAGCCCGACGCCAAATCATCATTCGACGATAGCGGCGTCCATGGAACGGTTGGTCAGGGAGGGAGTAGGTCGCGCGGGTGTCGAGGAAGTCGAAGGTGCCGCCGTAGCTGTCGCGGCGGATCCAGCCGTGCGACGCGCGTTCGGTCAAGCTATCAGAGATTGTTTGAACCCGTGTCGATACGGCACGCCCGATTTCCCGGATCCGTTGCGCTTCCCGAACGCGACCAAGTATTTCACGGAGCAAGAACGGCCGCCGAAATAATATAGCTAATAGATTATAACATCGTACTTTGATTTTCGGATTACCAGATTGAAGGAGATATATTAATTAAAATTCGACAACGAATAGGCGACTGGCGTCTCGAGAGAGTCGACAAGCAAGATTTGCCTTCGTAAACATCCTATAATTGTAATTACTATTCTAAAAAAAAATAGTAAGAAGGAAATTATCGATTCTTTCTTGAATAAATATCTCCGACGAATCTAAAATGATTAATCAGTACGGTGCAGACACGTACCTATTTATCCACCTACCTACATATTATCCATATGCCCATATCAATGTTTCTGCTTTAATAGAATTACCATAATAGAATTACTACTCTTCAGCTTAAGTTTGTAATTGATAAATAAAATGATATTTATAGGGTGGTCTTCTTAAATCAAATTCCTCCTCAAATCTTTATCAAGGAAAAGCATTGATTCCATAAAACGACAGACACCCTGTATATACATAGATGTAAAAATTGTTAACTGTACATCTCTATATTTATGAATTTACATAAACTAGTTAATATTCTCCGTTGTCTTTCTCACTTGCAAATCTCGATTTTTGTTATCTTTTCCTCGTTAAATTGGCCATTCCGAATTTCAAAGTAGTAAATTCTGAAGCAATTGTAATAAGAAAAAATAGGTCGATTTCGTTTTAATTCTCTTTTTTTAGTGAGTACGACAATGATGGATATGACAATGCGGCACTTGATTGAAAGCGATGCATTGTAAGTCACGAAAATCTTATCAGATATATCGTGTAGATAATTTTCAAATGTACGCGATGATTCTCGAGGATATTTTCGAACCGGAGTCTTTCTACGACGCGCGTATTATACGTTTATTCGCACGATAAAAATAACAAGCAAATCAATGTGTATAATGCGTGATTATGATAATATATTGTATGTGAAATAATTTTAACCGTTCTAATAACCAAACAGTTGTACGAAGAAAAAAAAAGAAAATAATAAAATTGTATATCCCTTTTCCTTCGCGTTGCTCTATTTACGTTCCTTCGATTCTTATATAAGTATACAACAAAAGTTAAATGAAGCAAATAATTTCTTGACTATCATTCACAATTCATGAGACTACCTTTATAACATTTAAAATTGACGATAAACATCCTTTCGAAAGTTAAACATTATGAAATATTAAATCGTCGATAAATAATTACACACGATAATGTTAAATATGCAAGTTTCACAGTAAAGTATTAGAAAAAAAATTGTTTTTTTTTTCTTACAATCTAGTTCATTTATTTCTCATCTATTGTTTCACTTATCGTTAATTTACCGAATAATCGACGTCGATTACAGCGATAGGACATGTCGTGTACTACTACGTACAATATAGCGTAGTAGTACCACTACGACATGTAACATCTGTAATATGAAAGAGTGCCGCGCCAATTACACGCGCGGCTGACTATCACGAGAAATCGGACTGTTTCATTCGGTCCACCTCCTCCGCGCGAACTTGATACAGCCGATTAAATTTTCATAACTGCGCGCGCGAGCGTGGAAGCGAATCGTGCAATTATCGAGATCGTAATCGAGAGAGGCCGTGACGAAATATATGCGGCTGGGGAGAGAGAGTTTGCGATTTTTAACTCGTTTTCATCGTCGTCACGTCGTCCGCGAGGGCGGAATTCGATTTTGAATATCATCTCTCCAAACTATAACGTCAAGAATAAATTTCATCAGGTTCTGCGAAATAATCCTATATTCGCGCAATCTGAAGAAAAATCTGGGAGAAAAATTTCTCATCGATAAATAATCAGAATGTTTACAAGAGCGGCGATGGAAAAACAAGACAGTAATTTAATTTCCGCGAGAAATAAGACTTTATCGCACGGTCACTCGAACTCGAAGAATTATTAGATCGTCGAGAGATCACACCCGGAGATTCCAAAGTTTCGCAAGTCCTGTGCGAGTGTACACGATATGTAGGTAGATACGTAAGGTAAGCAATCTTTAATCACCGACGATATTAATCGCGATTATCGAGCGATAGCAAGACTTATCCTCAGCAATCTCTTTTTTTGCTGATTGTTTGCAGACTCGAGATTCTTCCTCCCCTGAGTCACGAGTATATACAGGGTGTTTCCGTATCCAGTCACTTGTACACAGTTAGATTCCCGATGTCATTTGGAGACGATTTTTTCTCAGTCAAAATGTTGAGGGAGGTTTGTCATTATTTTTTGCATGTTCCTAATTTTTGCCATAATGTATCCTTGCAACTGAGTCTTGAATAAAAATTCTATTTGAGTAAATTCCACCTGAAGTTGTGGATTTATTAATATTTGATTTCCACAAGACTTGGTTTGCGAAGAACCCTTTATTCTCAATCGGTTCTTGAAAACGCGATTAGTGCCTCGACCTTTTCGCTGAAGAGGAATCGTCTCCATAAGTGACGTCGGGAATCTCCTGTAAACCAGTGATTCGCTGGGTACCTGGGCCACCCTGTATAACGTACAACATGTAACGTGACGTAACACGTATCTCTCTTTTTTCTGTCCAGGTGAGGAAAAAAAAAAGAAGAGAAAAAAGTAGAAGAAGCGATCGTTACACGCTAAAACCGAGTGTTCCTCCGACTGGTCTCGGGCTACCGGGGATACATCACGGGAACTATTACGGGAAGAACCGATTTGGAAAGAGGAGAGAGGCGTCGGTATTAATTGGCGAACGCTTGGAACACGGTTCGTCGTCTTCTAGCCCTCTTCTTCGAGGGCGTTTTTTCGTGCTCGCCGCATAGTGACGACGAAGACGACGACGACGTTCTCTAGTTGCAGCTCCCTTTCGGAGCAACAGAAGAGACCAACGGGGAATGTAACTCCTCTCTTTCTCTCTATCAGAGTATATCCTCGACCGCGTATACCGCGCATACACCACGTACCGCGTATACCACGTCCACACGTACGTACACGCCGCGGTCGTCGCGGGGAAGAGCGCGTAGAAAGGCATAATAAAGGTAGGGTAGAGTATACGAGTATCCGTGCGGACTCGACGAGCAGCTGTCAAAGGCACCGCCGGCGGAACCGGATTGGTCGGGACGCGCCGTTCTTCCGGTCGTATTGGCCTTTTTCCTCACTCGACGACGCCTCTTTATTCGGTCCAGGGCGTCACCAGGTATTTTTATGCACTCAGGTTGGCCGGGAGGCGCCGAGCGCGACTCTTATAGGCGCATCTCCTGGGTTCTAGCTAGCAGTCCGCGCGGACTCGAGCCGTTGCTAGCATCGTCTCTCGTCGGTCCCTGCTGCTGCTGCTGCTGCTGCTGCTGTCGCTGCCGCTGCTGCCGTTGCCGCTGCTACGAGGCCGAGGTTAAGACGCCTTGGCAATCAAGTAGAACCTCGGGCAAGCAGGGCCGGTTACGTCGCATCGGTACACGAAGAGAGAGAGGGAAAAAGCGTACACGAAGGCGGCCATATTTAGAGAAGGAAATCAGCGAAGAGCATTTCGCGCCGCGTACCACCGAGCTACTTCTCCTCTCTCTATACCACCCTCCATTCCACCACAACGACGACTACGACGACGACGACGACGACCACCTTATCGTCTCGCTCTCGTTCCCCAGCTTCGGTTCGATCTCTACACCCGGGGGCTCTTTCCGCAGCCCGACGCTCGGATGGATTTGACGGATGAAAAGCGGCGACCGGTCGTGTTTTTCTCTCGCGTACGTTTTCACCCTCTCGCTTCTTCTCACCGGGAGCTTTTCCGCCGCCCGATATACTTTGCCGCGACGAATGTTCACGGTACAAGGGGGCGCGAAATAAGTCACGTACGTTTTTTTTACGTATAACGGCGCTCTGCCGCTAATAACGAGTTCGCGTCCCTCTCTCCCGAGAGCGAGAAAAATGCTTACGAACCTTTTTTTTTCACGCGAGCGTCGATGGTATATACGCGCGTGTAATCACGCGCGGAGAAAGAGCGAGAGAGATGGCTCGAAGCGGAGCTTTCCGCGAGGGAGCTTTTTTTTTCGTCGCCAGTCTGAGTTCGCATTGCCGAGTCTGTTGTCACCGTCGAATCGAGTCGACGAAGCTCGCGAGGGAGAGAGAACTCGAGAGCTTTTCACACACGCCGAACATAACGCAATTTCTTCTCTCTTTCCCTCCCTCCTGTTTCACACGAGTGCACGCTTCCATCATTTTTTTTTCTAATGTCGCATCCGGAACTCGCGACTCTTATTTATTTCGACGCAGCATCCCCGATGAAACGATTCGAAAAATCGGTGACTCTTATATTTCCAGAAATAAAAATTGACCGAGAATTTAGAAATAATAGATCCTCGAGAGACGGAAGCAAGAAAGCTCGATCGATCGGCGAAAGCTCGCACGAATCTCGAATGCTACTCGAGTGGGGAAAGTGATTTCGGAAACGGGAACTCGTTCGAAAAACGATAAACCGGAAATATGCGTGGAGAACGAGTTTACATCTCGTGTATCGTCCGGCCGATTTACGACCGAGCCAATCGGCGATCGTTACGAACACGCTCGGCAAAGAATAATGCCAATTAACACGTTTTTCGACGAGTCAACCGGGCGGCCGCGTTCGTATCCGGTTCGTCGACAAAGTTTTTCAGCTCGAAATATTTTCCGCAACGAATGCTCCGCGCATCATCATCAGAACTGAATTTGCACACGAGAGAGAGAGAGGGAGGGCGGCTTGCAACCCTTTGTAAAATATTTTTATTACACATACGTGTTGTGTAAAATATATCAAATTTTATTTGGACACTGGACAGTTTCGGGTAACAGCTGATTTAAGAAAAAGGATCGATTGTTCTCTTATTTACATAGTCAGGAATTTTTTCCTCTCCCTCCTTCTGTCTGTGTCTTATCACAGATGATAATGATGCAGCTAATTCGCGATATAATTTTCGAAAGCAATGCGATACTTGTACAACGAATGACGAGGAAAGGTCTCGATACGATAGCGATATGAGTGATCGGTATTAAAGTCCGAAAGTGAATATTGACCGATAAAAAAAATCGATAAGATCGATGAACGAAAGAGGGACGCGGTCTTATCCCTGTAAAAATAAATCCGGATAAGTAAAGACTAAACCATGGTTTCAAGCACGTGTGTACACATTGGGAATAGTATATCGTTGGATCTCGATACGGTTAAACAAAATATACTTAATATTGCGCATGTTGCAGGTTGCGCAATATGCTTTTACGAGATAACGCCAACAATAAATAAAGATTGGTAAGTTTGCGCGCGAAGGCGGGATCTGGACCCGCTCTCGAGAGTCAGCGAGATACGAGCATTATCTGCCACTTATGTTGCTCTCCGCGTATACGCGTTATCTTTTTAAGTCATACGATTCTTACGAAGCTTCGCGTCGAGCGAAATGTCCTGATAATATTCCCGAGGTGGAAAAGGAACGCTATTAATTGCCCGTCAAACGCCTCGTTTTGACGCAACATCCCCGTGTTTCAGGTGTTAATATAGTGCATATATTCAAAATATATCACGGTAAATCATTAACACTTTCTTTTATCACTAATAAATTCTTCATAAATTTACTTAACTCTAACTGAAGTTTCGTTCTACAAATTTTTGGTGCCATGGACTATCATATGCAAACTATAATCTCTTAATAGATCGATCGACAAAATGCAGATAATATAGCAGTTTAATTTAGATCCCAGGAGATATTTTAGTCCTTTCGTAGAATTTAAGGAAACAAGATGACATATGAATCCGAGATTTCTAAATTTTCCTTTGAACTTTGAAACATTTTGTTCCTTTTCGAATATTCTATGTTTTCAGTTTTTATCTAACTGACATTTTTCTTCAGTCCCCTATTTTTGTTCCCTTCTCTAAATTATTACTGCTTCCATGGTGTATTTTAGTGTAATTTACATTATCAAGTCTAAACTCAGGTCTAAACTCTCGAAACCTCCCGCTGACCATTATTGACCGTGGAAACTTTTTGTTTCGTCTTGACAGTTACAACATGTTTACGGTAAGTGTGAGGATAATGACATCTTTTTCCTTTTTTCAGGCTAGAGCTCCGCGGTCCTGGAGCCCTGAATTGTTTCCTTTTAGCATATTTTTCTTTCAAACGCATCCTTGAATTTTTTCCCCGATTACTGAAGAGAAATTCTTCTTTCAAGTTGTTTGATTACGAGCTAAAAGATTCTTGAGCGCATTATCGTGATTCATAAATCATTGGCTCTCTCTCTCTCTCTCTCGACACACATTTTCCTTCGTTTTATCCTTCATATTTCTCAACCCCCTGAATTAAAACCAGCGGATGATCGAAATTTGCTTTAACGTTCAATCATCATCTCCGCGAGAGATCTAGCATCTTTCCGCGATTATTTCTCCTCACGGCAGCTCCGTTGATGAAGCACGTGGAGGATATCCCAGGGCGACACCTAGCGTCCGGAAGGTGGCGGGACGAACGTTCCTTGGCGATTGGCAGCGACGACGGCGGCGGTTCATCAGTTGACACACACGCGCCGTTGGGTGTGGATCGTTTCGCGCGAACTGTCATTTGCTGTCAGCTGTGTAATATGTGACGAGGCGTGTATTCGCGATAACGTTCGCAACGTGTTACGGTGCGGTTGTACTTCGTTGCTGGTGAATATAAAATTTCTTCAGGGTGAAAAACGTGCGTCAAAGTGGGTGCCGGTGCCTCGCCAATTTTTCCTCCTGTCTCGCACGACTGTGATGAATGACGGTGAGAGCGTCGCCTCTTGGTTTCTCGACGAGTTGCGGTAGTGACGTAAAACTTTGGAGTAACATGTACCCTACCGCCGGCATCAACGCAGCGGCGGTAGCCGTCGCAGCAGCTAGACATCCGGTACGTAAAATCCACATTCTTTTGCCTATTTTTTATGAATATTGTCGCGCAAGGAGGAACAAAGCCGTGTCTCCTGAAGGAGAAGCTTCAAAACGCGTTTAGAGTCGCGAGGGTCTCTCTCCTTTCTTTTAGTAAACGCACACTACCTTACGTATTCTCGTTTCGATTACCGGAGCATAAGCACACTTTCCTTCGAACACGGAAGCGGGATTTCAATTTTCAATCCGTCTTTTTCCTTTTTATACAAAAATATCGGAACACTCTTGGCTCCTGAATAATCAACTATTCGAGCTGAAGCATTTCTTACAAACTAATTGTAAGCTTTATTTCAAGAAAGAAAGAAATAATAAAATGTTTTTCTAATTCACATCCTTTTACTATGAACAAAATTTTCATTCGAGAGCTTTCCAATTACATGTACATAATACTGAACATTGAAAAGTTACAACATCTTGCATCATGAGTTTCAATATTTTGTAAGGAGAAAACTGATTTGAAATTGATGGGCAGAAAGTGCATTTACTGAAGGTTATCTTGTTTTTTTATGCTTTTATATTTTTTGTAACATGTGATAAATATTAGAATTCTAAGATTCTTTTTTAGGTAGCTCTGAACGAATCGATCAGTCATGGTTATTCGACTATTGTCCTATTGTCCTTTTGGAGTGAAAGCATTCTTTCAAAATACCGTAATTTATTTGTAAACGGCTTTACTTCTTGGCTCAAATTCCACGTAGTGTAAATTCCCGGAAGAATACTTTGAAAATGAAATTTTACGGTTGTATCGCAACTCTGTTAAAAATATTGCTTACCACACTATTTGCTTATTTGCTCTGCGTGGTATATCATATTGTGCTTATTTTTTAATTTTTTTTTGTTTCATGTTTTTATATCTATCCATTCCGATGTACTTTGCTGTGTTTTTAATAAGTTTGAGTTGGAGGTGAGTTGAAATTAATCTACCTATTTATCTACAATAATTAATCGCGAAGAAAAATTGTGTTTTTTACTCTCCTTGTGTCTCGCGTCCATATAAATTGCGTCTATATAAATTGCGCTAACGTGGAAGTTAATCGACCGATATCTATCCGCCGCAATACATAGTTATTACCAGATACACATCGCTCGTGCCTATGAATCGCATTATTACTTCTCCGCGCTGTCAACGTCGCTCTCGAGTAACGAGATAATTAAAAAGTAGCCGCGGCGAATTAACGTTTTCCAAGCTGGCGCGCGGCGGAACTTGAGGGGGGCCCACAAGAAATTCTTTCCGGCGATTATTTATTTTTCTCTCCCGATTCCCCACACATCCCTCCTACTAATGCTTAATAGTCACGCACGCACGCACAGGTCCCCGCTAAATATCTGGGCGCACTCGTGTATAAATACGTACACCGAATGAAATTGACCCGCGCGCGTTATATTGTACAATGGGGAGGGTGAGGAGAGGGTGTAAAAGGAAGAGGAGGAGGAGGAAACGCGGCGAGCGACGACGGAAAAATATTTGGCTGCCGAGCAAATTTTCATTCGACTGTAAACACCCGGCGAGCCGAAGCGGAAAAGCTCGTACGCGAACGACGAAAATAAATCTATATATCGCGGAAGGGGTAGGGATCGAGGGGGTGAGAGCACCCCCTTCCTCGCCCCCGATTCTCTCTCTCTCTCTCTCTCTCTCTCTCTCTGTATCCGCAATTACGTTATATCTGTATAGCTATGCCATCGCGCGCACAACGATTACCCCCTTCTCGTCCGACAAACGCGGGATGGAAAAAAAAGTCAAACGGAAAAGTGGGAAAAATAGACACACGGAAAAAAAGCCACGTCGGGTAAAAATGGATTTGCTCCCGTTGTTATTGTCGGGCGAGAGATAACGAACCGCCCTGGAAGATTTCCAAAACGCGCTATATCCGCAACAGATTTCCCCTTCATCGAGAAATGTCACTTAAACATTTATAAAAATTCCTCCGTCGAAAGTAACACGTTAAGCGTTAAGACGAGCTTTGCTGATTGTGAGACGAGGATCTCGAGAAGATGCGGGATTGATCAATTTAAACAATTAATAAATAACGTCTATTTATATTTTCTTACATAAATTATAAATGTTAAAAAAAAAAATATATATATATATATATATTTACATGTGTCCATTTGCATATCGTTCGTCGGTGTGTGATTTTTGTTTGTATACTAAATGCTTTCACAAACGCGCGCGTGCGGTGATAATCTCATTAGTGTTCCGCCAACGACGACGACGACACGGACCGATCTCCCGTTGTAATTATTTCCCGGCGTGACGCGAGAAGGAAGAGACGGGAACAAAATTGAAATCGAGAAGAGAGATAGAGAGATGGCGAAATGATATCGCGGCGCGCGAGAGCACCACGAAATTTGCGGGCCGCGCACTTCCGCAGAACCGCAATATGCATTGGTAATTACACCGCGATGAATTACACTGCGGAATGAGCGAAGCGTGTTACGTGCAATTGGCGCGAGCATTATAAATCTCGTCACGTGCAAACAGTTGGCCACCTCGCTCTCTCCCGTCTCTCTTTCTCTCGTTAACATTCGTCCGACGAGAATCTCAGACGCGACGAACGACGACAACTTCCGCAAACGAGGCGCGAGACATGCGTCTTTTTTTCTTTTTGCTTCTTTGACCCACACCGTACGACTTCAATCTATTATTATACGCGGACGCGCTCAATTAAATCTCGAATTTTCGAAGAATGTCACCGCTATATCCACGCGTAATCCGCGCCAAGGATCGAGTCACGTATTTACATGACAGTGACAAATTCACTAATTATCCCCGATTAATTCGTGATCCGAAGGGGGACGAAAATAGAGGGTATAACCGGGTAACGAAAGTCGCGTACGACAGCTACTTAAGCAGCCCCGTCGCAGTCAAACTCGATATATCGAACGAGACTCGGCGCTTTTGGATGTCCCCTCTTGGCATCGCCGTCGTCGTCGTCGTCGTCGTCGTCGTCGTCGTCGTCGTCGTCAACGTTCCGGTGCTTGACCGAGTTGACACAGGCGGTGGTTATTGGCACTCTGCAGGGCCGCCAGGGCTGTTTACGTACAAGCTGTACAAATATTATTTCCGGGCAAACCGGCCCGTCGATCATTACGAAACCCCAGGCGGAAAGTTTCAACAGATACCCCTCTCTCGCGTCCCCCACCTTCCCCCTTTTGTGTACACGCACACACAGACACACATGGAATTCTTGTTGTAACGCCGAGTCCCTTAAACCGACTCTCTTGCGTTCCCCTTAAACCAGACTGGCCCTTAGAAATTGGATCTATCGCCCAGATCGACCCGAGGGCTTTCGAGGTCTTGTATTTAGAAATATATATATCTTATTGATCTTTGTGTCGAGGCGTTTGTTTACTTTCGCACGTACACCTTGCGACAAAAAGATGACAGACTGTATATATATACACACCTATATCTCGTTAGTTTATAAAGATTTGATGGTATCGTTTATGACTCAACACATTCGTGACACAATTAGATACTACAAGTGTTACTATTATTTTATAGCCGAACATTGGTTGTGTATTTTAGTTGACACTTGATTATAATAAGTTTGACTCCTGAGTTCAAAATATAAACAGTAACGGATGATATAGTAGAAGTTTCAAGAATATTTTTTTTTCATCGATAAGAAATTTTTTAGCAATTCGGAACACGTTGAGTATATTATTCCATGTTAAATATTACATGTGTATTTTATATATGTGTATGACGCGATAAATAGAGATTAATCGAGAAACCCCATGAAAGCACGTGAAATATGAGAGATAAAATTTCTAACTAGACTTTAGATTTTTATTCACCGAAATTATTAATTCTATTTGTTGATTTGTATTTCGAAATGACAATAGATAGAAATTAGCTTTACGAAAAATACAAATCTAAAGAGTATCAAGAAATTGATACAGCTGGCATCAATGTACAAGTTAGTTAGTAAAGCGAATATTTACAATGAAATAAATTAAAGACATTTTATTAAACACAAAGAAGCTCCGGCGTTTATGATTTTGTGCAGACACATGACCCGACATAGTAAAAGATGATACAAAATTTTTTCGATGAAAAAAGCTTAATTCAAATGGACAAAATGCAGATTATCATTTTTATGATCTGCGAATACAAAGACAGATATTAAAATAATAAAGGAATTGTTGGTGAATATTTTATCTCTTCCAACAAAATATCATGCAGGTATATCACACACATATACACAATTATGTAAAGATCTCTTTAAATATTAAAAAAAATTAAATGTTTTAAAATGCTTAATAGTAGCTCATAAGATCTGAATATAATCGAAAATTGTTGAGAGAGAAAATTAGCAAGAGTCTGTCTACGCTAAAAAAAAAGAGACAGAGTTTTAATAATCCTGCTTTTATATCTCCCTCTCCATTCTACAATATATATTATGTCAACTTTTTTTTTTATCATACATCTCTTTTATATGCCCGTTATTTTTGCTACCTTGCTATCTAACTCCTATCGTGCCGGGATGTATAATACAATTTTTCTTTCTCTCATCATCGAGTTTATTAATTAGTACAACAGCGCGAAGGAATGTGTCGAGTACGGGAAGATTTCTATCGTCGAAGACGACGTAATATTGTCGAGATCTTGCGAAAGCGCATTTAGCCATTTAATTAATCGTCGCTAATCAATCTGGAAGAACGCCTCCCCGATCGAGATCGCGTAATTCGACTCGTGATTTAATTGACGACATCTTCCAATTTAAGACCTAGAGTCATCAGATAAGAAGATATTAAACGTTCTCTCCTCTCGCCCGACTGTTCAAACCACTCTCTAAAGAGTTTTTCTCAAATGTGTTTTAACTATAAAATATTGACATTAGATTATATATGTGTGCGTAACGATTCGTAAACATAATTAGACTGATGACGAAATAAAACGTCTGGGCACACGCGCTGCGGTATGATGCAATATTAAACCGATGTTAATTGCAGTCGTTAATTTAGTCGTGTGAAACGATCATATACGACTTCATTTTTTTGTCCAATTTTTTGTCCCCTTTTTTTTATCAAATTTAAATATGTAATTAAAAGAAACTTCTGGTTCGCAGAAAGAGAAACTTGACGATAAACGAGGATATTTCGAGAATTAGCGACTTTTCAGCTATAAGCAGAGGTTGTCCCCCGATGCTTCCGTCTTACGCGAAATCCAAAAAAAGGAAAATTAATTTAGCCATGTAAAATTTTTCTTTTATTAATCTTAAATATGTAATTAAAAAGAAACTTGACGATATATAAAAGGTACGAGAAAATCTCGAGAATTAGTGACTTTTCGCTAAGTAAGCGGAGGTTGTCCCCGGTTGCTTCCGTCTTGCGCGAAAAAAAAGGAAAAAAAAAGAAACGAAAAAAGAGGAAAAGAAAAAGAATCGCGCGTGTATGCACACGTGACGCGCGACTTGACACGTGTTAACGTTCAGGCGGGCCGGACGAAGCGCGCGCACGCGCTTTATATATCCCGTGTGCACTGTTCACAATAATGAGGAGTTTGCACAGACCGGGATCCCGACGTTCTTCAAACAGCGAGAGCAAGGACAAACAGCCCTATATGGACGGATGGACAAACACGATGTATGCGTTCGTGCTGGCTCGCTCGCTCGCTCGTTCGTTCGTTCGTTCGCGTCCACGTCGTCGGATCGGCGCTAACCTGATGCGAACGCGACGCCGAAGTACCTTTACCGCTACGAGAGGGCCCCTGGCTCTCTCTCTCTCTCTCTCTTTACCCTTCCCGCCGCTGCGGAAACTATCGACCATCACCCTCGCTCAACAAGCACCATAAGCGATATGCTGGCTAACATTTGCCGGGCTAAGCACACAAATACGATACAGTGCTGTTTGCCCGCCAAGCCAGTGGTGCTCGATCAGCTATTGCCGCGCTATAACGGTTCCATTCTCGTTCTCGGGAATCGTCGACAAGGTTTACGAACGCGATCGAATGTTACGGGAGATTCTCGCGAAATCTTTACAAGCGAGTATGCGTGTAAAAGAGAGAGAGAGAGAGAGAGGACGACGCGCATGGCACGGCGGCATGTGCCATGCCATCCTGCTGGCGCATCCTGGCGTGACGGTCGGGTCAGCTGGTCGGTGGTTTGCGAACTATCTCAATTTGCCTAAGCCGCAACCACGGCGACCGCGAAAACCGCAACTTCCCTCGTCGTGGCCACCTTTGGCCGCCCGCACCCTCCCTTTCTCCTGTCCGCAATTCCTCTCTTCCTCTCTCGCCGCGACCTCCATCCGACTATCCGTTTCCTCTCTACCTTCATCTTTACCTATATGTATATATATCCTCCTTTCTTCTCACGCTCGCGTCTGTTTTATTGTTCTCCGCGCCTTCTCCGTGCACTCTCGGTTTCGAGAATTTAGCGAGGAGTTACAATACTTTGGTCTGTACAAGCTTCGAAAACGCTGCGTGTACGCCTCTATCTATGTACCTCGGAAAGGTCGAGCGACTTTGACCCCTTTTCTCCTCCCGAGGAGTATGTATAGCGACGCGCCGTAGGTTTCGGAATCAAGTATTCATTCATTATGCTAAGTTCAACGTATGTCATTAACTCGGATCGGAGAAGTCGTACGATGTTAACCCCCGCGTGATGTCGTGTAAACAAATATCACGTCGTTGCGCGCCGTGATGTAATTTACGGATTCGCCGAAGGACGCGGATGTTCGCACATGTACGAAGAGATACGGTCGTTAACCATATACATATATATTTATCCTCGTATACGCACACCCACACGAGCGCGTATATATTCATACACGAAGCGCAGGCTCATAGTTTCGGTTGTAGCGTGTAATCCTCGCGGACACCGCAAACATGTAATTAACACTTGCTCCCTCTCCGCGTGCGCGCACGTGATGAGAGAGAGAGAGAGAAAGAGCCGCTGTGTTGCAGCTCATATGGGTTGAGAGATCGCAGCCGAACGGACCCTGGCCTCGTGCAATCGTGCACAGTTGTATGCGTATGCATATACGTGTGCGTCTACATCTACACCAGCATAGCCACCCTCGTCTCCCCCTTTCAATCTATCGTGGACCTCGTATCACTTTCGCTCGCACCCCTGCCCTTTCGCGGTCGAACAGCTGTATACGGAGTTAATTATTCGGGACGGGAGGACGTAGATCTCGAGAGTTGACCACCGCGCGCGCGAGAATCGATTCGCTTGCGTTTCTGGGACGCGATCGATATGTCTGTGTATATGTACATATATATAAATATATAATCCGACTAACGCGAGATTGTCTGCTTCTTCATCAGGGTCCGCCGCAGCCTAGTCAGCCGTTCAAGTTCACGGTGCCCGAATCCTGCGAGAGGATCAAGGAGGAATTCAACTACCTGCAGGCGCAGTATCATCAGTGAGTACATTAAGGACGTTCTTATATCTTAAACGGGATTGTATACGTCGTCGCTCGAAGAAAAAAAGCTATCGCGAACACGACACTTTCCTGTTTGCGCGCGCAGAGTTCATCCTTGTTTTCCTTCTATTTTCGAATCGCGGAAGTACGCGTAAGGATGTAACCAAAGAGAGAGAGAGAGAGAGAGAGAGAAAAAAAGTCTGGGAACAAGCGCAGCTGCACGCCATCCTATACAATGTAGTTGTACGCCGGATACGTAATGGCAGCTCGCGAATATACGAACTCGAAGCTTCGAGTTTCACGAATACCGGCAAGACGGGTCTTGCATTTTTCAGCAGCAGCAGCGCGGATCGAAACTTTTCTCGTTGCTCGACGCGGAGATGCGGTTCTTCCTTTTATTCTTTTTTTTTTTTTTTTACGCCACGTACGCGGAGCATATTCCATTCGTGAGGAACGCGGTTTTCGCGATTCGCGGTTTTTCTCTCTCACTCCCGGATTCTCTCTTTCTTTCTCCCTCGCTGAGAGCTTACTCGAGCATGTCATCGAGCGAACTCGACCGTGTTTTCGCATGCATTTCACGACACGTTTCCCCCTCTCTTTCTGTCCGCAGGCTGAAGCTGGAGTGCGACAAACTGGCTAGCGAGAAGATCGAGATTCAGCGGCACTACGTGATGGTGAGTACGATCATTGCTATGTCGTAAAGTTAGACGTGTCGGTTAGATGTCGTAACGTTTCCCTCGACTGCCTCCTTGTTTCCCTCTCTACCTCTCTCTCTCTCTCTCTCGTTCCTCTCCCGTCTTCCATATCCAGAATAATCATGCTCGCTCGACCGCTAAACCGCCTCGGCTTCTTAGCATTAATTGCATCCTCTAACCGAGGACCGGGACCGAGCTTTACATTAGCTCGTTACGCCGCGCGCAGCGTAGTCGGATATACTAATACACACACACACACACACATATATATATATATATATATATATACACGTTTGCGCGCACCTACTGTGCATAGCTAATGACTCTAAGAGCCAGTGGCTCTCATCGAATTAGGCTACAACGTGCGCGCAGCTGTCTCGCACGTTTAATGACGAAGTAATACGCTGTTAGGTCGCGACAGCGGTCTACGGCTCGTTAATATTCGAGCATCTCCACCCCCTCGTCCTCCTTCTCCTCCTCTTCGTGATCGGTCCACCATCAAGCTCTCGTATACGACACGACGAGCAAAAAAACAACCGGTTATTTATGGACTTTCAAGTCCCGCGAGAGAGAAAAATATATCGTGTGTTCTCTCCCTCGGTTTTTCCCACCAACACTCATCTCTGCTTCCTTTTCGCGACCGAGGAGAAAAAAAATTGCGAGCGCAATTAAAGATAATGTCGAAAATTAAAAAATTAATGTCGAAAGTTACAAACGCGCGTCCTCTTTCCAGCTGATGCACTTATATGTACAAATTGCCGGCAATTTCGAAATCGCGTATGTATATATTCGCAAATATACAACGTTGTGTTAGCCTTTTATCGAGCGACGCGATAATTAAATCGAAGCGCGCAAATTTACGTCCGTCAAAAGAGAAAGAGAGAGGAGAGAGAGAGAGACTCATCGTTATCGTTTTTATTCGCCGCCGCGTTTTCTCGTCGACCTAATCGGCGTGGAGGCGCGGGCCGGCAATTTCAACGCAATTAATCTCCGCTTAGTCCATTTGATACTGCTTTTTCCTCTTCTCTCCGATCCGAGGATGCCGCGTTAAGGACACGTTAAGAACGTCGTTGCATCGCCCGTCTCGTAACGAACGCTAGATGTTGCCGCAGTGGGGAAAGAGTGTACACTATTGACCGATGCACCGATATCAACAAGCTCCGTTAACGTGCACTTCATCTCCCGGATACTCCAGCATCCACCCTCTTCCCTCTTCGCGTCTATCTCCCGGATGAAATAACTTACTTACGGCGCAATTAATTCGCTCCTGTAATTACCGGGCTAATGGCTCGTAAAATTAAGAACCTGTAACCCCGGCCAATGCGCGTTTACATGCGTTCATCTCCTCGTCTCGTGTATTATTCACGGGCTCCCGTTTTCTCTCTTTCTTCCTACATACCTCTCTCGCTCTTCCTCTTTGCAACTGCAACTGCAACTGCAACCGGCCTCTCAAGTACACTCGGCCGGTAGACTCGAGTGCATTATCGCGATCGACGATAATTAATACCGCGCATGATTGAAACCGACTCGTTCGCTGGACCATTCGTGGAACATCTCTCGGCGATGGAATATCGTCGTCCTGCTCGGAAAAATTATCCCCATCTCCGATAGAAAATATTGCAAATTGCACATTGATGCATCCTGATTAATTATCGAAATGTATCACGAGATATTTTTCTGTTGCAGTATTACGAGATGTCGTACGGCTTGAATTTCGAGATACAAAAACAAGTGAGTGTACAAAATTTCATTTTTCTTTCGATACTGCTTATTTATTGCATGCACTCTTCTAAACACGTGATTATGAATGTTTTTGTTATTTTCTCTATTTTTGTGAGATTCAATATATTAGACATACTCTTGTCATTCAAATTATAGATTATAAATGCACCTCTATATTTTTCTAAATATTAATATATTCACGCATCATTCTTTTATCATGCATCGTAATTTTTTCAATTCTATTCTTTGATTGCATTCTATTATTACATTACGTTTTATTTACGTTTTTTACTAGCAATAAATTTCTAAATGTTTTTCCTGTACATTTAGATTTTTTCTACATAGAATAGAATGAACCTATCTATTTGTCTATTACGCGATGACTGGCGAAAGCTATCGTCTCAGGTTCAAAGATCCGCGAGGGTATCTCTTTATACGCCTATATTCTCACAACGAGCTGTCGAATTGTCGGGTGCATGGATTGAAGGGCTCGGCTTCGTAAATGCGTCTCATTATTCCCGCATCTTATATGCTTCGCGTCGAGTACTTTATTCTCGGAATGCACGCACGCATCATCGGTCTGAAAACGATGACGCGCGAACGCGACGAAAATAGAGGAAGAGGGAACGCGTTTCTCGTTGACAGCAAATCGGCCCCCGGTCAGAGAAATATGTAGCCAGGCCTCGCTCGTTACTCGCGCGTTTAAGACGACGAGGCGTTAGACGGTCATCGTCGTCCTCGCCTGACTCGCGCTTTCATTACTCACCCGAGACCGAGTCTCTTCGGGATATATGCGGGGATGCTGAGGCTGGACCCGGACTATTACTCGCGCGCGATGTCTACTAACATTCCACCTCGTTTCCGAGAATTCGAATCCGTTTGTCGAGACGGCTCAACGCGTTCGCGATACGCCAAAGATATTTCTCACGAGTCTTGATTTTTATTTGTCCTGAATGTGCTTTGTAACAAATATTACATTGTCGGATTATTATTGCGATATATGTATAACAGGTGTATTTAAAAAATGTCATAGGTACTTGATCATATTTTAATATGCTACAACCAATTTTATTAAATATTTTATTGTACTTTTATGCATGAAAATGTGTGTTTTGCTTTTTCATGTTATGCATGAAAATGTGTGTTTTGCTTTTCCAGATGGAGATAGTGAAGAGACTGAGCACTCTCATCGGGCAAATTCTGCCTTATTTGTCGCAAGACCATCAGCAGCAGGTCGCCACTGCTGTTGAAAGGTCTAAGCAGATTACGATGGCCGACATAGTAAGTACATATGAGTGACTGTAACAAGGACGACCTAATATGCAAACAGACTACCCGTTTTTTTTTATTTTCTAGCGCAAAGATTTGCCGCGTATTCCTTCATTATTTCCTAACGTTTATATATTTTTCGCGATTTTCAGTGCTGAATTTTTTTCTCCTCATTTTGTAGTGCGACTATGTATTCCACGATGATAAGCGCAATTGCGCACGAGATCGAAACGCGAGATTGGTATTCGGTAGACGTGTCGCGTATAATTGAGTTCCAGGTTGATTCTCGCGCGCATGATTCGAATAATTTCTCAACCTCGTGGCCTCGTTGCCATCGTCAAAACAAAAAACGTGCGCGTTGAAAAAAAAAAAAAAAAACTGACGTTTAAGCTCGAAGCGCATCGTGCAAACGAATTAATGTACATACAACCAAAATTTTCATCGAGCCATGAGCTTAACAACTATACGCTTTCCTCTCTTGACATCGACAAAAATGTTTATTTAAAAATTCCAATACCGGGTCGTTACATTTTTATACATTAACGTATCGTATTTTATAGGTATATGTTTTCGTCCATATATTTTTAGCGAAGCAAAAATATTTTTGTCTTATCGCGATTTTACGGATATATAGGTATACACACTTAATCGAGACATCTTTGATGACAGTGAAAGTGCAAAAAAAAAAAAAAAAAATTGCTCGGACAAGGTCATCGCAAACCGCAATCTCGCCGATCTGTCATTACGCGACGCGCGTCGCTGTTACGTGAAATATAATTAGCGTGCTAGTGTGTTACGGGCTGTCGAGAGGGGTTCGTGGCGAAGGGATTCGTACGACGGGGAAAGTCCCGGGGACGGCGTGGTGGGGTACACAAAACGCGGTGGGAAAGGGTGCGGCGCCGACCGAAAGGACGATGAAGGCAAATAGACAGAAGCGCTAACCCTCATGAATATGTATTATTCGGTAAACAGAGGTTGAATCAATATTTCGTTTAATAACACCGCGCTCGGAGAGGAACGTATAGCCCTCCATCCCCCTCATTTCCCTCCATCCCTCTTTCATCTTCCATCCCCGGCTCTTCACCCCGAGGCAAAACGCGATGATGGTGGTGGAATTCCGATCCTCTCTCTCCCCCGTCCACCCCCCTTTTTCCGCCATCGCCACACGTTGCGCGTATTATTCACGGCGCGTTAAACCTCGTTTGGGACTATTACGTTTCGTTTCACGCGCCGGGAACGAACGCCGCGATTTTCGACATGGATCGCGTCCGCGAGAGTCGCGTGATTTTTCAATGTTGCGATCGCAGAGATAACGCGCAAGTTTTTCCTTTGTTGTATGGAACAGAGTATTTTTTTAAAAATATTATCCGCATATTTTTTTGCGCGAAAATAAATGTAGCGGTATTTATTATACTTTGAACATTCAGACTTCCCTCTTCATTTTCTTTCGAAAAACTTGAATAGCACATTGTATCTGGCACTGTGTTAACGCTGTGCCTTTTCTGGCGAACCCTTAACGTGCAACAAAAGCACACAAATATATATATATACACAAGACCGATTTACGAACACATACTATTTTGCTTTCGCGGTTACAGCAACAGAGGCAGCAAGACCTACCGCGGCTTCTTCAGCAAATGCATCCTCAGCAAATACCATCGGCGGCGGCGATAGCCGCTCACCCGGGTCTACCCGGACTTCCCGGATTGGGGCCAGCTGCCGGCCTTCCGGTGCCGACTTCCGCGTCCGCGGCTTTGCTCGGCATCAGCCTGACGCCCGGGCTACCGCGACCCCGAACGCGACCGCCGCCGCGCATTCCCTGTCGATGCTCGGCAAGCCGGATATCCATCGCGGTCAGCCGGACGATCTCAAGAGCAACGGTGGTGAGTCTCGGCCTCCACACGTATACATCTAGCCATATCTATAGGGTGTCTGACATGAAGTGTCACACCGAAAATATGCAAATAGATATCTCGTTATTTGGAGATTGATTTTTCCTAAGCAAAAATGCCTCATTTTTTGCATGTTCTCGCAATTTTTGCCATCATGTATTTTTATAATTAAATCTTAAATTAAAATTTTTTAAAGTAAACTCTACCCAAATTTAATTGGCGGTTTTGTTAATATTTTATATTCCCACAAGGTTGTTAGTTTGCGAAAAGCTCTTTATTTTCAATCGCTTATAACTCGAAAATTATTGATGCCTCAATATTTTTGCTGAAAAAAAATGATCTCCAAATAACAAGATCTACTTGCATATTTTCAGTGTGACACCTTATGTCAGATACCCTGTATATATCTCCGATATCTATCTGCGCGGCCGCGTTGTAATTGTGCATCGTTATATGCACCGGAGTGCAATCGGAAAATTCTGAACTTTTATTTCTAATTGTTTTACGAAAAACTGAAAAAATACCGCGTATTTTATTCTCCTAGATTACTTTGTGAAATATGTATATATATCATGAGCACACTACAAATTTATGTATATATCGGTACTATGTAAATTTCCGTTATGCAACGGTATTTGATATGCCTATGCAAAGCGTCGGTGTTATTAAAGGTCTTTTTAGCGCAACCATTTTTTTTCAAGAGTAAAAAGTTTATACATATATACGCGAGATACCGATATACAACTGGTAGCGAAATGATTTTGACAAAGGTCTAGGATTTAACGTATACACGAGAGCGAATTGTCTATCGATCGTTATAGAGTCGCGAAGATCAACGAAGGGATAAAGGAAAAAATAGCCGATTCTCGACGACCTCTCTCCCTTTTTCTAGCCGGGAAATGTTCAAAGCGCTTTATTACGGGTATCCGCTTTCGGCAGAGCGGGCGTGTTTGCGTCACCCTGTTAGCGGACGCGCTAACGGCGGTTTTCAGCGAAAAGCGCGCATAAATATGCATGAAGATCATTTATATGGGCACTTCCCTCCTCTCTCCCCTTTGGATGGCTACTGACCGGCGTTTTACGATGCGACTCGTTATTAACATTTTATCGATGCGCGATACTTGATATTCGATCGTTCATAATATTCCCGCGCAATCTTCGTATCTTATCGCTTTTAGACATGTATTTATATATGTATAATAACTGAAGTCTAGGCTTTTTTTCCATTGAAATATTTAAATATATTCCGAAAAAAAGCAGAGAAAATAGCAGAGGAAGATTCTAATCTACGTATGATATTTATGTAGAAATCTGTTTAGATAAATTAATTAAATTTGTAACAAACATTATACTGAATGCGCATTTTTTTCCTTTCAGGTCTAAGCTCGACGGAGGAGAGACACGTGAGTAACATATTTTTTTCATTTTATCACAATGTGAACTATTTAACTTGCACCGTGGAAACATTATGAATCACAATGAGATTACAAATGCATGCGAACGATTCTTATTTTAGCAGCATAAATAATCATGTAGTTAGCTTTACTTACGTTTATATTTCAATGTTCAATAGATATGCTTATATACATAAGCGTTTTATATATATCTATATATGTACATATTATTATATATAATATATATGTACATATATTTCGTATAATAAACTATATTACTTTCATAAAATGCAGCAAGTTTTTGTGAATATTTTGGTATAGCCTTTAGAAAATTGAAAGACCTATTTTCTTAACATATCTCTATAATATATTCAGAATAAAATTTATTTTACAAAGGCACAATACGTGCATTGTCGAACAAAAAACATATTTATTGAATTTTGTGCAAATTAAAATTAAATAATTTTTCTAATTAAAATTAAATAATTTTAATTTAAGAAACTCGATTATGTATTATATTTAGGAAATTGTTGAATAGATATAATTCCCAGATAATGAAATTAAAGTAATTATAATATTATTTCATAACTATAATATAAATATATATCTTCATCTATGCGCTTATCTATGGATAGATAAATGCTACGGAATAAACACTCGATAACCGATAGAGAGAACAAAGACAGCGTTACAAAATTTTGGGATCTCTAAAATTGACATTTACACAATGACTAATGCGCTTTGTGAAAGTAATATATTTTGTTATACGATGTACATATATATATATATATATATATATATATATGATTATATGTGAAACGCATATGGTTTCTACAATGTACAATGCACTCGACCGAGTGGCACTTATTGCGGCCTCGTGTATTACACGCACATTACGCGTGTGTAACTTGACTCGCGCGCGCGTCAAGAGTGCAACGAGCGCCGCTTCAACGTACCCTACTCGCACACGAGTGCGTGCTGCATATTGCAATTTATACTTTTAACGCGCCCATGGGCGCGAGAAGAGGCGTGTAAAGTGGCGAAAATATAGGAGGCAAAGGACGGCGCGGTGCATGTCATTTTTCCGCACCGAGTTATTTGCATCATTGGGAGTATTAACTCCTATCTCTTCCTTTAATCGCGATCGTTGAAATAAATTAATTCTTTCGCTTATATCATTTCTTCCTACTTATAATTGATCGTCGTAACAAACGTAGCGAGGATGCGGATAAGATTTGCTCTCCTTTTGAAAAACCCTGGAATTTATTTGCACATTTAATATAAAAAAATTAAAATGACCAAAAAATGAAATAAAAAAACAAAAAAAATTATGCCCCCTTCTGGAAAAAATCCTGCGAACCATGTGTATCATACGTAAAGACAGAACTGTCGATTAATCTGGAGATTACGTTCTAAGCTTTCTAAAATACGGCCGCGTCCTTCGTTTCTCCTCGAGGGAACATCGCGGGTCTAACGTCTCAAAGTCGTGCTAGGGTCTCGTCGTGTCGCCGGTTCGAGAAAGAATAACATAGGAAGGAAAAAAGAAAGGGCATATCTTGTATTACGGGCTTGTGCCCGAGCCTGTAATCATCGCGGGACCGCGAAACGCCCATCGACGCCCTCTCATTCCGCCTCTCGCCATTCTATTTTCTTCTCTCCTCGGTGCCAATGTCCAGGTATACTATACACTACTTTCTTGGGGGCTTCTTTCCTTCACCCCGGGTTTCTTTCCCTTCCGGTCCCTTCCCGTCGAGATGCTCCCACTCTATAATCATTATCATCAGTTCTCTCGCAAACTTGGAAGGGCTGCTTCGCACGTTGCACCTCTTTTCGCGTTTTCCTCCCTTTAACTATCGTCTCTGTTTACACGCTTCTCGTGTCGTCCCGAATTCCATTACGTTCCATTATGAATTGACCGACGAGACCGGGCTGAGAAATTTCGAGGGAATTTATTGCCGAAACGCGCGCTAATATTAGAAGATACGCTATGCAAATTCTCTGGCGCACTACTGGATTTGTACACACTTGATTCTCGATGGGCGCTATGCTATACATCTCTATGCGCTCGCCTATAATTATCCTAACTCGTAAATATAGACATTGTCGTTTATATATATATATTGTAGTCGCCGAATAAACTTGCTCTCTCTCTCTCGAGCACGTTTTTTTTTTCTTTTCGTTCTTACGTTCATTTGCGAGTGCTATTTGTGTCATGTAACTCATTCATTTCTACGTATATTTATCTTTGATAAATATATAACACAGAGAGAACATGCGTACCATCGAGCTCGACGGAATTTTTTTCCGGGGCGCGCTTAATAAATAAATAAATAAATTTCGCATAACAACACCGGACAGAGATGCGATTTTATCGTATATATGCGCGTATTCCGACGCTTCGCCGCTCGCTAAATTGATATTTCATTGAAAAGCGTTATATACAGGTGAAAAATCGGCGCCGATGCAACGTCGATGAAAGTTATATTTTAATACGTTCGCAACGAGTGGATATCGAGAGGTGGGCGGTATAGTAGCTGGTAAAGTCGAAATCGATTATCGCGAGCGTTCGCGTGACGATTGATAATAACCCGCGTCGACGCGGGTAATTACGGTTTTGTCACGTTCGTCGGCGCCACAGGGAATATGTGGCTGATCGTTGTTCCAGCCTGTGTACTTGCCGCGCGGTGTCTGTTGTTAAACGAGATTAACGAGATCCGCGGAATTAACGGAAGGGGGAGGGAGGAGCGAGAGAGGCCCGTGTATCCGACACTATACTTCCCGTCCCGTATCGCGTATGTCGGTTTAGCGTATACGACGATGTATCCGCCAACGCAAACATCTATCTCGCAAGAGGTTTCTCCCTATTGAACGTTGTAATGGGATATCTCGGAGGGGAATCGACTTCGCGATTTTGATGCTGTTCTACGTGGTTAATCGTAAATTCGCGACGGAACCGTTTATCACTATACCTATATATATATATGATTTAACGTGTTATAAGATTGTTTTCGTTAACCCATACGCGTTTTTTTTTTTTATAGAGGGGCTCGATATCGCCCGGCGACAAATACAGCCGGTCACGCACACCGCAGGAAACCACTCACACTCATCATTCTCAACATTCGCATAATCATCATGATCACTCGATCAAGAAGCTGAAGAAGGAGGAAAAAGAGGTCGTACACGTAAGTGCTTGATAAGAAAAATTACCTTGTTCGTAGTAACAAGTCGGTCCCCATACCATGCAGTCGTTGATGCTTCCTCGTCAATCTTCCCTGGAAAATAAAACAGACAATAATTATAATCTGCAAGATTTACATCTATCGAATAAATTGTTCGGTTAAAGAGAAAATATTGTCCTCGAGTATTTCTTTCAGAGAATTTTTGAAATTTGTCGAGCATTTTCTTATGAGATAATTGTGATAAAATTATAACGACGGTTCATTATGGTTGGGTGATACGAAAAAAAAAAAAAAAAAAAAAGTTTTCCTGCCTCCGGAGGCATGACACACGCGATTATCTGCGCAGAGCGACGGCGAGAAGAGTGACCAGGATCTAATCGTGGACGACGGAAGCGATGGTCCGCCTAGTCCAGTCGCGAACGGCAGGATGTCGCCGCGAGAGAATGGCCTGGACAAGGCGTCCTCGATAACGGCGCCGACGATAGGCTCCACCGGCGTGCAAACGTCCAAGAGGGACTCGATCATCGCGCCGCCGCACTCGCCCAGAAGCGGCACCAGCAGCAACGCGAGCACACCGTCTGCCAAGAAGATGGAGGACCGTGACAAACCGTCGACGCCGATCTCGAAGCCCATGACGCCGACGTCGGGGTCGGCGACGGTAATCGGCGGGGTGAAGACGCCGACGACCTCCAGCAAGTTGCTGCAGGCTGCGTCGGTGACATCCGCTGCCGTGCCGCCACCGACCGCTTATCCAAGTGCGTTGCATTATCCACCACCGCCACCCCATACCCTCATGTCGACGGTGCACGGTCAACATCCGCATGTCGACGCCATGGCTTACAACGGTTACGCGACACCCAGAGCGCCTTCCACGTTACAGCTGTACGATCCGCACGCGGCTATAAGGGCTTCGGTAGGATCTGTCGGCATACCTGGTGGCAAACCGTGAGTATCCGAGTTCTTTTTGCAGAATCTACGCTTCTCTTTCTTGACTCGAGACTTTTTATCGATTTCATGTATTTAATGATAGCGAATTCGGTTGACTGCACTAGTGCACACACACAATTTATCTGCAATGACACAAGTATAATTAAAAAAGTAAAATAATTATTATCATTATTCATATTTTGAACAACAATAATAATATACTTCTTGCTATTAATTATTTTCCTTTTTAATTACTAGTGTCACTAGGAATTTGTGATAAATCTTTCTATGCACTCGGTGCATCCAACCGAAACAGTTTGTTCTACAATTGCGCGAGTAAAAAGATGAACCGTTTCTAAATGAAAAATGAGGAAAAGTTGCGCCGATAATGGTAACATAGGCAAAGATGGGAAGAGATTGAACTGTGATTGTCACGAGGCGGAATTATTTCGCAGCGCGTATAGCTACCATATCCTCGACGGTCAGATGCAACCGTCGCCTTTCCCGCAGGATGCTCTCATCGGTCCAGGCATACCGCGCCACGCGCGTCAAATTAATACTCTCAATCACGGCGAAGTAGTCTGCGCGGTAACGATCTCGAACCCGACCAAGTACGTTTACACCGGCGGTAAGGGTTGCGTCAAAGTCTGGGACATCGCCCAGACGAGTCTGAGCAACGTGAAACCAGTCTCGCAGCTCGATTGTCTGCAGCGCGAAAACTACATCAGGTTGGTATAAAGGGGATGAATGAGCATTTTATTTTCAATCGACGACGTAATATTAAAGAAATGGTCTTGTCGCTCCGCGCGCGTCTCCAATACAGGTCGGTGAAGCTGCTTCCGGACGGAAGGACGTTAATAGTCGGCGGTGAAGCGAGTCAGCTGAGCATTTGGGACCTGGCCAGCCCGACACCGAGGATCAAGGCTGAATTAACTTCCTCAGCACCGGCCTGTTACGCCTTGGCGATCTCGCCCGACTCCAAGGTGTGCTTCAGCTGCTGCAGCGACGGAAACATCGCAGTGTGGGACCTACATAATCAAGTGCTGCTCAGACAATTCCAGGGCCACACGGACGGCGCCTCATGCATAGATATTTCCGCCGACGGTTTGAAACTTTGGACGGGGGGTCTCGACAATACCGTGCGCTCCTGGGACCTCCGCGAAGGCAGACAACTTCAGCAACACGACTTTTCGTCGCAGATATTCTCCCTCGGCTATTGTCCCACCGGCGAGTGGTTGGCAGTCGGGATGGAGAACTCGCACGTCGAAGTGTTACACGCCACGAAACCGGACAAGTATCAATTGCATCTGCACGATTCCTGCGTATTGTCCTTGAGATTCGCCTCCTGTGGTAAATGGTTCGTCTCTACTGGAAAGGACAATTTACTGAATGCCTGGCGTACTCCTTACGGCGCATCAATATTCCAGGTGGGTATTACCGACTAATTAATCTTTCCTCTGTCGCTTCTCATCGTCCGATTAACGAGAGACGCGTTGAAAAATAATCTTTTCGCAAGAATTAAATATTTTTCATTGATCTCGAGAATCGCGAAGAATATTAATTTAAAAAATACTCAAATTACAGAAAGAGACGAATGTTATTTCGCATTTAAATTTCGAAATCATCTGGGCGCTCGTTACAAGCTCGGCGTGTAAATTACATAAATTGCCTTCGCACCTTTCACGCGGGGAATAAGTACGACGTTACGCGCGAGACAAGACGGCGAGACAGGCGTCGGGAGACGATCGCGAAACGGCTCATTAAGGAGCTATATAATTACGCGATATAAACGAGCCATCGAGTCGTGACTCGATAAGCAAAAAAAGGCCTGATTTATAAAGCTTATGAATAATCGCGCGCTACGCGTCGCGATTTCGCGCGTTATCGAGTGGAATTCGAAGCGTCGGAATAATAATAGATATCTGCGCTCGTAAATATGTTTACGTTTTTGATACGTTTCGTAAAACGAGCAAACGAGCCTCGACGCTCTCCAACTTTTATAACGTCCTATCTTTTTCGTGAATCTTTTCTCTCGCTCTTGCGCCTCTTTTTCTTCTTTCTTTATGCGATGTGTAACTGTTATCGCGCTCACTCGACGACGTATTTGTCGATTATATTTACAGTCGAAGGAATCCTCATCGGTACTCAGTTGCGACGTATCGACGGACGACAAGTACATCGTCACTGGTTCTGGCGACAAGAAGGCCACTGTCTACGAGGTCATATACTGAGGCGTTATCAACTTTGTCCCTTGGAAATAAAGTCGCTCGTACGAGAGCTCTCACGAAACATACGGAACGATGTTATTGTTCTTTTCATTGACGTTGTTATCGCTCGTTGACAGAAAAGTGAGATCAGAGTCGCGCCAAACGAAAACGATAGATTCGATAGATTTTTTCAAAAATTTTAACAATCGCACATTTTTGACAGAATAATAATTTGAAACGTACTTAAAGAGGAACGTTAGATTTTTGGATTATACATGTACAATATATATATTTATTATTTTTAGATTATATATATATTATATATTTTTTATATATATAAATATATATATTTTCCCCCCGCAAATATGATTAAAAAACAACTTTGCATTTTACAATTCATAAAAATTTATTTGTTACAAGAAGAGAAGTTTGAAATAATTGATATTTTTAGTGTGTTATATGGTTCACTTTTTCAAATAAATAAATAGATATATATGTATATATAACACTGAAAAGAATTATACATGTATATAATACAAAATTTATATACATATATAATATAAATACTGTATATATATATATATAATATGTATATATGTAATACTGAATTGAGTGCTCTTAAAAGTTGCAAGGTTTAAATGCGTCACTCAAATCTCGCGAATTAACGTTCGACATCGTTATTTATAGATTCTACTTGATTAATTTACATACAGATTGAAATCTATTTCAAATTGGAATCCATTTCGCTCGGCGCGTATGATCGCTCTTTGAATGTGATTATTCTTGTCCTTCTTATCTGTACATATTTGTAAATAACATGTCTTAATTAAATCACAATATTTTTCTACTACTCTTAAGAGATGGCAAATATGAAGATTGTAAATATATAAAGATTAAAGAATTTGCAAAAGTTGAAGCGCAAAACTCCATTTCAATAAATGACGTATAATTAAGACAAAAACCAGTCTTTTGTTTACTATAATAATTCCTCCAAATCCTACGATATATCTTTTGCAAGATTCCTTGAAAAATTATGCTCCTCTTTGCATTTTCTTTCAACGCAGAATAATTTGACGAAATTGTACGGGGAAACGTGAAAATTTAGTAATAAGGGAAAGAGGTTCGAAACAGCGAGATGGCTCCCGTTGTATCGTTAAAAACAGAATGATTAGTGGTTGGCACGCCGATAAAAATCGGGGCTGCGCACACAGCAGCCAGGTGTCGGTGGAAATAAAAACAAGGACCACTCGTTACTCTATCCACGTGAACGTTGTTAGCGCAAAAAAGAGACATCAACAATATTTAGTTGTATGCTGGCACAGCGGGCAGCGGATCGTCATGAAAATTACGACACTATTTCGCCGATAAAAAATAAAAAATAAAAAAAAAAAAAAAGAGCGGTCACACCGCTGCTCGCGCGGGCGGCGTGCTGACGGTTTCGCGATTGTCATGAAAACAAATCGGGGCGGACTCGATCTCCCACGCGCGCGCGCATTCGGGTATATATACGGGTATGGAAAAAAAAAAAAAAAAAAAACGAGCCGAAAAAAAGGAAGAAAAATACGCGTGCCGATGATAGCCGGGCGAAACGATTTTATTTATGCCTTTGCGTCGCGAATCCGTGCGAATCTCGCCACCCGGTGTATAATTAGCGAGGCCATGCATACGCGCGTTCAATGGAAGCTTCATCGGCGTAATGTTATTATAATAGTGGCACGTTTTGCATATGTGTGACCGAGTGATAGTCGCTGCCAGACGAGGAGAGAGAGAAAGAGAGAAAGAGCGGGGTTGGTCGGAGCGTTCGAATACACAGGGGGGGAGGGAGGGAAGGGCAGGGGGATGAATAAAGTCGGGAAGGGAGAAGCGGCGATGAGAGGGGAAAAGGAAGGGGGTGAGAGAGTGGTTTTACGCGGGCTTTACCCGACGTATTTGCATGGTAATCATATGCGGCGCACACGCGAGTACGATGCAGAGATGACGCGGAAAGGGTAGAGGAGGGTGTGACAACGAGAGGGTGGAAGAGACGGTGGTGGCGGCGGCGTCGACTATTGAGGCCGCGAGATTTGTATATTGCGGCTAAATGCGTCGGTTATTACGGTTAATTTCGACGACGAGCAACGCGACAGGTAAAGCGCGAACACCGCGGTTTATTCGCGCGTAAATTCTTGCGTCACACATCGCAAGAGAGTTCTATAAAATAATACGTATAAAGAGACGCGGAGAGCAACGATCAATATTTTATACGTACATATCTTATTTCTAGCTTCAATTCTTTATATTTACATTATCTTGTAACAAAAATACACTTGAACTTTGAGGAGAAGCGAGAGGGAGAGAGCAGCTTATTCGCTGGCATCCTCGGAGATACGGATAATTATTCGCGCATCGTCGTCGACATTCTAGCAGTGCGCGATCCAACAGTTGGTGGTGCTCGTACACAAAGAGCTAATTTTCCCTCCGTCCGTCGCGGCAACTCTCTGCGGCGCGGCGCGCACACACAACGCGCCGGCAAATTAACAGGCACGCAAATGAGCGAGTTCACGCGCTCGCTTTCGCGCTCTACCCCAACCCGACTCTCCTCTCGTCACAATTGGACACTAATAAACGCGCCAGCGTGTATATGCCGCCCCTCTCTCTCTCTCTCTTTTCCTCCACCTCTGTATATTCCATCCATTATCCCTCTGTTCTCTCTCTCTCTCTTCTCTTTCCTCGCGTCACGTTCCGTCCGTAAATGCGAAAAATATCTCGCCAAATTAATCGGCGAAGATGCGACGTACGTAGAACAATATTTCGCCCCCGTATCGATATTATATGCATCCCTGAATGGAATACCGCAGTTTCGCGAGCATTCGGACTATTATCACAAACGACTTTGGAATTAGCACGATAAGCGACGCTGCGGACTACCTGTCGTCGTACATGCACCCTGGTCGGAACTATACGATGAGCGGAAGAGGGGTGCGCGAGGGAGGAAGGGGGACGATAGAGAGGGCGGCTACGGCGGCGATGGCGGTTATCCAGATAGCAGATAGCTAGGACGGTGGTCTCGTTTGCGGCTTGACCACCCTTGCGGCGCACTGCCCTAACCACCGCACCGCAGCCACATGGTGTGTGCAACCGGCGATAACGTCGCCCTCGCTCGCAAGCCGATGCGTGTCGTTGCACCGGCCACGCTTTCGCGAACGATCGCCCACCCTCGTTCGTTCGTCGATTCGTGCGCGATTCCCGACAGGATTTGGTGCACGGCCCGGGTCTAAAAACAACCGCGTTGACTCTCGTCTCGATTGTCATTTCTTTGGACGACCCGTCGATTATCCTGCGACAGGGGTAGAATACAGGGTGGTCCGGATCGAGAGACAGCCGAGTTGACTCCCGTCTCTATTATAATTTCTTCGGCTATAACTCCTTGATTGTTCATCGGTAAGAGATGTTCCTGCCGACTACCTGTTTACGCGTCTGTTTACTTTGGTTTCTCCCCAAAATTCCCTTGATTGTTTATGATTCGAAAAGGCTATCAACGCGTCTCGACGTTTTTCTTTATAGGAGAAAATCCAAATCCATTTGAGAATCTATGTAGACAAAGGACGAAGACAGGGTTCTGGATCTAGAAAACATCCCGCCGCTGAGCGTGCAAAGTCGGATCATCCCGTTCGCTCGTAGATCAACAAACGAGCTACACGAACTTTCTGAAAGGATTATCCTCGCTACCGATAAAAATGTATTATAACGTGCCTGTTTGTAGATATTACGAGCGGCTGGGAGAGCCTCGGCGCTTTAACGATGGTATTTCGAGCTAGAGAGCCATCGCCTTCGCATTTCCGACGAGCCAATCGGCCCGGCATAATTGAAATCCTTCGGATTTTTCGGCTCTTTTCCACGGGACCCAGAGATCCGGCTTTCCCGGTCTCGATGTTCGGTCGTTAATCGGTCCAATTCGTCAGTCATGCGGATAAGCACGGGCAATAGCAGTAGTAAATAGTTTTACTATTCTTTTAGAAGACTTGGAAGCTCTTAAGAATGTACAACAGTACAGTGAGGTAAAACAAGAAAAGTTTATCGATTAATTATTTATTTGAAGCAATTGTGACGGAATAAAACCGAAATAATCAACGTTAATATTCGTTGCAGAAATTGATCTTATATTTGTAAGAAATAACGTCGTATTCCGACGCAACGTAATACGAAGCAAATGATTAAAGAGCCGCGTGAGATTTTATTGAATTGTCCTAATTGTGAATAAAAATTCCAGAGAACGAGACTCCAAAGTACACGAAGCTATCAGAGGCACACTTGGCCAATTATTATTATCATACAATATTACAATGTTTAATTACACGATAAAACTACCGATCATTATTAGTATAGATGTTTAATTACCCTGTCGATCAATCAAAGGCGAGATTATTCCAACGTAATATTTTTACAAGAGTATACGATTAAAGTTGCACGTCACTCGGCTACTTTCTAATCGCTCGAGCGAGCGATCCCTCGCATCTTTATCAATCGTCTTCTATAAATACAATATGTAAAATACCACGAAATACCACGTGTACCAAGCCTCGACACGGCCTCGGACGGCGCGCTTACATGTGTACGATCGGCGCAAGAGGTGTATATACGGCTGTATGCGCGTGCATACATCGGCGTAACCCTCGGAACGGTAGCGGGACCGTATCTAACAAACCGCAACGGATAGCCACCAGTCGTCGTCGCGTCGCATGCGTATGTACATACACACGCGTGCACGCGCGTCATCGTTGAATATTTGAGGATCGTCTTCTTCTCGCCGCGACACGACACGCGTTTCCCGCCTCTACCTCTCCTCGAGATTGCTCTTGCCCACATTTTTCGTATCGTACTTTTCGCCGAGAGCGATTAACAGCGCGCGTCGTGCAAATCTTGGTCGTTCGATGACGAGGACGAGGACGACGGATCGAGAGGAAGCGGAAGAGGAGGAGAGAAAAAAATAAAAGGGAAGAGAGCGAAAACGTCGGGACAGCATGATCATGCGCGCGTATACGGAAAGAGCGAGAGCGAGAGAAAGAGTGGGACCGGTGAGATAAGCCGTGCGGCCGACACATACGGTAGTCGCAGATCGGCGAGGTAGACAAGGGGCTCGAGCAAGCAAAATGGAGGGCAGGCGAGCGTGGAATATAAAAGGAGGAACGTGAATTCATATCTCGTCCGAGGGATCTCTCTCGCTGCGCTACGTCGCTGAGAGACTGCTTTCGACCCAACGAGAGCGCGAGAGACGGAGTATAAGTGGGATTGGGGAATCGAGAGGCAAGGA